TCAAGGATCGTATACGATATATCACAAAAAGGTACTATATTATATCAGCAAATGCTTCATCGTGCATCGTGCAAGGAACTACGTTCGAAAATAACTGGAGTAAACTAGGATAAATCGTGATGCAAAGTAACCGCGATCTTCTGATATATCGATTACTTACGAAAGTTCTTCTCTCGGGTGTAAAAAAAAACAAAAGCTACAAATTGTCTCGTAGAAGTGGCAGCATTTGCTCGCAAGACTAGAAATACCGTCTCTTCCGTGACGAAGTATCCCCCTCAGAAGTGATTGCACTTGGTGCGAGTGTCAGATAGGGTATTTACATTTCGAAGTCGATGCAATCTTAGATAAAATCCCCGTCGAGTTAATCGAGTGCCTGTACCAAGTGCTAAATTTGATGTAGCTAAAGCGCGCGTCTGCGAATCGAGGACATGATACGATCTCTTTTTCAGACTCGACCCTTGCGCTATGCGTGTTCTAAGAGAAGATATACGCACACCGATCGAAAATTCGAGACCTCGAACGCGCAAACCATCGTCCTAAGATGCTAAGGACTGGAGGGTCTCGACCGGATGTACATCGCGATATTGCTACTTTTCAGAAAATCGATCATCGTCCGTGATGAAGGGAATTGGACATGATCGCGGTGAAGTTTTCCTTTTCCAGTTGACCGTCGATTTTGGAGATGAAACGTACGACTGCGATCGCAACTCTTAACAGAGTCTTCGCAAACGGCGCTGGTGTGACGACTGCATCTGCTTCAAGGAGAACATGCTCATAGACAGTCCGATGGTCGCGAGGAAGATTGCGGATGTCGCGGTGCCGCGATCTAATCCCTTGGCCTTATACAATGCTGAACCCGCTCCCTGGAAACAAGAACAATTTCATATATATTCAAGGAATCTTTCATCACAATTTGTTTTTCACGCGTGATTTATTTACTGTATTGTTTATAATATAATAATTATCCATTCATTTTGTCTAATAATTTGCATCTCTGACACTATACATATATTGTATAATTATATTATTTTATAATATTATAAATATAATATTGTGTTATATAAATTAATGAATTTAATTATATATATGTATATACCTAATATATTCAAAGATTCAAATCATTAAACGAAATAAATAGATAATTATAAAATATAAACTATAATTAATATAATTTTAATTACAGTTAATAATTATAAATTATGAAATAATATATTTATAATATTAAAAAATAATATAATTACATAATATAATAAATAGAAATATTAATTAAAGAAGTAAGTTAATAACAAGTCACCTGATTCAAAGTCAAGCGGAGAGCGTATAACATAGGATAGGTCGGATGCATCTCGTTAATACAATTTCGTTTGTGTAACCTGAAAAAAAAAGAAAGTATAAGTCTCATGAAAAACAACACTGTTTCCTTGTTGATGCATTACGTGGGAAAATGCATTTAATTCAATTTCCACGACTTCAAATTATACATATATATTATAATGAATAGGAAGTACATGACGAAGCAGCAAGATTACAAAGCAAATACATAAATTAAAAATACAAAAATGTTTCGCGTAAAACACGATGCAGTTTTTTATCGTGTCGCGAACAAATCTGTGACGTCAAAATATTCATTTGAATAGATAATAAAATGTCTATGTTGCAAATAAAGATGCTTGTGGCATATATTTTTATATGTAACATTTCTTTATGATTTAAAATGTTCCGGGGTTACATCTTTATATTTAACAGAGCACATTATTTTATACAACTATATTATTTTATATGAACACTAGATGTAAAAAAAAATCTTAAAATTAGATATCCAATTAAAAGTAATTTTCTTATATATAAATTCTTTAATTTTATTTCTTAAAAATGTGATCATTATGATATTAATTAATATAATATAATATAATAATAAATACTATACATTATACATAATATAAAAAATATTAATTATAATATATAATATAATAAATAATATAATGATCACACATATATTAAAAACTTGACAGAATATGTCAATATTGAACAAGATATCGTAAGAATATTTAAATTTGTGTGATCTGTCATATAAAATTCTACAAATATGTATTTACGATATCAGGAGCATATCAGATTAAAGTGTATTATCTACTAAAATGGTTTTTCCAAAATATTAATAAAAAGAGGGTACTGACCTACACGCGAATCAATCATTCTATATATGTAAAAAAAATTTCTCGCGTCATAAGAGATATCAAAACTCGAGTAATCTATTAATTCAACTGATTTCGCTTTTTTTTTAATTTGATATCATGCGTCTTGTAAGTTCAGTTTAATAGTTCTTGTAAAGAAAAGAAATCATCTGAAACTGCTAATTTATTTTATAACGATTTTAACAAGTATTATACATTTTAGCGCCTTGATTCAAAATGCATCGCAAAACTGTTTTTATCTTCATTAAAATCAGAACTTACAAGAGCGATACGATTCAAAAGATATATGACCTCTCTCCTTCTTTCGGGAAGAAAACTGTTATCAATATTACGCCTTTCACGAATCACGCATGCACTGATAAAAGACCCGAAGTCGCGCAGAAGTTCAATCATTTTGTATTCCGCAACTTTAAAATGATACGGCTAAATTTAACCGCGCACTGATAGAGAAGCACGAAAGCTCTAGAGACACTGAAAACGAAGGAAGGCTTAAATTAGATTCATCCAACTTTCGTCTTCAGAAGAGGGAAGATGGGATTCGCCTTTTCGTTATGCAACAATCGCGCTCGATTTAACGAAAAATTTAATTTGACAGATCGCGGTGTTTGACAGATCACGATCAGCTGTTCAGCCCCGCGATTCTGTCCTTCATCTTTATTATTCCTGAAACGAATACGGGATGTTGAATCTGCATTGATACTTGAAATCACGAAGGAGACGCCAAGGTTAAATAATAATGCGACGAATAATGTGCAGCTCTTCCAAAATATTCTCTATAATATTTCAAAAATTTGGCGTCGAGCCTTCTTCATCATCTTCCTATAAGATTTTTTTACCAAGACATGTTTCATAAAAAATTCTGAAAAATTCGGGAATTTGGAAAAAATAAGCGCACAAAAATTATTAATTCTACTAAATTTTCTATAAGATTTACAATTTTTTTTATCAAGACATGTTTAACGAACACTGAAAAAATTCAGAAATTTGGGAAAAAAATAAACGTACAAAAATTATTAATTATACTAAATTTTCTTACTATGATAAGTATGTCAAATATAATTCTCGATTATTGTAAAATATTAAATGTAAAATCAAAGAAAAACGGCATTAAATTATATTTCTCACAATAAAAAATCTTTTAAATTCAATTTATGAACATGTTTCCGATCATCGAAGGACATCGTCGAAAGACATCGAAAAAAAAATTCGAAAATTAAACTTAGATTAAAAAATTTTTAAATAACACATTAATTATTCGAAAAAAAGAGAGATATCAGCTGTAAAATAGAAAGCCAGAAATATGAATCCATACATTTAATAGAAATTCTTCCTCTCATGTAACATAACCTATATCCGATTACTTAAAGATAACACGTGTGAATCTTTGTAAAGATTAGAAACGAATCTTTTTTGAGTCTATCGTTTTTTTCACGCGAATTTAATTGATTCAACTCCATTTTTTAATATCCTCACGCTTAAAACAATTCTTTTTTGCATTATCTGCGCTGATAAAGAAAAGAATAAACTGTTCCTTTTCATGAATGAATTTTTTTTCGTTAAATAAAGCACTCGTTACATAATAAGCGATTACGTGATAAAGGGCAACTTGATTCAAAAATATATGTTTATATGTAATATTATATTTAATACATGAATATTAAATAAAAATATTAATCGTCAGATATCTATATATATATGTATAGATCTATATCTATATATACATATACAAGATAAATTACTTTTTCGATATATATTTTTCCTGTCTACGTGTATGTGATTTTATTTGAAAAAATAATGATCAAAACCGAAAGAGAGCAATAAAGGAACGATTTTAATCGTCCTTTACACGTATCTTTTACGTTTGCATGTGTGTGTGTCATTGATTATTACCTCTTCAATTACCGGTATCTTGTGAAAGAAACGTCTCGTTTTTACGATATTTTAACTGAACATTTGAGAAACTCGTTTAACATTTAATAACACGTAACACATCGAACAAGTAATTAATTCGCCGACACGATCACTGAAACGTGGAGCGGCACCAACTACTCACCTATCCGCCTCGAGATCAGCTGACAAAGAGAAGCTGGACGGAAATGCTGCTATAAAATCCGTATCGGAATATGCATCGAGCATTGAGCATTGAAAATTGAAGATTAGACTTTGACTAATCAAAATTGGAGCAAGGAAAAATCCCCAAGAAAGTCCCTAGTCGACAGCCAATAGCGCGGCAGTACGTCATACCGAATGATCCAATAGAAAAATTCCATTTATAAATTAATTTATTAATTTATTTATTTTTATTTATTTATTAATTTCCATTTTCATGTTTTAATTGAAGAATTATAAATTATATTATAAATTACATTATAAATTACATTATAAATAATATAGATTATATTATAAATTATTATAAATTATATTATAAATTATATTATAAATTATATTATATAAATTATATTATAAATTATATTATAAATTATATTCTATAGATTATATTATAAATTATATTATAAATTAAAAATATATAAAATTATATAAGTAAATATATGTAAATATAAATAAAATAAATAAAAAAAATTTGACAGACCAATCTTGTCAATAACATATATTTGTACATCGAACGAGCCGCTTTCGCGAGAGAATGAGATCCCGCGCCGCGACTGGTCGAGTCCGGAATCACGTGATGCGCAGTGGCGCGCTGCGTCGCCACTTCAAGCGGCCCAGCCGCGGAACCTCCCCCACTATTCGCTCCGGCGCTCCGATAGGCGGTGACGTATGGTGTGACGTTCCGCGGCGGCGGCGGTGGTGGCGGCGGCCGCCGTGCGTCGTTCGTGCTCCTCGTCCAGTACGTCGACACGGTCCGTGCGATTCGTTCATGGGCGCACGCGAGTCTCTGGCGTTCCGTCTTTCTCTCTTTCTCTCTCTTCCTCGCTCGAGCGGCCGCATCAATTGTGACGGAGCATCCCGCGTAGAATGACCGATTCCAAAATCGAGATGCATTACACGCCGCCGACGTCGGACACCATCCAGACGAAGCCGTTCCCGATACGAGGTAACGTATATTTCGAGTCTTCTCGAAATAAGTGCGAATCTCCCGAGTTTTCTCTCTCTTCTCCCTCCGTCCTTCGGCACTCGCGCGATCGAAACACGTGCGACGAACGTGAGCACTCGTGGCTTGCAGTTTCGGAGGAAGTTCAAGGTCTTCGATCTCGCGGTCAATGTACCGGGTGTCTTCTCCCCGAGACGATTAATTACGCGCACCTCGCGCGATATACGTCTCGTCTGCGAAAACTTCCTTGCGAACCGGAAGCGCATGTCCGGTCCCTTTTCGCGCCACCGATAAACACGAATCTTATTTAGTCTTATCAAGAAATTTATCTTCGCGTATCTCCAGCCCTATCAGCGAAAATCAGAATTCGAAGATCGATCGACCTTTCAATTTTTCTCTTCATCCGCTCTTTTCTTCAATTATTCTCCTTCCTCGGTTTTTATTTTCTACTTTGTAACGTCTCGATACAAATATTTGAAATTTTATCTTGAAAAAATTTATTTATTATACATTATTATTTACTTATTTGAAATATTATTTAAAAAAAAAAACGAAAAAGATAAAATAATAAAGATATTTGTTTCAGTCGCTATCCTTCCGATTCGCTATCGACCTTTTCAATTTTTCTCTTCATCCGCTCTTTTCTTCAATTATTCTCCTTCCTCGGTTTTATTTTCTACTTTGTAACGTCTCGATACAAATATTTGAAATCTTATCTTGAAAAAATTTATTTATTATACATTATTATTTACTTATTTGAAATATTATCTTAAAAAAAAAAACGAAAGAGATAATAAAATAATAAAGATATTTGTTTCAGTCGCTATCCTTCCGAAGGAAAAAACTTTAAATCGCAAAACATAAAACAGACTTGACGCGCGCGATAATTATCTCCTCTTGTTCCACCAATAACCTTCAATAGTCGTTTAATAAAAAGAATCTTGTTTCATTTCTGAGTAGGCTGACAGAGAGCCAGCATCAAGTTTCTGTCGCATTAATATGCAAATGATAAAATATTTAAATACCAGTATATATATATATATATATATACTTATATATATTATCGCGTTCAAGGAAATTATTAGATAGAGTTAACTAAATTGTTCCGGGAGAGATAATGTCCCATTAGACAAAATTGTTTGGAAAAAAATGTATGTAAAAGAGCCGGTGAAAAAAGAATATCGTTAGAGCGACGCATTCCGAACCGATAAGATTATATAGGTTGCTTAAAATCAGTTATTATCGCTTCATCTCATCTTAGCTTCAGACTGAAAAAATACGGAAACATGATGCATTTGCATGTGATTATGATTATGTCTGGTTAGATTGTCCTCGACAACCATGATTTTATTTTTTAGCCATTCTTTAATATTTTTAAAATATTTTTTTTTAATAAATTATTATCATCATCTTTTTGAAAGAGATAATGCGGGCGAAAAAGCACTTAAGACGAATTTTAGAATATCTTATCGTTATCGAAATATATCTCGAAGCGACCTTTTCTTTTTCACGAAAATACGAGATTAAAATGAATAAAAATAGTTTTCGAATGAAATACATAAAACAATACGTAGGTATAATTATCGCGCGAAAGGTGTAAAATGGAATGAGAACGATTTTTCGAGATTCCAATTGTTATAGATGATTAGATCCAGTTTCGTAAGAGAGTTTATATAAGAATCGTCGCACATTTAAGCCATTTATAGCGTGATGTAACGACGATGATCTTTAATAAAATTTAAAATACAAATGCACACACACATATATGTCTTTGTCTTAATTTTATACGTTCGCGTATAGATAAGAAGCAGCATTGAACATTAAACTGCGTGTATAGTTCGCGAAATAACATATCGATTACGTTATAATTGCAAAATAATTTGCTACATTGTGAAGAATTATTACGATATTTGCAAATTGACATTTAAAAAAATAGTGCATTCAATTCACTTCGAAACGTTCCATCGATTAAAGAACACGTATAACATATATCATTACTACGACTTATTCTGTGTTAATATTCTTTTCAATATATTTTGTCTTCAGTATTTTTTCTTTATTACTTTGTTTTTATTATTTTTCTTCAATATTTTGTCTTTAATTTTTGTTCTTTATTATTTTTAAAAATATATTTCCTTTATTTTCTTCTAATTTCCAATATTTTGTCTTCAGGATTTTTTCTTCACATATTTTGTCTTTAATTTTTGTTCTTCATTATTTTTTAAAAATATATTTCCTTTGTTTTCTTCTAATTTCCAATATTTTGTCTTCAGGATTTTTTTTTTCAATATTTTATCTAATATTTATTTTCTTAATTATTTAGTTTTTAATATTTTCTCTTCACTATTTTATCTTCAGGGTTTTTTCTTCATTATTTTATCTTTTCAGGTGAACGTGCGAATTTCGTGAACAAGCCTCACGTGATCGCGATGGTGGGTTTGCCGGCACGTGGCAAGACGTACATATCCAAGAAACTGTGCCGATACCTCAACTGGATTGGCATCAACACGAAAGTCTTCAACCTGGGCGAATACAGGCGGCACGCTACTTCGGCCTATCGGTGCCACGATTTTTTCCGTCCCGATAATATAAAAGCCATGGCGATACGGACACAGTGTGCTAAAGACGCTTTGAACGATGTCTGCCAGTGGCTGGAAAACGGCGACGGCGAGGTGGCTGTCTTCGACGCTACCAATTCAACTGTCGAAAGACGTCAGCTTATACGCGATATCGTTGTCAACAAGATGGGCTTCAAGCTTTTCTTCGTCGAGTCGGTATGCAACGATCCGGAGATAGTCGAGCAGAACATTATGGAAGTATGTGGAAGTTTTAGCGCCGCTAATTGCTGTAAAAATTTCATAAATCTAGTTCAGATGATGTAAGACACCTGACAGAATCGAAACATCGTATCACAATTTTGTTCCATCGCGTTTCAGGTGAAGGTCAGCAGTCCGGATTACCAGAACATGAAGAAGGAGGACGTCCTCGCGGATTTTATGCTGCGAATCGAGCATTACCAGGAGCGGTATCAGGCGTTGGACGAGGAACTCGAGACCGACTTGTCGTTCATGAAAATATACAACACCGGCGAGAAGGTGCTGGTCCATAAGCACGAAGGCCATATACAAAGTAGAATAGTTTACTATCTTATGAACATTCATATTGTGCCACGCACCATTTACTTGACCAGGCACGGTGAGAGCCTGATGAACCTCGAGGGCAGGATAGGCGGCGATTCGGACTTGACCGAGCGGGGACACGAATACGGCAAGTCATTGGCAGAGTACATCGCCGGTCAGAACATACAGGTAATCTTTCTGCAAACTCTTCGGTATATATCTTATTCGTTTATTAATATTATGTACCGTGTAAATCAATTCTACAATCATATTTTCTTACATTGTGCGAAAATTTGTATTCTGATCGTCATTTCCAAGTTTTACCAAGTTTTGCAATACAGTACAAAGATACATCACTTAGGAAAACTACAATTTGTTACACAAGCAATACATATTTTACATCTTGTAAACTCTTCAATATATATTTTATTTTTTATTAATGTTATATTGTGTAAAGACATCATTTAATCATATTCTTTTATGTCGCGCGAAACTTTGTACTCTGATCGTCATTTTCAAGCTGTACCAGGTTTTGTAACAATACAAAGATACATGACTTAGAAAAATTGCAATTTGTTACACAAGCAATACATCTTTCACTTTCTGTAAACTCTTCAATATATATTTTATTAATTTATTAATGTTATACTGTGTAAATACATCCTATAATTATATTCTTTTTATGTCGCGCAAAACTTTGTACTCTGCTCATCGTCGTTTCAAGTTGTACCAAGCTTTGCAATACAGTACAAAGATACATTACTTAGGAAAACTACAATTTGTTATATAAGCAATACATATTTCACCTTCTGAAAGCTTTTTAATATATATATATTTATTAATTTATTAATGTTACAATAGACATTGTAACTAATCATAATCTTCTTATGTCGCACGAAAAACTTTGTACTCTGATCGTCATTTTCAAGCTGTACCAGGTTTTGTAACAATACAAAGATACATGACTTGGGAAAATTGCAATTTGTTACATAAGCAATACATATTTCACGCTCAAATACATGCATCATCCAAATGTCACTCGTGTGTTTGCATATATAGGGTTTAAGAGTCTGGACTAGTTGGCTGAAGAGGACCATTCAGACCGCGGCTGACGTAGAGGCACCGCAAGAAAGGTGGAAGGCTCTCAACGAGATTGACGCTGTAAGTCGAGAATGCAACGAAGAGATTAGCTCTAATCAATTTTCTTATCATTGTTATTTTTTTGTGAATCATCTCAGGGTATTTGCGAGGAAATGACTTACGAAGAAATCGCTGAGAAGTATCCAACCGATTTTGCCGCCAGAGATCAAAACAAGTTCTCATATCGATATCCGAGGGGGGAAAGTTATGAGGATCTTGTCGCGCGGTTGGAGCCTGTGATAATGGAACTGGAACGTCAGGGTAATGTTTTGGTCGTAAGTCATCAAGCCGTTCTACGCTGTTTGCTCGCTTATTTCCTGGACAAAAACGCAGGTCAGTATATCTCATGCAACTTTCGTCCTTGCGATCGTTTATTCGAGGAAAACGATTCAAGTAATAATCGCCAACGTCTGTGTGATTCATAAACATTCGCTTCCGAGAATGTAGATATGATGCAGATGAAATATCGAGACGCTGCGCGCAACTTTTGACCTTCGTATTGAAACGTGTCGGGGAAAATAAATGATAAACGCTCGTGCATGCGAGAGCGGATTATAATGACGTAATTATTCGTTTCATCATTGTCGTCAAGTAGTTTGTTCTCGTTCACGAAATCCTATTATCAGCATTATACGATTTGTTTTTCTAACAGGGACATTGATTTTCTCGAGAAACCTATTTATATAAGGTATCTCGAATATTTTTATTTAACTCTTAAAGGAGATCGTTTTGTATAACCGGTCATCAAATTATTTCACTTCTATTTCAGACGAGTTGCCATATTTGGAGGTGCCTTTGCACACCATCATGAAATTAACACCGGTCGCTTATGGTTGTAAGGTGGAGAACATTCGACTACCGATTGAAGCTGTGGACACTCATCGGCCGAAACCAAAGGTAGAAATAATTATGATAAAATCATAATAATTATGCCCCATTCCTCCCGCGCTTTATTTACTGAAAGAGATAGCAGAAGCAAATATACCTTCTCCTGTTTGCTTGCTAATCTATCTATCTCTCTCTCTTTCTCTGACACTCTGTATCAATAAAAGATTTTAATTCCTATGCATTGCATATGTTTTAATGTTCCCAGAGTGCCTGATTCTGTTAGCTGTAGTGGAAAATGGACCATTTTCTTATGTCTAATCTAAACTTCACTTTAGATTCATCTGCATTCATCCAAAAAACAAATCGCTTTTATTAAAGATCCGTCGCATGCATTTTTAAAATATAGCATCTACTTGTAAGACAAACACATTGTCTTTTAAATTGTGAATAATATTGTTTGTAATCAACTATTTAATCAATATTTTTAGTAGGAAGTGGTAAATATTTATATTTTATATTTATAATTATCTGCCATTTTTTATAATTATAATTATATGCCATTTTTTCAGGCTAGCATAAGCATATCGATATTGCGAAATCATGGTACTAACATTATATGTATTAAGCTTAATCATTCACAGCAATACAGTAATTAATGATTTAGTTTATACTTATCATTGTGTAATGATTGCAGAATTATATGCAGGAACTGTTAAACGTGCAATTTTAATTGATTAGAAACGATCAAATTGCAATGAAAATTAAATAGTATATTCCTAAGGTGTTTTATTCGCTATGAAGCAGACAAAATAAACTTTTATTTCTAAAACAACGTGAAATATTTTTAAATACACTTGCGCAAGATATTACATAATAATGACTCCATGATACAAGGGTTATCTATTAAAGATCAAAGTTTACAGCTGTAAGCACACACTGTAGCCAGTGTGATTCTAATTGTTTCAGCTTGCCAATAAAATCTTTATAAAGTTATATACTTAAAACATGTGTGTATCCACAGAGATAGAAGATAAATATCCTCTACGCTACGCATGTATAGATCAGATTTCTTTTCTGTGGCGTATATATTGATATAATAAAAGCTAAACTGTCCGTTGTGGAACTTTCAATTTTCAGATCCCAGGATATCTAGAGGAACGATTCAGAGGAAAGGAGAATATACTACGCACGTGATAACGACAAGCTTTTGTGTAAGCATGGCGCAGCAATTTCCTACCTATGTTGATATACTGGGATACGCTGAAGATAGATTCCGGCAGCTGGCTGCCACCTATCAAAAATCAGCACGCACATCCGAAATCCTTTCTTCCTATGTGTGTCAGACGACCTAGAGACGAGACGCATCTAATCACCGCAACTGACAATTGTACCCTTCTATAAGAAACAGACACAGATGGAAGATTCTGTGTGACGATGCAAGGTTCTGCGGAACAAGGAGAGAGATAAAGAGAGTACACGTGTATTTTGTGATTTTTATATTTTTTGATTGACGCGTGTCTGTAGGTAAGTAGCAAGAAGTTATGTGATATCGAGGAGATCGTCGATGAAGAAGCTTGAAGAAGTAATTGTACGCCTGTAGACGTGCATCTCTCTTAAGTGATATTAGTTCGGATATTGAATTTTTTCTGAACTGTTATTATTAGGCGTAAGCCAACTTTGATCTTGCTTTGAAGTATTTGCCTCTTGCTGGGGAAGCAAGTATCCAATTGTGACAATATAAACACACACGAAACATATAATTCCAAGTATACATATAGTTTATCTTATTCTCGCGCCAGGTAAATACTTCAAAGCACTTGTTCATGAATTTGAAGCTGAAAACAAATATGCTTTTATACACGTATATATATATTACTGTTTGAATTATTTCTTTGGAATTGTTTTCGGATCAGTCGAATAATGCATAGAGCGATTCGAGCTAAATATCGTAAAACTCTGTGACGTTGATAATAATACTCGACTATGTAACAAGAAAAAAAACCATCAAGATATAGTACAATACGTTATAGATTGTGCGATAATACATCCAAATAAGCTGTACCGAACATGTACAATTCTCAGTCTGTTTTATCTAATATTATATCTATATATACGTCGCAATCTCTCGTATATTAAATAGCTATCAATTTCGATTAACGCCGATACGTATGTATCTCTCGATCGATGAAAAACGCATAATAAATAATAAAATTTTATCAATCCATCTACTAATTTAAATCGACCTACTTAACGGATCATGTATCTGTTCCATTATAATTGCACGTTTTATTTTTATATATAAGTATATATACGAATATCTTAAAATATACATTATGATAAATATTAATGTAATTTAAATTAAACCCTGCGCACAATAGAGAATATATATTAGAAATAGGAATTATTTTAGAACAATAAAATTGAAAAAAAAACTGATATACAAATATAAATTTTGGTATAAAAAGGACTCTTTAGTTTATTAGCCCTTACTAGTCCTTTATACCCGAATTTATATTTTTATATTAGATTTTTTCGATTTTACTTTTTATAAATCATTTTATATACTTCACACATTTTTTACATGCTAATTTTTTCCTCATAAAAGAACTTCATTTTCGAATATAGTAGTTTTGAATCTTAGAACATATAGGTATATATGCTCTAAGTTTTGAATACAGCGATTTTTCCCGCGCTTTTTGCTGCCATATTGATTCCTAATACTCTCGGCGTCCGTCAGATGGCGCTCCAAAAATTGAGGAAGTTTGAAGAGATGAAATGCTGTTGTGCCGTTTGAATAGGCTATAAATGCTTCAGTATCAATTTTTCTTTCAGAAATATGCGATATCAAATCGAGCATAATGGCGTCTACAAATGAATTTGGTCCGGATTCTGGCGGTAGAGTAAAGGTAATAAATGTTTACACACTTGGGCGACATAACCTATAATATATATATATATATATTTTTTACTGAGAATATCAGAAAATTTAATTTAACATCAGCTGTTTGTCAACAGGGAGTTACTATTGTCAAACCTATAATTTATGGTAATGTCGCACGTTATTTTGACAAAAAGAGGGAGGAAGATGGTCATACGCATCAATGGACTGTGTATGTTAAGCCGTATCACAATGAGGATATGTCTGCTTACGTGAAGAAGGTGCATTTTAAACTGCACGAGAGTTACAATAATCCTAATCGAATTGTGACCAAACCACCGTTTGAATTGACAGAAACTGGCTGGGGAGAATTTGAGATAGTCATTAAAATTTATTTTCATGATCCGAATGAACGTCCTGTAAGTGACAAGCTTGCCACAAGATTGTAGACAAATATACCTTGTAAACTTTGTTATTATTTCATTGACTATATTGGAAATGTTATAATTTTAGGTAACGATATATCATGTGCTGAAATTGTTCCAATCAACACCTGAGATACAGTTGGGGAAGGAGAGTCTAGTCTCTGAATTTTACGAGGAAATAGTCTTTCAAGATCCAACAGCATTGATGCAACATTTGTTGAATTCCAGTAGACCTATGACTCTTGGTGTTTGGCGACATAATACAGACTGTTTGTATAACGATATATTATCTCCAATAATTATAATATATTACATTTTGATTTAATTATAATTTTAATTTATTTGTTTCATTCTTTACAGTCGAAGTGAAGAAAGAATCTACAATGAAAGACATTCTGGAGGCACGCAACAAGATACGATTGGAAGTGATAGATCTCAAGGAAAAACTGACATTGGCAAAAGAAACTATTGCAAAATTCAAAGAAGAGATTTCAAAGATTTCCAAAGCCGGTGGAAGTTTATCTGTGACTTAATGTCGTTTCAAAATTAAAATCAAGCAAACAATTCGCATTGATTATTCACAAAGAATACAAAATTTTACAGAATTCCTTTATTCCACATTTGTATAAAGTGTATATATATTTTAATATATTAGAATTTATTTTTTAATTATAACTGTAAATTTAATTTTAATTCAACTAAATTAATTGTATTTTTAAAATCACATGCAAATTGTAAGATCATAGAAACAATTTACTGATTATATTTGATAGACTTTCAAATCAAAACTCATGATTCGTGAATACATTTTGTGTTAAATCAAAGTATGTAATAAAAGTTTTTATTACACTGTATATCTACAGTATTAATAAAAAGAAACAAATTGTTTAGATAAGAAATTTTATCTTAATAGCTCTCTTAATTTTCCTCTCAATTAAGTCTGTTTTTTCAATGCTATTGTTCTATGAAAAATGTGTATATACACACATATACAGTATACATATAAACACACATACATATATGTACATATACGCATCACTTCTGTCTCAGACCTTGAAGGAAAGCACATAGTCATTAAAGGTTGAAAGATCTCGAACAGTTTCTGTTCGCGTGTGAGTTAAGACTGACGATTAAAGATATTTTCAAGCAATTTAAAGATAATATTTCGTAATTATTAATGACGTAAAACTGATAAACGCGATAATAATTATCGGGCACATGTGAAAGGAATGTGATGTAAATTCTAACAGAGTTGGTGCACCAGTTGTGACTTGCGGTGATTTGATCTCATAGTGAGAGTGCATCAAACACATGATATATGTGTAAAGCACATATATAATATTATTGTTTAAAGCAATCATACAGAACGTTAAACAAGTCCTGGAACATCAGTTTCCTTCCGAAAAATGAGCACGACGTCGAGCATCAATAAAAAACCGTGAGTTCTGTGCACGAGGTTTCCCGCGGATTTTTCGTCACGATTCGTCGATCATTATTCGATCATCGTCAATCGTTTTCGGAGTCTTATGCAAACCGGTGAAACCCGTGATTGTTACGTAACGATCATCTGGCCAGTTATTTCGACGTGACTATAAGCGACACGTACTAGCATACTAGACTTATTTAGGTTGTTCTGTTCGTTCGAGCCAAACTTTGTTTCCATAACAGTCCAAAGGTCGATCTAAATCTTTATATCAAAATCTTTTATTTTGTATTTTAAATATTATTAAAAACTTATTTTTAATTTTAAGTTTACTTTGACGGATTTATATGATTTAAAGACTATTAAATAAAGTTTTTTTAATTTCAAGAATTTCTGATATGAACATTTTTATTTTATTAATAATAAAAAATTACAAGCGCACAAAACATTTATAAAGGCATATAGTTAAAAAATATTTAATTACGAATTTTAGTCTGTATAAAATTCTTTTTTATTATAGAAATAAGAATTAATTTTATAAAGAAAAATTGTACAAATAAAAATGTCCAGTTTTGTGTTTTACTTTGTGTGTGTGTGTGTGTGATGGATTTATATGATTTAAAAAAAATAAAACTAATTAAAGATATTTCAAGAATTTTTAATATAATAGATAATGTGATGAACGCGCATTTTTATAATTGTATTTATGTTCGATCATTTTTAAGAATATAAATAACTTGAATTATAAATAAAATTCACATAAAGTTTAAAATTCATAATTAAGATTATTAAAACGTGCACGAAATATAAAACTAAATTAATTAAAAATATTCGATTGCGAATTCTATTCTGTATAAAATTATCTCTATTTTTTACTAGAAATAAAATTAATTAAAAAACTTAATTATATAAAATTACATGAATCAATATTTTTCAACACATTAGAATATTTTATTTTCGCAAACCGATAAAAATAGAGAAAGCTTATTGTTATTAAATTGCATTCAATTCTATTATATATTAACTCTTCTGTTTATCATTTTATCAGGCCGGGAGTGGAATTCGCGATGGGTGCCCTGGCGGCTGTAGGCGCCGGCTGCTTCACGAACCCCATGGACGTAGTGAAGGTGCGACTGCAGTTGCAGGGTGAACTGGAGGCACGCGGTTCTTACAATAGGATATACAAGAACACCGTGCACGCGGCTTATCTGATAGCCAAGCACGAGGGTGTCCTCGCCCTGCAGGCCGGACTCGTGCCCGCACTCGCTTTCCAGGTGGTGCTCAACGGTATTCGTTTGGGCGCGTACAAGTCCGCTCAGAGGTACGAGTTGATCGTCGACGCGCGAGGCAACACCGATGTCCTGCGGACCACCCTGGTGTCCGGCACGGCCGGCTGCGTCGGCGCCGTCCTCGGCAGTCCGTTGTACCTGGTAACTGTCCTCTTTCCAGATCCAACTCCATATGAAACTGGTCTATCACCTCATATCAGATGAGATTGTGATGCACAATTAACAATATTTAATACCTGAAAAGACGAATATCGAAAATTAAAAAGACAGTACACATAGAAATATGCTTTGGGCAAAACTTGATTTAATAGATTAATTTATATAAATATCTTTGTGTGCCTAGAAATGTAGTTAATAAGAACGTCGATGCGTCGATATCGCCGTATATATTAAAATCATTAACTATTTCAGGTCAAAACGCAGTTACAAGCGCAATCCGCGAAATCCATCGCTGTGGGCTATCAGCACAATCACTCGGGATCGTGGAACGCTTTCAAGTCTCTATGGCAGGAAGGCGGTGTCACGGCCCTATATCGAGGATGGAACGCTAACTTGCCCCGCGTATTCGTCGGCTCGGCGACGCAGTTGACCACCTTCGGATTAGCATCCGATTGGTTACGATCACTGAATGTAAATAGTTTGATCGCTTCCATTATTATTTACCATTTCTCCTCACACTGGAGATGAGAAAAAGATTTCGCATCAAATAGGATTTTTGGCTTTTGATGGAATTGGCTGTTTTCTTCTTTTTTTTCATATGTTGTAGCTCATGTCCTGTTGAACAAAAGATATAATAGCTTCAAAGCTAAATATTAGATAGTTACATTCAATCAAACTCGTAGAAGAGATCATAAGCTACAACATATGAGAAAACCAGTTGATCTTAGCAAGATTTAATTTTATGATTAGTATGAGGATTTTGAACCTGTATAAAGTTCTACATGAAATTGAATCTCGGTAAAATCAACTCACATGTTGTAACTTATGACTTCTTGAACAAAAAATGTAATAGGCTCAAAGTTAGATGATAACTGATTTACAATCAGTCAAACACAAAAAACTAGGACTTTTTGTGAGTTGTTTAACTGGCTATAATCAGTTAACTATCGGCACTTTTTTTAGCTTATTACATCTTTTGTTCAGCAAGTCATAAGCCACAACACATATGAAGAAACAGCCAATTTCCTACAGCCAAAATCCTACGTATTTGGTGCGAGGTCTTTTATATTAAAAAGTACTCGAATTTTGAAGACAGAGAGATTCGAGGCAATGGAGAGCGGTCTTAATTTTTATCAGATATTTCCAGATCGTCCGATATTGTTGACCTTCTTGGCCGCCGCGATCGGAGGCAGCTGCGTAGCCGTCACCATGCAGCCGTTCGACGTTCTGGCGACGCGGTTGTACAATCAACGTAAGTATAATGACGCATTAAAATTGTATTATTACATATTGAACGTTGCGCGATTAACGAAGGCCACGATTATGCTTTTAAGTACTATTATGTTAATAAACGACGCGTAAAATTTCAAGTTACAAGGTACAAACGCTCGTCGAATTACAAGATTCGTTCGTAACGAACGTGTATATTCGCAGATCTTATAATAAAATACTCTTTTGTATTGCATTGGCGATCAGAAGACGCATTCGCATAGGCAATAACATATTATAACGCTAACATTATATATTATAAATAATATATATATATGATATATATTATAATATATATACAATATATATATATATATATTATTTTATATATAATATATTATATAACTAACTTAATATCAGCGACTAAAAATACAATAAAGTATACTCATGTGTACGCATGACTATAAATATGTAAGTTGATCGTAAAGCTTTTAGAACTTAAATATAAAAGATCGATTATAAAGAGATAAGCTTAAAAGTTGAAGAATATCAATAGTTTTTGAATAGTATCATAAAGAACATTTGATACATTATATTTTAAAAATCGTAAATTGTTTAAAACGTGTTTTGCAAATACAGAGACAGACGCAACCGGGAAGGGTGCCTTGTATAAAGGGCTCGGAGATGCGCTCATCAAGATATTTCGCACGGAAGGTTTGACCGGCCTGTATAAGGGAACGTTTCCAACGTGGATAAGAATAGCGCCGCATACAGTTCTATGCTTGGTGTTTTACGAGAAATTAGAGCAATTGTATGGCAAACTTAGACCATGAATACATAAAATGTATTGTGAAATTTGTATATACCTATATATTTACTCTAGATATCGCAGAAGTAAGAACTTTGTAAATAAAATTTTTTCACTGAATGTTAAATATTGCGCATCTGTTTACAATAAATCGATATCATATATCGGCAGTGATTCTTTTTTAATATTGTGATTGTGATATAAAATTTTTAAGTATGCGTATAACGTTATGGTGTATAAACATGTAAAAATCGCGTATTCTAATCATCGATGTGTAAGTTTCTACACACTATAATTTTCAATATTCGCGAAATAGAGAATATATATAAATAGTCGTATAAAATTTATCTTCAGAGCACCTATCCTTGGCTCGTGCTCAAATAAATTATACATAGTGTCGCATTATTTACATATTGTATGATTGAATGAGAATAATGCGCGAATTATTATTCAGATCGTGATAATGATTTCGTTGATTCTATTAAAAAGCTGTATAAAAAATACCTATTCTTTATAAAAAATACTAATCAAGTTACGTAGTCAAACGTTAGAGATCTACGAGGTCAATGTTGCATTCGGTCTCGATTTAAAACCTCGAGTCATGGCTGCCGCTATTTCTGTCGTACTTCGTCCTCGTGTTTCGGGCAAGTAGACTCTGTAATGAAAATATTTTACAATAATTTTATTACATCAGGAGAGTGAAAAACATTAAATCTACGATGTAGAATAATAAGTACGTACCGATTGACTTGCACCATGATCAGTGTGATTCCGGCGAAGATTAGGAAAACGCACGGGCCGATCGCGGCTTGTAACGAGGGAAATAACATTCCGACGACAAAGTTGCCTCCCCAATTAAACACGCTACCTAACGACATAGCGGCAGGTCTAGGACCGACGTCGAATAATTCGGAGCCGATGAAGAACGGTATCGGACCGAGACCGATACCGTAGAATATAACGTACGCGAGTACTGAGATGGTACAAAGTACTGCCATGAAGGAAGCTGTTTCCTGTCAAGAGAGAGAAACGAATCAATTTTAAAACATTTCTTATTCCATATCATATTAAAATTATATCGAAATTATACATTATAATATATAATAAAACTTATAATATATATTATATAATATATATTATGAAATTTTTATATATATTATTAACTTAATAATATATGTTATGAATATAATTTATTCATATATACTTACGATTAGTAGAATAAAGATACACAGAGCTGTAAGGCATCCTACACATAAGTAACCGCTCAGAAACAGAACTTTCCTTCTACTAAAGAACGACATTATCGGCACAGAGATAATTGCCATGAGAATATTGGCGACGCCTGTACCCAGAGTCGCGTACTCAGCTCCGGTAATTCCCAATCCAGCTCCGAGAAATATCGAATTAGAGTAATAAAAAACTGCGTTAATACCGGAGAGTTGTTGGCCGGCTTGCATTAGGCACACTAGGAACAACGGCAGTCTCACGGACGGTTCTTTGAGTACACGTTGAATATTCCATCTGTCAGTCATCGATCTCATCGCCAATTCTTGTCGCAAACTGGTGACCTCGTTTTGCAAGAGCATTATATCCATATTGCGCAGACGACTGAGTTCTTGAAAAGAAATTGGAATTCATAATAGAAGACGCAAAGTCAATAAGTCAGCTGGTGATTGAAAATTCAGGAGAACTATTATGCAAAGGTCAGAGTACACTCGGCAAATGTACTTATACGTTATACGCACCTTTGAGAGCCTTTGTCTGTTCTCCCTTTATTATATATAAATACTTTGGACTTTCTGGCAAGGCGATGGTCACAAACAGCGCAGCGACACACAACGGTAAGAAGGACGCTAACATGATATGCCACGATTCAGGAGTACCTAGGACAGTTTTCAATCCGGCGATTTGACCCAACAGCACGCCGCAAGTTATACCTAATTGGCATAAAACTCCAACAGCACCTCGTAATTTTATAGGCGCTATTTCCGTCATGTACATTGGAAGCAAGGCAGTGGCTAAACCGCCGGAAAGTCCTACAAACATTTAGAAAGACTGTTAAATCTTGAACGTGCCAAAATCAAATTAAAACAATAGAGGTCTCATATTTATCTTCACATTTTTTCAATTCAAATCTTACAGAAATTATATTCTCGCATTAATTAAAAAGAGACCAAGTTAAACCACGATTCCTACTTACCGACCATCACTCGAGCGATCAGGAAAAACTCGACCGAGTTCAAGTGTCGTACAAGCAAAAACAGAATAGCTCCTACAATTCCGCAGATATTGCCCACACTCAGCGCACCTTTCCGTCCGAATCGATCACTTAGCCAGCCAGCGATCAAAGATCCAGATACACCACCGATTAGAAAGATGGATACTATGGTGGACCAGAGTATCTCCAGCTCATGGTTGGACAATTGTGCGTTATATTTTTCCCTCATGCTATCATTGCAGAAGGATTTCATAAGCTACAAGTAAAAAAAGAAATTAATAGATAATTTATAAATTAATAGATAATTTATAAATTAATAAATAATTTCCAATAATATTATGCATTTGATAGAATAACAAATTGAAATTACGAACATGAGCAGGATTGTTCATAACACCTATGTTAAATCCTGCTGGTAATGCTGACCCCAGACAGCAAGTGACACCACCCAGAACCAGCAACGGAGTCCAACCACTTGAATCGGCATCGCGTGCATTGTTATATTCCTACGAAAGAAATTATATATTAATATTCACTTTATATTATACAAAAAAATGTGTCCATTTCTATCTTGTCCCTTTTAAGCAAAAGGTGAACTGATTTATTACACATAATAAATATTTATTGCTGCGTAACCAAAGCAATATAATTCGAAGAACTTTTTACTAATTCTTATAATGATAAATTAATATTATTAATATTTATTAGAGGTCTTTATTTGGCAATATAACAATTGGTCAAATTAATCTAATTAATAGCAAGTATATAAGAATTATATTAATATAATCTACAAGTAAACAATTTTTACAGCATCTTGATACAAATTTTTACATGGTGATGAAGAGCTGAATTTTCTGACTGTTTCATATCATGAGCCAATTACACATGAAAATCTTCAGATATTATCCGCTTCATATATAACAATCAATAAAAACAGCTTAAAACAGAAATGTATGTTAGCTAGATTACATCAATGTTTGATAAATATTGCAACTATAATTTTTTTTTGTTTTATTGCTGCTCTTGTAAAAGAAAAAAGTAATATAGAGCAATTACACAATTTCTGATTTTCAAAAAACTTATCAATATCAAATTAGCAGATATAACTGATAATCTACTTTATAAATGGTAAGAGGCTTCACCAATCTCTTAAAAAAATTATGATATGAAAAAAACAGAAGACCATACCGCTCATATAATTAAGCATCGTAAGCAATATGAAGTGTGTTGCACCCTCGTAGACCAATCTGTGATAACATGGGAAAGCCAGGACAGAATGATGGAACAAAATTCAATAAAACCACACCATGGACATACCTGTAAACTGTTCAGACAGCCAACCATTCATTATTATAAATTTATTAAAGAAAAGTTTTAACTCTCTCAGATTATTTGTCTTAAGAGCACTCAAGCATTTGTATAAATATATTCACACATATCTACACTAATTAATGTTCTTTTTTCATTAAAACAAGATTAAATCTTAAATGGACTGAATTAAAGATTAAATGGATTATGTAATATGTATGCATGTATGATGTGTGTGTGTGTATGTCAAAATTTAATCTCATTTTAATAATAATCTCACAAATATATGTAGAGATTTTGGAGTTTGCGGATACCATTAAAAACCATGCATTGATATAAATTATTATGAATGTTATATTAGCAAAGCACTCTCTTATTAGCAACATTTTAATATTTTAATCTCAGCACTTTTTGAAATATTTTATTTACAAAATCTCTCTAAATATTGATTATTTTAATTTGTACACTTTAAACTTCTATTATTAAAAAGAGATACAAATTGCATATCTCAATAATTTACTAAATGTCTTATATAATATAATATAATTTAAATATCTTATAATTAGAAGATATATTTTATTTTCACCTATATTATATTTTTACCAAATGCTTATGCATTGCACAGCATTACATAGACAGCAATATAACTATGTGAATATAAATTACTATGTTTATTTAAAAAAAATATTAAAGCATATGACAGAAATAAAAAGCTTATATATATTTTTTTATAAGGATTCAAAAATAATTAGTAACACTCTAAGAACAAAATTAGAATATATAAGAAACGAGGAAAGAAGGGAAAGACTTACGGATTTTCGCGTGTCTCCATTCAACGATTTCACCTTTGGCACGTCGATGTACAGCGCGGAGACATCCGTTTCTGCAAGTATAAAGAAAATATTAATTTTCGCTTATGCAAATGACAACAATGATTAATGACAATTGCGGTTCTTTTAACTTTTCTCCCTTCTCCGAGTAGATATTTCACCTTTAGAACGTGTAATAAATTTAGAACGACTGCAGCCAAGAGAGAAACGGAGATAGAGATTCTTTACCTATTGTCATATCGCGTGTTACGTCTCGCGATAACCGGCAAAATAAACACAGCTTAGCGGGGATTGCACTGCGACACGAGATTATGAGATCGTGGACGCAACGCAGTGTTGACGTTTGAGTTTGACAGATACGTCACATATGTTCTTCCCTCGGGCACGGCGAGCGTAATACTAATAAGGGAAGCTTTTCGGAGGAAATTGCAGGCGCGTTGTCACGCAATTGGCTGTCGAATAGAGAATTTTGGAAATTTGAAAATTTTCCTATACTTGACAGCCAATCGCGTAACGTTGCGCTTCTAGCGAGAAGGGTTGCTTATCTCGTTCGTTTATATATTTATTTATAATAATCGCCAACTTCAGGTCATTTTTAATGTATTCGTGTAATTGGCGCAAATTAGGTTCTCGCAAGAAAAATGTTCCGCGATAATATTCGTCATTTTGTGATAATACACGTACGTATCTTTTGTTTTATTTAGTTTTATTTTTCTTCCGCATTTTTGTACGATTTTTAACAAACTCGAAAGAAATTATAAAGATATATATGTATATATAGAGACGGATAAAAGGCCACGAAATTGCGTTTGCTTTTTTCTTAACCTATCATTTCTTGCACCTTTCAAAATATAAACAAAATTCTACGTTTCTCTCGATTGTATAAATAAATTTTGTAGAAACAGGTGCGCTCTTTCAATACAGCCGAAATAAAATTTTAATTAGAAATGAATTTGAGTAGCAGAATAATTGAATATATAAAAAAAGTTAAAATGAAAAATTAAAATTTTTCTCGTCGAATATGTATATATGTATGTCTGTCAAATATATATCTATTTTTTTAGATTTTATTATTTTCTTTCGTCATTGTTTTCTTTTTTTCTTTGTTTGTTATTCGAATTTCAAATGCACATATATATATATATTTTTGGTTTATTTTTTAAGGGTGCACAAAGTTATATTATATATATAGTTGCATATATTTAATTTTTTAAATATATTTTTTATGTATAGAATTTATATGTATTTTTATATATTGTGTTGTGTGTATATATATATATATATATATATATATTTAATTTCGGTAAATAGTAGATAAATAATAATAGAAATTTGGGTATTAAAATTATGTACATAATGGAAAACTCCCGCGTAGATATATTTATTTTTTAATCAATATATTATTAAAATATTTATTAAATTTAACAAATATTTTAATAATGTGTTGATTAAAAAATAAATGAATTAGATAAATATGATTTTGTGAATGAGGTAGAAATTTACATATTTATTTTTTAATCAATATATTATTAAAATATTTATTAAATTTAATAAAAATTTTAATAATGTATTGATTAAAAAATAAATGAATTAGATAAATATGAATTAGATCAGTTTTGTTTGTTCTAGAGTTCTCAATAAATTAATGTAAATTTACGAAAATAAACATAATATAAAAGACTGTCGAAATTTATAGTTTGCAGTTGCATTTCTCAATTTCTAATACTTTCTTCATAATAAGATATAGAAGTTTCTTCGACGATAAAACATCGCAGTCTATCTCGCTTTAATAAGCTATGAAATCTCTCCGTCCTTTTCTTAGCTACAACCTAATTTTGTCTCTAACTCGTCTCTTTCTTCCTTACAGATACATTCACTTCATCCTTCCACTTCAAGAACGTGGAATGCAGAACGCGAGGCGAACAATAATGGCAGTCACGATATAAAGAGTGGAGGTAAAACGGTTGTTTGATGACTAATTACGGAGTTTGCTCTTTGGATCATTCACAGCTCACCTGTTTTCGATATGTTAATATATGTATGTCGTACAATCTTTGCAAAAATATCAGACTTTGCAAATTCGCGAGCAAAGTTCGAACATTTTCCAAGCAAAAATAGATAAAGAGACACGTTCAGGCGTATAATTTCACGTTGTAGGTAATATATTGATAAAACTGATATCAGAAAACGCGGACGTGACGTGACGTTTTACGCATTAGACACATATTCTTTACGCAAAAAATATTGCAACATATGTATATCAATATATACATCCTTAAACAGAATAAAACTGATATCAGAGAACGCGGATGTGACGTTTCACGCATTAGATTAGTATTCCTTCACGCAAAAAATATTACAACATATGCCCAGATAGAAATGCCTGATGATCAGATTTCATCATGATCTTCTGATATGATTGAAATGTATTGTATGTCTTGTAATCATATTTTGATGATAGGTATTATGAGCACAGTTACATACATATATGATGAAAAATGTGAGTTATATATTAATTTGAGCATATTCATGTATACTCATAATGACATTTTTTGCAAACATTTTTAAGATATCATATGTCCGTGTTTTAAGTAGCATATGAGCCTGCACCTGTGTCTATTTTTGTCATCATGTTTTAAGAAATATGAGTACAATATGAATACAGAATGCATATATTATCTGGATGTATATAGCATATATATATATATATATATATATATATATATATATATATCCTTAAACAGACGAGTGTGCAAAAATAGCAAACGAGTTTTTGTTGTTCGCCGATAAAATAAATATACACATTGCACTTACATAATTCGTTTTATATAGTAGATGCTATTTTATTTGTAGTTGTGTTTTTCTTTAAAAAAATATGAATTCTTATATTGAAGTATGCATTGCTAATGTAATAAATATAAATTAATCTTCTTTAAATAGATGCTTTGATGGCTTTCTTCACATCACTTAATCATTATATCGCTGCATCATTGCAAGTGACGTTTTCGTGACGCAGTTGCGATCTGAATGATGGACTGGTACAAAAAATCTTATCGAGGAATTTAGCTTCAAACTTCGGTAAGAGAATCTTATAATAATTTTTTGATTTCTTATGACAATCTTATAGCGATATATTGATTATTAATACGTGTATAAATAACACTTCGCAAAGTTGATTATAAATATTTTACATAAGAAAACCTACAATTAGAATTTCGTTTTTGAAAACCGGCGAATTTCTTTACTAAATATACATGTAAAAAAATTTACAAAAATTCTAAAAGACCTTTATTGAGAATTATAGTAGATGCGAATTCCGTTTTAATTTTAAAATCGTTGAACATCTATTATAATTATAAATAAAGATTTATACGCTACATTTATACATAACTATTTATTTAAAGAGCGAATGGAAATAGTGTTTTAAATTTGACGTATGCTGTATTATTAAAAATTAAAATTTAATTTCTATTATATACCTTTTATTATATTTATATATATTTTATAAAGGAATTCTTGTAAGAGCTCTGGGGTTTTCTCTTATAGGAGATCTCTATTCAATTCTTTTATGTATATGTTATACAAATATTTTTAAATTTTTATTTTCTGACGTTGATGTGACGTACCTTGATTTTCGTCCATCGGGTCGTCTTTCATCGTCCGGCAAAGCGCGTATAAACAAAAGTCGCTGCAATCGCGGTTTTCTCGAGATGAATACAAAAATTTCAACCACCGTCGACGCGGACTGCGGCCCGACTAACAGCTACGCATTCCTTTCTGCGTCTCTTGGCACGAGCACGATGCCGCCGATGTTGTCACAGTTGTGTGTATCATCGGTTGATGATAGAGGTAGACAGTCAGTATCGGCTCCATATCGTACTCTTATGTTACAGACATCAAATTTCAAGACTCATTGCATGCAAATGCACTGCTGCTTCTCGAATTTCATTCAGAAATATCCCAGGAACAAATTTTTCATATATAATTATATATAAATTATTGTATAATTATATATACATGTAATCGTAAAATTAGATATATGTAAATATGTCTATTTATATATATAAAGGATATTTATTTATTATATATATAATATTACTTATATATATTATATTATATAATTATATATAAAAAGCATTTTTATCTAATTATGTATGGACATATTTATATATAATTTTGCGATTATATATGTGTGTGTGTGTATAATTTTATATATTTTTATATAATTTTATATTGTTATATATAAAAAAATTTTATCGCGGAATTTGAATCAAATAATTATGTAATAAAAATTTGAATCACAATTTTTCATTAATTTGGCTACAAATAAAAAGAAATATTCGAGATAAATTATTAATGATTAAAAATTAATTATTATCAAATGCTTCTTGCAAATTATTTTTCAAATTCTTGCACGATTTCATATTAAGTATTTTGTATCATATATTATCGGAAAGTATATCCTCAACAGTTCGAAAAATTCACTTTCCTCTTGTGACAATTTCTGATCCATGAAAAAATAACCGTAGTTATAAAATCGTAATCTTTCTATTAAAGAATAAAAAGCGATTGATTAAAATCATAAGGCCTCGATCGTAGAATTAATTAATTAAAAAATTAATTAAAGACGACTTTCATCATACTCTGAAGATAATTAATTAGCAGTAATCGACTGTATCATAGATTTGTTGAATATAATATGTATTTATTGAAAACATCTATCTATTTCTCGTAGAAAGATTCGATTGTATAGAAATTATGTATAATAATATTATGCATGATTATATTAGATATCTTCTAATATCTTTTAAATGTATATCGTTTAATATTATTAAGAATTATTAAGCATTTTTGCGATAAGCAATATATAATTCAATTCATTTACAAGACTTTGATTTAATTTGAAATTTGCGATGCACGAATTTGCTTGAATCTTGTCCTTTTAATAATTATTAAATTATAAAATTTTTAAAAATAAATTATTAATTTTTAATAATTAAAATTCCAAATTAATAATTTAGTTACATATTATAATTAATAATTTAATTAAATTATTTTTTTGAAACAATTAAATTTATTTTATCTTGGGGATAATTATATTATACACAGCTATTTCATTTTTTTTTTAATGTTTTCTCAATTACAGCGAATGTTATTTATGAACATACATATAATATACCTGCCAGTGATATGTTTATAAACAGTCATCGCATGTAATTTATCATTCTTTTTTCACAGTCGTGTTTTAAAAACTTAATTCTCTAATAATTTTCGTGAGAATCGACCAATCTATCGTATAATTGACAAACGCATTGATCGTGAGAAAAAATCTTGATTACAATCTTAATTACAGAACACTTACATTAGAACGAGGAAATTAATCTTCTCAGGTGACGTGAAAATATATACGCATGTCAGAGGAAGAGAAAATCTTCGATGCACATACGTTATTTTTTTTTCTTTTTTTCTCTTTACAAAGCGTCATTTTTCATTCACGTCATCCGGAAGAGTGTCGCAATTATTTATTAAGCAAACATATACGTCTTATAATGTATTAATATAGTACAGTACGTAATATCTTATCTATTGTGAGGATTTTTAATTTTGCGATTGTGGAACATTACCCAAGATTTATTTACGTTTCTCAAACCTAATTGTATTTTTTCCCTCCATTAATCAACTGACATCGATCAGCTGATCGTAAGAAACTTGATAATCGGTGCAAATACAATTAAATAAAACGCAAAATTATCTGAAAAATTATCGATGGATTTATAATGTGTATAGAGTTCGATGCCACAAATTATGCAAAATAATTTATATTATTTTTATATTAGTTGTTGAGGATGATACAATTTTTTTGTAATTTTTTATGTAATGCTATTATGATAATGGAATCATCAATAATGATCACGCGATCATTATTACAAACCTGCATTGTTCCGCATCTGTCATATAAAAAATCAAAATTATATAATCCGGGTTTTATCAGGTTTTTTGTGCTGACTTCTTACATTGTTACTATGCGTGTTTGATTAATTGATTAGAATGTGCCTATCTTTGCTATTCAAATAAAGATCAGAAAAATTATATACTATTCAGAAAAATTCAGAAGATAAAGAATATTAATTCGCATGATTTTTTAATTATTCTCAGCAGCGCTTGGAAAAATCAGATTTTTTTATTAGAAAATTGAAAAAAATGTACTGATTGTCAGCATCAGTATCTCATTATGGCACAATCGAACACATTGAGAAAATCCTCAATAAATGCGGAACTATACTATAATATCAATAGATATCTGTTCTATTCAATATCATTCAGTATAATAAAATAGACATCTTAATAAAATAAAAAAAAACAGACATATATTTCGACAGATTTTGGTCGACATAAGAAACTGCGATTAACAAGAACGATATTTATGATAATCTATAAATTAAAAAAATTTTTTAATTGTTTTTCTCATATTTTTTATCTCTGCTCTTGCTTATAAATTTATAAACATTTTTTTTATTTTCTCAAATTACAAAATTTTCTTTGGAACAAAAATAGTCCAAATAAAAAGCAATAAAAAAAAAAAATTTTTTAAGTATATACATTATCTTTAAGCATATATTTATTTTCTCACATTTCTAAAGATCATTGCACTAATAATACAAATCGAGAACGCGATAATCGATTAATCGCTTATATATTGTATTTAAATTTGTTATTTATTTGTATATTTAACAGAAATCTAATTATCCAAAACTTTCTATTTTAGTAGCTGAATCAATTTTGTCATTTTCTCCTAAATAGAAAATAAAATGACACGTAAGAATGAATGTCTAATATTAATATATATATCACTTTTACAATGCTCAGTAGTTAGACAACACTCGAAATGATTTTTCTTTATTGTCAAATATTTCAGATGTTTGACCGCGATGAACGATGATTTTGTATTGAGCAACTCTTACTTAGTGTCACTTAATGACGTTGTATTTAATTAACCCTTTATTCGACATAGTATTCCGAGAAAAATTCGTGATTATCACAAGTATCACGCGAAGTATTAATAAGATCAGCTGATCTACGTCACTTTTTAAATTGAAAAAAAAGTTGCTGAAGCCACAGCGTTTGTACTTTTATGACAGTAAATATTTTGATTAGAATTCGTGATACGCAAAGTAGATGAAAAAATTTACACGACATTATACCAAATAAAGGGTCAAGCTCATGGACGACCGCGATAAAGTTCGCGTTCTTTGATATGCAGCGTTATCAATGATGTGCAGCTCAAGTGCAATCGGTTGCGTGACTTGGCTGCCTTCTTCCGAGTTGACGATTCAAGGTCGTCAACAACGGATACTTTCCGCAGCCACATAAGTCCTTGAAGTCATCTAGGTCGATGGACCAAATCATTCCGCCGCCGAGATTTAGCTCCTTTATCAGCTTGGCCTAAGAGATAAAATGTTTTTCGTTTAATAATCAAATATGTATATGTATATATAGTATATAAAATTATATATAATTATTTATATATACTTATATAAAATTATAATTATATAGATAAATTTTTATTATAATTATTATATATATTTATACATATACTTTTTATACATACATGGTGTATCTAAATAAGTGCGAAAAATTTCAGATGATTCTTTGTCGAAAATTAAGGGGAATTTCTTATATAAACATATATATATAAATTAAATTTTTATTTTTTAGATAAATATTAAAAAATAAAACGGAAATACTAAGTTTTATTCTTTTAATTTGCCTAGAGAAAAAAATTAAAAACTTAATTTTTACCTTCCTCTTTACAAAAGTATGACTCCTCAGGGAGAGATATATAAGAGTATATGTTTATATAAGAAACCCTCTTTAATTTTCGACAAAGAATCATCTAAAACTTTTACCACTTATTTAGATACACCCTGTATAATCAAATAAATAATTATTTAGCGTGAATAAGGAATTATATAATTTTAAGTAAATAAATCGTAGTAAATCATCTACAATATATTATATCATATTTAAAAAATTTTAACGATTAAAGCTTTTCGATTAAAAATTTTTCTCCACTTATTTATCGAATCAGGGTATCGATTATGTAACTTTTTCACGTTTTCACTTTAGAAAAAGTGATACAATCGATACCCAGAACATGAAAGAATGATATGCACATATAATTGCATATATGTATACTTAAAATATACGTCAATGTTAAATGTCATTTAAATATACGCTTGTTCATTGCGCGTCAAAGAAATTGAGTTATCACATGTTTTTAATATTAAGTTGCAAAAAACACAAACACATGAAATTTTTATTCTACGATTATCGTTTACGATTGCGTTTTTCTCATCGTTAGATGAGAATGTACGATTTGAATTTTCAAAAATGCGATCGCACGTATTTATGCAATTTATGCGTACACGATGCGATTTTATATGTAATGTATATAACATTTTTGTCACACATACCTTTCTTGCTATATCAGATACATCATCATAACTGACCCATTGATCACGTTTCGACGCATAAGGTCCCATACGTCCTTCCGGATCTTTCGTCACGAACCAACCATCATTTCTCACGTTATCGCATATCTGCATACATTATCAATACCAATCAAATTTAATTAAAAATCAAAACAAAAAAGAGCTTTATATATTTTAGTATTATATATATATATATCATATTATATATGTATATAATATTGTATATTATATATATAATATATATAATATATATCCCTTACCTCGTAATAAGCTAGAAAACCAGCCGATTTGGTGAATTTGCCAGGTTTTCCAGGTCCGGAGATTTCCGCGTGGAAGCCTGGTGGTGGCGAAGTAGTATAGTTTCGCGATGTCTCAGACAGGGTAAAACTCGATCCGTAAGCAGGTATACCCATGACGATCTTCCTGGCTGGCACGCCTTTGTCCAGCCAGTATCTCACAGAAAAGTTTACGTTCAGGAATATCGTATGATCGCTAGGATGATGATAGAGCGGTGCTACATGACCGGTTTCGCGTCCCCAGGCGTTATGATAATCGTATGTCATTAAACCGATCCAATCGACGTATTGTACCAAGGACGGGATCTCGATATAGGCGTTATCGATAACAACCTTGCTAGCTGAAACCGCGATGGATAACAAGAGTCCTTTGGATCTGAAGGTCTCGTTGATTTTGCGAAGCAGCCGGTGAAAATTGGAACTGTCGCGTTGAGGACCGCGATTACAGTCAGCCTGCGAGAAAACAATTATTTTATACATATGTCAAATATTTCTTTCATTCAATATTTCCTCAATTAAAATTATACAATAATTTCTTCTACATTTTTAAAAATTAATATTTTTAAATATTTTATGTTTTATTTTTTTTAATATTTTATGTATTTTTAATATTTTTTAAAAATATTTTATATATGAAATTAATATTTGTTATATTGCAAGCGTGTATATTTTTTGTCTATTCTTTGTGTATTTTTAATTTAGTTTAATTTTGAGAAGTTTGCGATATTAAATTTTTTATTACTTAAATTATTAACAAATTATTATTATAATCATATTCATATGTTATTATATAATCAACAGAATTTTTAAAAATTTTCTCTTTTAGAAAATACACAATTATTGCATGAGAATAAGGAATCATATGCTTTACCTGCCAGCATACTGGGAATTCCCAGCTGAGTTCTAGACCATCGAAACCGTGCTTCTGAACAAATTGCGCGGCATGTTGAGCAAATTGTCCAATTGATGGCGAATCTGCCAACCTGCTGTACTTGTCGCCCTTCGAGTCGTTCCATCCCCCCAAAGCGAGTAAGATTTTAACTCCGTGTCTCTTTCTGATTTCAGACGCTTTATTAAGGAACTGTTTGTAGACGTTAGGATCGGAAGCCTCGATTTTCATTGTAAATACCGGCGCGTCGCCTTCATTTTCCGACTCCCGGATCTTCAAGGTAGCGAACGCATAGATTATATGCGTGCATAATTCTCCGTCGATGTCCTCCGGCGAGAATTTGCCGAAACTCGTCCGCCTCGAACCCCAAGAAGTGTAGTAGCAAACCACCTTCTTATTACTCGCGTTCTCGATCAGTCTCGGCGATACGCTGATCTACAAAATCGAAGAAAGTCAACTTACACACAGTTGAAACATTTCTGTTAAGTTTGACAGATATCACATGTTCCAAACGGTTCACAGAAATTTTTGTGTTAATTTAATATAATATATGGATGAGACACATGTACTATGTTAATATTTTAACACAAAATAAACGCAAAACTTCAAGTAATTTAAAATAAATTTTGGGTAAAATTAACATAGTTTTAATGTCACTAATAAAACAGAACATATTCATTGTGTAAAATTAAAAATAGACGCACATTGTGTTATTTTTATATATTTTTCAGTTGTTCTAATAATTTAACATTTAACAATAAGTTCCATTAACACAACAACAATATGTTAAATTAACACATGAATGTGTTAAATATTTAATACAAAAATTTTAACGGGAATCGTTTTTAACAAGAAAACAAATTTTCCTACTATGCATTAATTGTTGAAAAATTGTATTGAAAAAACGAGCTAATTCTCTAGTTTCACCTTGTCTACACTGTAAAAAAATATGTAATAATATTACATAAAAGTATATAAAATTATATAAATAAGTGTAAAATTACACGATAAATGATGAAAATGTATATAGTTTTCATTATTTTACATATTTTTATGTAATATTACATTTTTTACAGTGTACGTACCTGACGTTGAGCATTCTGGGTGCATTTGGTATTCTCCGGCCAGTCGCATCGGTTTTCATTCCAGTAGAGTCCGGTTGGACAGGTCTGTTCCGAGATCTTGCCGAAGTTACACAGGTAATACTTGGTGCAATCGCTCTTGTGAGGTAGGAACAAAAGTCCTCCGCAGTCAATCGGCGGTAAAGGACTCGCTTCGATCTCAACAGAGTCGTCCGTTTCCGATTCGATCGTCGTCGTTGACGTTGTTGTTGTTGATGATGGTGTATACGTTGGTTTCGGTGATGTTGTAGATTCGTATGTCGGATGTTCAGAAACAGTTGTAGACTGGATGCCGACATCAACATCGGTGATGATGGCATCTAAATCAGAGGAGATGGTTTAGTCGAAAGATATATAAAAAAATAATAAATATCATCTCTTTATAAAAATTGATAAAAGAAAAATGTTAATTAGTATATTTTATTGTTTTATTATTTTATTTTAATTCTAATTTCAATTTTAATTTTGACTTTAATTTAATTTAATTTAATTGTTCTGAACTTATTGTAATATGTCAAAGTGTCATAATGTAAAATGTAAAACATAAAACACAAAAATGTAATTTGAAAGCCTAAGTTGCAATGCAAGAATTAAATAAGATAATTTTGATTTGCACATTTTTTTAAATTATATAATAATTTAAATTCTCTTCTTTTTAAAATTAATATTAATAAATTTACCTCCCGTGACAGGGCACAGCGGGCCCTCCGGATAATTTCTCAGTACTCGATTCATGGTTCTTAATAGTGGACTAGGCTCGCAGCCGCATCTGTTCTTAAAATCGTCCAGATCTAAGGCCCAGACCATCCCGCCGGCGAGACCAAGTTTCTTAATTAATTCTGCCTTTAGTTTAATTTGTTGAGCGTCGTCGAAGCTCACCCATTGATCACCTTTATAGGCGTAAGGACCGATTCTTCTCTCTTTGTCTTGAACAACCGTCCATCCTTTTTTCAGTGTTCTTTCGCAAATCTGTTATAGATATTAGTGCAAAAAATATAGATTTATTTGTTGTGATAAATATCTTCTGAAAAATTGATTTAAAATTATTCAAAATTTATTTCGATATATTTTTATTGAACTTCTATTTGATATTTTCGTAAAGAATGTCGACCTCGTAATATGACAAGAAGCCCCTTGCTCTGGTCGCCTCTCCAGCTTCGCCACCGCCATAAGTTGGTGCATCTAATCCATGCACATTCCTTTCAGCCAGTGAAAACGATTGTCCGTACAACGGGGCGCCCATGATCAACTTTTGCGGGTCCGCGCCTTTCTCCATCCAATAATGGATCGAATAATTCTAACAACAAGAAAACAATGTATTTTGAACAATTATATAATTTTTATAATCGCTCAATTCTTCCAACTTAATTCTAAATTCTTCAAATTAATCAGCTGTCATTTTTTAATGCATGCAGTTGTTGGGAAAACAAAAATTGTGTTGGAAAGAGGAAAATCTGCATTTTTAATGGATATAAATAAAATGTTTGTATACCAGTTTATTTTATGATTAAAAGTAATGAAAAAGTGCTAATAATCGCACAAATTAATGATAAATATTTTTATCAGTGCCAGATTTAATAGCCGCTATTAAAAGGATCGTCAATAATATTAAAAATGACTTGTTAAAAGAAGTTTTTACAAGTTTTCGTAAAAGAATAAAATTTTGTACAAATTTAAATGGTGCAAACTTCGAAAATATTTATCATTAGTTTACATATGTGATTATTAGCACATGTTTAATTATTTTTTAATAAAATCAAGTGATATACAAACATTTTATTTATATTCCTTAAAAACTGTAGACTCTCCTCTTTTCAATACAACTTTTTTCTCAATAACTGCACACAGGAAAAAAGTGTTGTTATATTAACAAAAATTCTGTTCGAAAATCGACGAAACAGAAATTATTGGTTGAATCTGCCATAATTCCTTATAAGAATCTTGGTTGCACAAGAAATAAGTTGTACGCGCTAACCAAGATTCTTGTTGCATTAAAAGGAATTCTGGTCGATTAAAGCAGTAATTGTGTTTCGTCGAAAAACAACAAACCCTTTTCCCAGTGCATGAATGAAAAAAATGACAGCTGATTTAGTTTGAGCATTTTCCTGGGACGCCCTGTACAAACTTACGGCGTTGAACGTCGGTTCCCAATCGTTGGGAAGACCATACAACGGCGCCACGTGACCGGTCTTCTTATCCCACTGTCCATGAAAATCGTAGGTCATGACGGATATCCAGTCCAGGTATTTCGACAGAACGGGAACGTCGTATCCGGCGTCGATGACTCTCTTGCTCGGCGAGACTGCCGCCGAGAGGAGCAACCCTCTCGGCTTGAACTCGTCGCTCAGTTCCTTCACCAGCTGGCTGAAACCTTCCTTGTCGGACTCCGGGCCTTTGTTGCAGTCCACTTGCCAGCAGACCGGATACTCCCAATCGAGGTCCAGACCCTCGAAACCGTACTTCTCGATAAACTGCAAGGCTTGGGCGACGAACCTCTGCCTGGCGGCGGGTGAGTTCGCGAGTCTGCTGTATTTATCCCCGGCCGAATCGTTCCAGCCACCCAGCGCCATCAGCACCTTCAGACCCTTCGACTTAAACTCCGCTATCTTCTCGTAGAACTTGTTGTCTATGTCGGCCCAAGGATCGTGGGACTTAATCGTCAAGCTGGATCCGTCGAGAACGACGAATCCGTAAAGCACGTGGGTGCAGAGATCGGGATCTATGTCTTCCGGTACGAATCTGCCACCCTCCTGCCGATACCAGGCCCAGTTGCAGAAGTAGCAGATGACTTTGTACTCGTTTGTGGGATTCCAACGATCCACCATAATCGGTCGTGTTATTTCCGTGGTCGTCGTCGTCGTCGTTGTCGTAATCGTCGTCGGCTTCTGATTATCGAGCCACACTTGAGGACTCCGCGGTTTCGCCAACACTTGCTGGATCATGTGCATTAACGGATGAGGCCCGTCGCCGCATCGTCCACGAAAGTCGTCTAGATCCAGGGCCCAAACCATCCCGCCACCCAGATCCATGTCGCGGACGAACTGCGCCTTTCGCCGAATCATTTCTGGGTCGTCGAAGCCGACCCACTGGCTACCCTTATAAGCATACGGACCCATCCTGCGCTCCGGATCCTGCACCAACGTCCAGCCACGATTGCGCACGCGATCGCAGATCTCGTAGTAGGACAGGAAACCAGCGGCTCTGGTAAACTCGCCGGCGTTTCCGGCACTGGCCGGGGAATTCAGCCCGGTTCCCGCTTTAGGGTCGTTGATCGTGAAGGATTGCCCGTACAACGGCATACCCAGGACGAGACTCCTGGATGGCGCGCCCTTCGAGATCCAGTAGTTGATGGTATAGTTGGCGTTGAAGTAATCGTAGTCGTCGTCCGGGTGATGATACATAGGCGCCACGTGACCGGTCTTCTTGTCCCATTGTCCATGGTAGTCGTATGCCATCACGGCGATCCAGTCTAGGTATTTGGCCAGGGCAGGTACGTCGTAGCCCTTGTCGATTACCTTCTTGCTCGGGGAGACTGCTGCCGAAAGCAGCAGTCCCTTCGGTTTGAACCTTGCGCTCAATTCCTGTAAGAGAGCCGCGAATTTCTCTTTGTCCGAATCCGGGCCCTTCTTGCACTCCACCTGTCAAAATGAAAGAATTGTCAAAAAATTATATAAAAGATTATTGTAAATTTATGATTTTAAGATATTGTACAGGGTGTCTGATATAAAGTGTCACACCGAAAATATACAAGTGGATCTCGTTATTTGGAGATGTTTCCCCAGCAAAAATGTCGAAGGAGGCCATTTTTTGCATGTTCGCTATTTTTGCCATCGTATATTTTTATAACTAAACCTTAAATGAAAATTTTATCAAAGCAAACTCTACTTGAAATTAATTGGAAAACGTAGTTTTGTTAATATTTTGTATTTCCACAAGCTTTAGTTTGCGAAAAACCCTTTATTTTCAATCGTTTATAACTCGAAAATTATTGATGCCTCAATATTTTTGCTGAGAAAAATTTGTCTCCAAATAACAATAAAATCTACTTGTATATTTTGGTGTGACACCTTATGTTAAATACCCTGTATATACAAAAATAAAATTTGAAATAAAAATATTTAATAAATATTTATAAAATAAAAGAAATAATATTTATAAAATATTTAATAAATCTTCTGTGGTGGAAAAGGATAACACTTTAAAATTCATATATACATTATTATTATTAAAATAAATAGAAATAAACTCTCACCTGCCAGCAAACCGGGTACTCCCAATCCAAGTCCAATCCGTCGAAGCCGTATTTCTCGATGAATTGAATAGCGTGATCGATGAACTTGCTTCTGGCAGACGAACTGTGCACCAATCGACTGTACTTGTCCCCGGCGGAATCGTTCCAGCCACCTAACGCGAGAAGCACTTTCAGGCCCCGTTTCTTGTACGCCACCACCCGCTCGTAGAAACGATTATCGTAATCCGCCCAGGAGTCGTGCGCCTTGATCACCAGCTCGGAGTAATCCAGCACCGCGAAACCGTAGACGATGTGGGTGCACAGCGTGTGATCGATGTGCTCCGGTAGGTAGCGGCCGATTCCGCGACGGTACCAGGACCAGTTGGTGAAGTAACACACGACCTTGAAGTCGCCGGACAGCGGGGACACCTTGTCGGGGTCTACGATCGCGGAGGGCAGAGTCGAGGTAGGCTGGTTACTTCCTGGGGACGACGTAACCGGGGTCTGTTCCGTGATCGGTTGCGTGACTGATGGCCGATGGGTAATCATTGCTTCACCAGGTGAATTCGTGGTCGATATCGTCGTGACTTCTTTGTCCTGATCGTTCATACACTTGGCCCGGGCCGGCCAGTCGCAGATGCGAATCTCCGGGTTAAAGTGTAGACCCGGAGCGCAGCTGAACACTTCCGGACGACCCCAAAGACACGCCTGGTATCTGTTGCAGTCACCCGGTATGCTACTGTAGCTACCGGAGATGCAGGTCTAAAGTAATCGCAATAACAGTGTCGCGATATCAATGTTAATTATCTCGAGATGTTGTAAGATAAATGGAGATCGCGATAAAGTGATGAATGAAGCGAATATACCGAGAAAAGAGACATGACGCGATAGCACCAGATTAGAAACGTTTGTTTCAACATCCGAGCGATCACTGATGTTTTTAGCGTGAAGAGAATTTTCTCTTAGAATTTACCCTGAAAATTATGGTAAACGTAGGACAATATGGTATTGGAAGAATTTTATAAGAGTTTCTCTGATTAATATTTACCGCAATAAAAATGTTAATATTAAAAAAAAAAGTACATAGTAAATTTAAATATTAAATATTATTATTAAATATACATAATATATTAATATATATTAATATTATATATTAATATTATATTAATATTAAATATAATTAAAATATTATTAAATGTATACATAATAAATTTTACTATGGACATAATACAATTAATCGAACGCTCAGGTATTATATATTGTTAATTAATATATTTACTTACGTCAGTGTCATTTCCCACAAGTTGAGCGGATCTGGGGGGTGAATCGACACACGGGTCGTTGAGGGCCCAATCGCACATATTTTTCTTAATGTTCCAGTTTAAACCCGGGCCACATTGTCGTGCAACGAGTTCGCCGTTCACGCAGATCAGGAAACTCGTGCACGAATTCGGATGAGGATAATATTCCCCGTGTTGACATGGTTTCGCTGGTTTTTGCGTCGACGTCACGACGACAATAGGCTTCTTCGACGTGGTGAATCTTGTAGGTGCGAAAGAAGGCGGTCTTCTGGTCGAACTCACGTAGGGACGTCGACTTGTCGTCGAGGTATACGTCGTACCTGAAGAGAAGATGTAGAGATCTCATGAAAAAATTGCACTTGTTATATATATTAAAAACGTAATGTAATCTATTGAAATCGGGCACCTTGACGAGAGATCTTGTATATTCTCTGCGCGACGCAGTTTAAAGCGAAGATAATCAATATTATTGCACAGATACGTCGGGATAGAAAAGCCATGGTTTTCACGGACGATTGCGACGAACAAAGCGCTAACAAGCAAGTCGACGCTGCTTATACCCTTGTCGATGCATCGTGCATCTTCGCTCCTCTTCAGCGTATAGAAAAGAGGGAGGATGCCTTCTTGGCCGGAGGCGACAGCTTACAAGAAGATACGCATACGCGAAGATATTTGCGTACGCAAACAGGTTTGCGCTTATATGTCTATTCATAGTGTTTGCTTATCGAAATTAACGAAAGGAGAAGAATGTCCTCTGAAGAGTGTCTTTGAAAAAATAAAAAAAAAATCTGCACGCATATGAATGGCTGTAGCGACAATAATCTTCTCGTTAATATCATCAATTTATATTATAAATGATACTCGTTACTCGCATCGTGTCTCCCCAAGTTATTTCAAACGGCTGTTTAATTACAGAGCATATATTATATTTCTCTTATGACAGAGGGAGAAAAGAGAGAAAATTAAAAAGAAAGAGAATGAGAGAAAGGAATAAAGTATCCGGCTAATGAGGATCCCGTAAGCAGCATTACCAGTTTCTGTTTGACATTTCGCTGCCGATGGCCAATCACAGAGATGTCGTTTCGCGTCCCAGTGCAATCCTGGCGCGCATTGCTCGCGCTTCAACTCGCCGCGATCGCATCTGTAATAATTGCTGCAGCTAGTGGGATCGCTGTAGTATTCGCCGCTGGTGCAGTTCGTTCCTGAAGTAGTGAGGATCGATTCTTCCGTCGTGGTGCTTGTAGGCTGTGTACTTGACGCTCTGTTAAAGGAATTTTCCCAATAACAAGTGTGACAGCTTAAAAATTGAATTTTGTAATTTAAAACATTTTTTTAAATCGAAGTAGGTTCGCGCTTTGTTTTCATATGTATTTTAATCATCTATTCAATCGATAAAAAGAGAAGGGTGCGCAAAAATGATGTTTTAAATAATGTCTAAATTTTGGAAACGTACAAAAATGTTAGGCATTTTGTTTCAAGTTTCTTTTAATGACTCCGGAAAAATAAAAAAACTCAGGGATGCATAACACAATGATCTTTCTTCAACATCTCTTTACCTCGTTGTAGTCCACCAGGTCATGGTGCTACTGGACGTGCTCGTACTGGGCTTCGTCGTCTCCTCCGGGACATTGCTAGATAATTTCTCGGTAGTCCAGGTCCAAGAAGGCCACGTAGTCCTGGTCGTCTGCTGGGACCACGAAGGCCACGTAGTTTTGGTTGTTTGTTGGGTCGTCGTGGTGCTACTGGCCGTACTCGGTTTTTGCGTCCAACTGGGCTTCGTTGTCTCCTCCGGGATCTTGCTAGATAATTCCTCAGTGCTCCAGGTCCACGAAGGCCACGTAGAACTGGTCGTCTGCTGGGTCGTTGTGGTGCTCCTAGACGTACTCGGTTTTTGCGTCCAACTGGGCTTCGTCGTTTCATCCAGGGTCTCGCTGGATGGTTTCTGGCTGCTCCAGGTCCACGAAGGCCACATAGTTGTGGTCGTTGTGGTGCTCGGTTTCTCGGTCCACGTAGGCCACGTGGTAGCTTTGGTGCTGGTCGTCGTCATCGGCGTTGTAGGACGTGGAGCACCGTCCAGAGCGTCGCTGTGAGTGGTCAGTGTTGGTGCTTGTGGTGTCACAGGTTGAGGTGGACGTTGACAGTTTTCCGAGACGGACGTCGACAAGCGGCCTGTGTTATTAATTAAAGCAGTAGTAATTAATAAAAAAAAACAATTGAAAATAATAGTAAACATGACATATAAATGTACGAATAATATAAAAAAATATGTAACATAAAATAATATAGAGAATTTTTTTAGAAAATTAATGTAATGTAGAAAGTGATAACACAAAATTATTTGAAAACAAACCTAGCGCACGATTAATCGCTTTCAACAGAGGGTACGACTCCGAACAGCAACGATTTTGAAAGTCGTCTAGGTCGACGGTCCACATCATAGCTCCACCGTAGCCATTAGCTGTTATATATTTACCCTTAGCGTAGACACTCTCTCGATCTTCGTAGCCTACCCATTGATCCTCGAATCGAGCACTTGGTCCTGAAATATTATTATACATAAATTTATATATATTTATGTATCGAATTCTTTCTCTATATTTTTCCATGTGTGATATAAATTTCTTCATTAATGAAGAAATTATTATTATTATTAATTAATATAATTAATTAATTATTAATTTATTATTATTATATTCAAAAATATACTCACCAGGTTCTGTTTCCAACCATTCCGCTTGATTCTGTCGCAAATCTCATAATAAGCCAGCATCCCAGGTTGCTTGGTAAATTCTCCAGGTTTACCAGGACCCGTTGTAGGGTCGCCCAGATGAGCTTGACTCGCCGAAGAAAGTCGATAAGACTGACCGTACATTGGGATACCGACTAGAAGCTTGGATTTTTCAGCACCGAGACTGACGAGGTAGCTCATGGTAAAATTCTGTAATATTTTCGAATGTATTACATTCAGCGATTTAGATTTATAATTATTACTATTACTTTTTTGCAATGACTATTATTGTATATGTAATAAATTACAACTGTTTTAAATTAAAAATGAAAAGATATTTAATATGTTAAATTAATAATTTAATACATATATTAAATATTCGTTTGCAGACTTACGACATTGTAATAGGGCTTGCTATCACCAGGCGAGCCAAACAAGGGCGCTATGTGTCCCGATTTGGATTCCCAGGCACCATGATAATCGTAAGACATGACCGACATGAAGTCGACGGCTCGCGAGATCTCGCGCATCTCGTACGCCTTGTCGATGACCTCCTTGTATCCCGATAAGGCGACAGCCAGGAGAAGAGGTGGTTTCTGCTTGTCGAATTCCTCCCTCAGTTCTCGTATCAGCTTAGTAAAGTTGGGCTTGTCGGAGTCCGGACCCTTCTTACAATCGCTCTGCCAACATTTCGGGTAACTCCACTCGATCGAGAGTCCATCGAAGTCGTGCTCCTTCAAGTAGCTCGCTGCAGTTATGACGAACTTACGACGAGCTACTCCGCTGCTGATTAATCGAGAATATTTATCCCCAGAACTGTCCGTCCATCCACCCAGAGCTAGCAATATTCTCGATCCTTCGACGGAAGTCACTCGTTGATACAGGTCTGGAACGAATCATTTGGATAATTATTCTAAAATTATTCACTCTAGATGAGAGGTTGAATTTAAAGTAAATTTTACAAATTAATGATCTTTATATCTTGCACCAAAGAAATGAACTTACTGTGTTCAATGTCAGCCCAAGGATCGTATGACTGCATCAGCATGGTCTCGGGGTTCAATCCAGCGAAAGCGTAGACGATGTCGGTGCAAAGCTTCGAGTCTAGATTTTCCGGCACGAATTTGCCATCCTCCTTCCGATACAGCGCCCAGGAAGTGATGTAACATACAACTCGCGGCCCTTTTTTTCGCAACAGCAATGCCTTCTGCTGCGACGAAATTATGTTCTTCTGAATTTTCAAATAGTCTCGATCGACTATTCGATCAAAAAAGTTGGACTTGCAGGTGTTTTCCCTGTAGATTTCCGAAAGTTTGTCCGGAGTAAGCATCTGACAGCGATTCGCGGTCGGATTGAAGTATCGATTGCGTCCGCAATAACCATGATGCAGTCGTCCTGAAAAAAATAAGTGTGATAATTGAGTTTTTTTATTTTTGAATAACGTAGAAAATTTTATTTTATAATTTTGAGTTGACATAGAAAGCATTATTATATTACCTTCGATGCAAGAATAAAATTTGGCACAATCATCCGGATCCATTCCGAAGACGTAATTCTCATAGAGACACTCTTCCTCTAGAGTATCCTTATAATATCCTAAGGATTCTACAGCCGTGTTCAGCATCGGCCAAGGATTCCCGCAAATACCCTGCGAAATTAATTTAGAACGCTCATATATGCACATACATTAATTATAAATATATAAACATGTACGTATATTATATATTTATAATTAATATATAAATATATATTAATATATGTTAATGAAATTAATATATTAATAAAATTAAAATATATTAATACATCTCGAAATAGCATGAATAAACAGCATGATATGATTATTGATTCATTACTATAAAAGCCTATCAAGTTATGCAATAAAGAATACATTTACTAGACACGTGTTATATAGTAACAAAACATATGTATACATTATCATAACCTGATCTAATGCGAAACTGTTGCTTATCTCTATATCGCATTAAGAAAATACCTCGCGTCTCGCGTATAAGCGAAAGATAAATTACTTGTCTCAGATTAAGTAATAATTGCATCTCATTAATGAATATAATTCTTTCAACGATAAATCTAAGGCGAAGAAAATAAAAACGAAGTAATTTTAATCTTCACGCTTTTATAAATAACACTAAATAATTATACAAAGGATATAATTTAAAAAAATAATAAAATATAATAATTAATATTACATATATAATTATTCAAAAGATAAAGGCTCGCTTAAATTCAAAAATTGATAAAAGGAAATTACTAGGCCAACTGACGAGCACAAAATTAGTTGTTAGTAAAAAATTATACAATATATATAAAATATAAAAGAGCAAATTCTTATACTTATTATAAAATGGCATTATTAAAATTATTTTTAGTTCCAATTAATCTTTTTCTTATCAAACTGGATAGACTTCTAAAAAATGCTGTTCTGATAAAAAAAGGAGAGGCAATGTTAACTTCATTAATTACCTGAAAATCGTCCTGATCCAGCGACCATAATGCAACCCCACCAAGTCCTACCGCTCGGACAAACGCTATTTTGACCTTGACCGATACAGGATCGTCATAACCGATCCATTGATCGCCGCGTTTTAGATAAGGACCTTCCTCGTCCCTGCCGGAGATCCACAGACCTGTTTCCAATTTATCGCACACCTGTGTATAACAGAATAATTTTTTTTCCAATTCTCAAGGACAATATCCCGAATAACAAACTGACGTCATTAAACGTCAAAATAACGTCATTCGACGTTAAAAGAGCTTTATTGTAAAATACACTTTACCTCGTAATAAGCTAATCTTCTATCTCGACTATTGGATTCAAGAGTGTATTCTTCACCGAAGATAGGCAAAGCCAGCACGATCTTCGACCTCTGATCGACCTCGACTTGTTTCAGCCATTCGCTCGTGTTTTGCGCGACGAAACTCAAGAGGCCCGGATGAGAGACGACTTTCTTCATCCTATCGCGCTTCGTCTCGCAATCGAAATCGTCTTCCTGACAAACCAGCGTATCCCGCCAGCTTCTCAAGATTATCAGATCGGCGATCTGCGCGAGTTCCGGATCCACGGGATCGTCCGGTCTCAGAGCCACCGCCAAAGTGTATCCTATTCTGGTGAAGGAAAAGCTGAATGTCTTCAGTATAATCTTGAAGCTGTCCCAATCGTCGGCGACAGTCGGCCAGTCGAGCTCGATGCCGTCGAAGGGATATTTCTCGAGGAATTCAAGGATGGACTTTTCCGGAAAGGAGGGCATTTTCGAGAAAAATTGGATGTCGTCGTACACAATGTAATTTGTGAGTGATATGAGCACCTGCAGCGTTGGATCCCGCGAACGAAGTTCCATAATAGCTTTATATCCAGCTGTGTAGCAAGGTAAATTCAAATCATTTAATTATTAAAAGTGATTTAATAATTAAAATTATGAAATAATATGTATTTATAAAAATATTCCAGATCTCTGCTAAAATCAGATAATGATTTGTTTCCAATATAATAGCTATTTTTTACTTTGTTAATCAAATTAAACTACGTAATAATCTTATTTACCTTGATCATACGAATCTCTAAGGATGATTTTATCTGTATCTGTAAATTTAAAAAAAATTCAAACTAAATAATTGGACAACGATAAAAATGCAAAGAAAATAGATTTGTGAGAATATATATCGTTTACCCAAAATAGCCGCATCGTATACAATATGAGTACACTTGTGATTTGGAATATTTCCTGGAAACAATGAGAACGGTTCCGTTCTATGAACAGCTTTGGAATTGAACCGGCAGACAATTTTAGGCTCGGCATTTTGCGTTCTTCGCAGGATCGGCGGTGCCACAGGTTCGATCCAAATCGATTCGTGGTCCACATCGACACTTAGGAAAGGCGCCTCGCGATGTTCCACCGCGTCTCTCAAAGGTAATCTTCCGGTCTCGCTAAATTGATTTTCATTTTATTCTCATAGCACACTTTATACGTTAGATTTAACAACGGATTAAATTCAGAGAAAAAATCAAAGTAACAAAAAAAATTATTAAGCATATATAAAAAAAATATAATTCTCTGAAAATTATTTAAAAAGGGAAACCGAAAGAAATATCAGTAGAAAAAGAAAAATAAATTAGATCCGACTGATGATTAAAATTGATGTGCATATAAAAATCTGTGAAAAATAAAATCTAAAAATTCGGATTGCATAAAAGCAAACGTGTGGAAGGAAGGTACATAAAATATCTCCAGTGTTTACCTCTCGGAGTCATCTCGGAATTTGTGACTCGATTCAACGGAAAGCACATTATCCGGCAACGATTCGACCGCATCGCGCAGGGGATATCTGTGCGAGCCAAACTCGTTATAATCTAAATAATTTGACGGGCGATCGAACGTAGGAGTCGACGACCTCTCGACGGCGTCTCTCTGGAACGAGGGAACGGGAAAGCCGCGTTGTTGCTGGTTCCGTGATGGAGATGATAGTGTATGGAGATGATCCGGACTATCTTGGACTGGTGTTCGCGCTTTCGAAGGGACAGCTGTAGATAAGCTTACCAGCGTCAAGAGGATAATCCAAGCCAACATGGCTGGCTGGAATGACAAATAACATTTATTATTAAATGATATAAAACTATGAAGTCACCAGATGATGATTAAAAAATGGTAATAATTCAATCGACCAACTCTGGCAAATAAGTAATTTTATTGAATTTTCACAACGTTTCGGCCGTGGTTTTCAGCCCTTATCAAGTGCTATAATATAATATTAACAATTATTAGAAAAATAAATATAAAAATAATAATTGTGAAAATTCAATAAAATTATTTATTTGCCAGAGTTGGTCGATTGAATTATTATTATTTTTATTTCTTCCTCTTCGTGTCTCTTCGAGAAAAACAGGGAGTCGGGCAGTTCTTTCTGCTAGCTTTGAAATCCCGAGATTTTTTTCGGAATTTAAATGACCATAGATTTAAGTAGCTAGGACAATAGGAGACTATATAGTGTGTTTGGAATGCATTTTATGCGTGACTGATGCACCTCGGTTTGTTTACTATGTCTTCAAGATATTTCGATCGTTTCTCCATTCGTTCCGAGAGTACAAGTACAAGAAATCGAAAAAGAGACAGCCTTGAAGGTATGCGGGCACTTCTTGCATGTTCGCATTGCCTTGTCTCTTACTCTTTCTATTCGCGTGCATATTTTATTTCTCGCGATTCCCATCAATATATCGTTTCTACATGCAACCGATTCAACAGTAAAATACTACCGATTTTATTTATGAGATTTAAAGTTGAAAACAAATGCAACAAAAAATTCTTTACGCAAGATTTTTTTAAATTATATATTTAGTATAAAATATTTATTATTATATTATTATCGTTTGAAAGAGAAAATAGTTTTTATCGCGAATTTCCACTAAGTAACTCGTGAAGAGAGGCCTTAAGGAGTAATAAATTCATAATGAATTCAAATTTTATACAGCGTTCAGTCTGAGTTATCCGAGGACAAAGACGTCTTAATGATTATTTTTCGCGGATGTACATACGTATACCTATTAAAATGCGAACGTCGTCGTAGGAGAAGATGAGACCGTACGATACAAACGGTTCACGATCTATTGTGTGCGAGGTTTGCACTGCACTTGGCAAACAGCTTCTTCTTATTTTACACGCTTATTTTAAAAGAATACCTCTTAAACCATCATACAATTCCATGGACCAAACGACTGCACTCTTTTATTTATTTATTTTTTTAATTTAAATAATACATGACAGGAGTTTATATATACAGGGTGTCCGGTAACTAACGGACCAACGATTACAAATGGATTCTTTGGTCAATTTGGGAACGATTTTTCCTCAGCGAAAATGTCGAAAAAGGTCATCATTTTTTACAACTTTCCAATATTTGTCATTATGTATCTTTATAACTAAGCCTCAAATTAAAATTTTATTATAGTAAACTCTACCTGAAATTAACTGAAGAATGTAATTATGTTAGACTTTTAACTCCAAAACGTTTAGTTTTCAAAAAACCCATTTTTTTCAATCGCTTATAACTCGAAAATTATTGACTTCTCAACATTTTTGCTAAGAAAAATCGTCTCCAAATTGGCCAGAGAATCCGCCCTTAATCATTGGTCCGTTAGTTACCGGACACCCTGTATATATATATATATATATATATATATATATATAATATTATATATATATATATATAATTATATCTATATATAAATAATTATATATATAATATATAAAATATATAATAATTATATATATAATATATAAATAATATATAAATAATTATATGTATATATATTATATTATATATAATACATATAATATATATAATATATATATAAATAATTATATATATAATATATATAAGAAAAAAAATGACGCACACAATTTGTGATATTGAAAGTGCTAGAAGAGACGGACCTTCCTGATTCCTCGTCCTTTTTGTAACTTTGTTTGTAACCGATGCTTGTTTCAGGGTGTGAAAAACTGTCACTGTCAGACGGGAGTGAAAACACCGTCCGATGAAAACACCTGTCAACGGCGCACTGATCCGAGCAAGGGCTCCTCTTCTAGGTCTCCTCCAGGTGTGTGCGTGCTCCTCCGCGATGAATTTTAAAAGACCACCACCACCACCGCGAACGGGGAGGGCCAACAATCTGGTATTCCGGACGCGCGAGGACGCAATATATATACCTACTCCTCCATTCCGGGGACGAGAGAGAGCCCCCGTGATCCAACATCCTACCTATTAAGTCTCCCGCTCTGCGACGACCTTGACCACGACTTCGTTCATGTATGTACACGCCCTGGACGTGGTCGCCCGAGTCGAAATCTTCTCGTCGCCTTCGATTCATCTCGCTCTCCTACCCTCTTTTCGCGTTATAGATTGCATTCGAGGGATGAGAGACCTCGTCGTCCTAAACAGAGTACTCCCGATCACGATCGATAGTCTTAATTGGGCTTCAGGATCTTAATTAAAGTCGATCGCTTGCAATATAAATCGTATTCTAATAGGGATGAGAGAACTCGCCCTAAGGGGATGGTCTTAATTAAAGTCATTGATTGTAATCATTTTATTGTTAAACATATGCATTGTCTTTATTCGTGAATTACATCTAAAAAAGATGACTGAATTAATAAATATTTATTTCAATAGAGATAAATATTTATTTGTTTTGAAAAGGATTTTCTTATGTCAAATAAATTTATTAATTATTTATTAATTCTTATATCAAATAAATATTTTTTAAAGCAATATTATTAGTTTCAAATAATTGATTCATTTGGCAGTATTGAAATAAATACTTATTCGAATTCGATCAATTTTTTCTTTCGGTGTGTAAAAACAAATTTACAACATCCTAAATTTTGAATTTTGAAACGATAGACGAATTATTGGCATTGTTGTATTATTACGGTTCTTCACATAATTAATTTAAATTGTATAGCAAAACAACCCTGATCAAGGAATCCTTTTTATATATTTACAGATAAAAAATATAATTATGTATTAAAATATATACATTATATTATAATTATATATTTTATATATATAATATATATATATATATATATAGTAATTAAATGTATATAATATATATATTAAAATTAAAATTCTATATTAATTATATTATTATATATTCCGTAGAAAAAAACAAGGACACTTATTATAATAGAATACTGAAGAACGAAAGTGTCAAAACTGGGCGCCTAATAATAACGACGTGAAAACTGACGGATGACAGAAAACAGCTGACAATGAGCCAAGTTGCAATGGGAAGAGAGGAAAGAATAAACGCGTACGATCGATCGACGTCCTTGACGGTCGATCTCGAAAGGGATCATTAGGGTATATCGCATACATTATTGTTGTCCGTAACGTGTAGTTAAATCCAATCTGCGAACATTGTCCGTTTGCGAACAATTTACGAAGCGATCGATTAATCGATAATCCCAAATCGCCGTAATTAGCAATTTATCCACACGCGAATAGGGGACAAGAAGAGGTTTGGGAAGGACGAATTCCCTCTTCGCGTTTACAAATATTTACATCTAGCGAATAAAAGAGTGAAATATGTAGAAAGATTTTCGGGAGAAGATATACGGATAATTTTCTCTCTCGTTGGAGAATCTCGTATTCGCAATAATGGTACGAGTTCAACACAAATTGGACGAGCCTTCTCTTCGAAACTTCCAAAAATAAGGCACCCTATCTTAGGGAGTGGCGAACGATTCGCCTTGAACTTACGAGAGGTCGATCTATCGGTCATTTGCTCTTTCTTCTCTCTAAGAGAAAAAATATAACAAAAAAATCGAAAATGCACCTTTGTGAAAGGGGCAGCCTGTCTTTAGGACAGTGTTTCAATAGCAACTTTGGCTGGAGATCATTATCGCTGCGTCATATATGTTCTATACAGGCGATAGTAAATTTATAAATTACTGGTTAATTAATAAATTTATTAAGTTTTTGTCAATCAAGTCAAATAACAATAATTAATGATCATCCTAAGTTTCCAACACACAAGTCTTTTTATTATATTTTATAGTCGCCAAATTAAAAGCGAAAACAATCTTATGTATATAATAATTTTATATTAGTTTAATTACAATAAGCAACACAATAAAAAATATAACAAAAGAGTATTAATAAATGATGAGCATTTTCAAACTTACGCGAATAATTAAAAATCAATCTAATCTCTGTTTGTATCTTTTTAGGAGGGAGGCGAGGTTCAAGGATCATTGACACTTTTTTTAAAATACATAATAATAAGGAAGGAGCGAAAATCAGATGAAGTATCTTTGACCAAATAGTACCGTTGCGAGCTGTGAAGACAAGCGGCCTCTGATCATCAATACAGTCGACAGGTAAAGTTGAAGAACGTTCAAAAGTAACATTCAGCAGGAGAACAAAGATCTTCGAAAGAGTTAGACGAGTATTCAAATTTCGGGCGTAGCGGTTCCCGGCTAATTGCATTACCGAATATATGTTTTTAAAGTGTAGAGACTCTCGATTCTTGACGCCTTTGAATTTCATACGATTAATAGACCCAAGATTATATTTTATATATATGTATATATGTATAATCTTGGGGCCTATTAATCGCACGAAATTTAAAAGCGTTTATACATTCTAAATAAGTGCGAAAAATTTTACGAGATGATTCTTTGTCGAAAATTAAGGAATATTTCTTATATAAACGTATACTCTTATATCCCTTCCTGAGGAGTTACACTTTCCTAAAGAGGGAGATGGAAATTAAGTTTTTATTTTTTTTTCTCAAATTTCGGACAAATTAAAAAAATGGAACGTGGTGGATATTTTCCGGTTCATTTTTTTAATTTGTCTAAAATTTGAGAAAAAGAAACTTAATTTTTATATTGTATATATTATATATATCATGGCGCTTAAAATGTTGCGTCGAGTTCAATGCCACTTCGTAACAAGGCGGAATAACGTTAAAATCGCGAATATAAATTTTATGCGTCACGGGCCCACGCAAAAAAAGAGAGAAAAAAAATAAATCGTAATCGCCATAGGTCGTTAATGGACCTAACCGGAGGCGAAACACGATCGATGCAGAACCGATTGTGCGGAGTCGGGATGCAAATGAGCTCCCTGCTCTCTTTCCTTTTTTTCTTTCTTTCTCTTTCAATCGCTTTGATCCAAATATCCATAATAATACTAGCTATAATAGCGTACATTGAAATTGAAGTCTACACGCAGATAAATCTGCGGTGAATTAATTGTGTGTTGATAAGCGATCTGGTTCGAGGTTCCTTTCGATATAAAAATTCACGTTCTACAGGATTATTACGATTATTTATTTTTCCAAATATTGATTACTTATAACTAATTATCGATTAACGATTATCGAAGGAAGAAATGGCTGCTTTTTCATCTCATTAATATCGTGCACTTATAATATAATATGTTATAATAATATAATATTATAATAATATAATATAATAATATAATATAATATTATAATAATATATTATTATAATATTATAATAATATAATATTATAATATAAATACTCGGAGCATTTATATCTACGCAGATCTTTTTTCCCGATGAAAGGATAGAATTATACAGCGTTGTTATTTATCGTCATAAATTTGGAAAAGAGAAATATTGCGTTATATCATAGTAACGTGTTTGTTAATCGGCCCATCACAGTCATTAGTGCATCCCTCATAAAATATCACTATCTCGTGATTTTTTGTAACAAATTGTTACACGGAAACGCTATTAATACATAAAGGATAGATTGAACTCTCCAATGGATTTCTCACGATAATGAAATACACACACACATTCTTTCTATCTTTTCTCGAAATTGAATACACCTTAGAAGCCAAACGCTTGATTTATATATACATATATTATTTTTATACATCCATACGTCTCTGAATAACAAGATAATTTTCTAAACGGCTTCTGTCGGCGAATCGAACAGGTTGTCGAAGATATAAAGATGAGCAATCGTGGCGAATCTGAAACGTCGCATTAATCATCCGAAAGAACTGAAAAAGCACTCAGGCATTACGAAACAGATAATGAGATCCGCCAATAATTAGCAATGATTCATGGTAATAAGATTACGAGCAAAATCAAATCTTCTTCAAAATAGATAAATATTTATATTTGTTTCAAATAAATGATTTAGGCAGCACTGAAATAAATATTTATTAATTTAATCATTTTTTCCAGGGTATTCATTTTTATTTTTTATTATATTTTGTATAATAAAAATATAAAAATAAATATAATACTGATTAATATATAAATAAATACATAAATAATTTGATTATATTTATATATAAATAATATATATTATTTTGTCGATTTTTTCTAAATAATAAAATAAATTATAAAAGAGAAAAATCATACGTCAAAAATCGTACGTAAATTTTTTTCAATTAAAAAATATTATTAATTTTTCTTTTTTTTTCGTAAAATGATTTTGAATAATATAAATCGCTATCAATTCCAAAACGCGGTTCCTTTATATCATTATTCATCTTCGCGATCGGGGAGAAAATCACCGCAAAGGCGTCGAAGATGGTTAATTCTTTCGCTGTCTTGATCGACAACTCTTGCCGTTAGTCTCCGAAGGGTCTTAAGACGGAGTCAAGGCCATGTTACCGGTCCCCAAGTCGCTTTTATAGCTGTCGGTTAGTGACCTCAACGCCCATCCCAAGGAACAGTCAGAGATTTAGGCATCGGCTGCCTCCTCATCACATTCCACTGTTCGCTTTGCTCTCTTTTCTATTCTGTTTCTTCTTTTTGATTTCTTACCGAAAAAAGACCGTACATTAATTCACCTCGCACACAATGCTCATTAACTCCTTTTCATCTCCCGCATACACTGCACCAAAAAAATCCTTTTATGTACTAGATTTATTAGATTGTCTACATAATAGTATACCGCTTTGCGCGGTCCGAAAAGCTAGTATATTAAATATTATAAAAAAGAAAAATAAATATATAAAATAAAATGGTTATATAAATATAATAAATATATTAAATATCATAAAAAAGAAAAATAAATATATAAAATAAAATGGTTATATAAATATAATAAATATATTAAATATCATAAAAAAGAAAAATAAATATATAAATATATTTATATATATTTACATATAATTATATTTATATATTTATTTTCTTTTTATAATATTTAATATATTTATTATATTTATATAATCATTTTATTTATATATTTATTTTCTTTTCATGATATTTAATATATATTTATTATATTTACATAATATAATAAAAAATAAAAAAATACATAAATAATTTATATATATGTATATATATTATTTTGTCGATTTTTCTATATAATAAAATAAAATAAATTATAAAAGAGAAAAACTCATCTAATCTATATATACGTATTTAATATAGTATTAAATGAAAAATTCGTGTTTTTATTTTTAGCGTAATTTGTTTGCGATAATGTATAACACATCTTCCGACAGGCTTTGTCTCCCTTTTCTCCTTCAGCTCACAGAAATAGCTGAGCGATTTGTTTCTCTTTTAGTTTTCTCGAAGGATGACAATATAATGTCGCGACAATCTCACCCATTCGTCGTCCATTGACACAAGTCTCGCTGCGAATGAGTAATACAGACAGCCGCTGATTTATAAATGTATATATCTTTGTGTACATATATATATATATATATATCTTGAAAAAAGGACACGCCGGAGCTGAGAAATCGAGAGCGAGAACCGCGCAACCTTCGCGAAGTCGCGAGATTAAATACGATACTGACCCTGACGAGACTCGCATTCACAACGAGTACAGCGAGACAGGTGCTCGTAATGCTCGTAATTTTTCCTTAATGATAGCTCTCCTTCTCGATAAACGGAGTAACAGTGAGCTGCCGATTGGCTGACTTTTTTTGTGAATGAATTTTTCATTAATTATTAAGGAGATCGCAAAACGAGAGCGAACACGGTTTAATCCGTTCTACCAAAACACGAAAGGTGTTGCGGATATATATTATCGGATATCGTGTGCAATTTGATCTCTGAATTAACTCTGAATTAACTGACATACATATCCCAGTCCAAAACGCACCCATAAGACGTCTTTAAGATGTTTTTAAGATGGGTTATCATGTGATAAGATTTCTTATTAAAGATGTCTTGAAGATTTCTTTAATGATGACTTATGCGTGCATTTTAGACATGGTGCTATCTGGAATGTGCATACAAACACAATAAAATGAAGCAAAGTATTTTTCAATGTAATATATTTGATTTTATTCAATTTAATATTTAAATGCTTCCCTTGATTTTAAATAATTATTATAATTTTTATTTTGCCTTTAATTTAATGTAATTTTATTTTATTTTAGATTTTATTCTTTTAAATAATTGTTTTTGTTCTAATATTTTATTAATTATCGTATCAGTCATGTAAATAAAATATTTAGTCCATCTTTTTTTCTTTTTGTCCTTTATTTTTTTACATTTATTATAAATACGCTTAATTCGTAACAAAGAAAAATAGAAGGAACGAAAGGAATTAAAATTACAAAATATTATCAAGCATTAGATAAATATGATATTAATAAAGTGCATAAATGCATTTAATTTTTTTCATGCTATATCAAATACAGAATATCGATTATTTCATCAAGTAGGTACATAACAATTTCTTTCTGGCTTATTAACAGTTTTGCCTATGTACAGGGGCTCTATTAAAGTGTAACTTATCCGGAGTTTTACGTTTAATAAACTTTCGATTAAAATATTTATATGTAGCGAAAGTAGAGCGAATATGACGAATAAATGAAAATAGTGGAAGTTAGTAATAAATGTATAATACAAAATTATCTGTAATATTATGTTGGCATTTTGTCATCGTACTCATTATTAAAAAGTCATATAAGAACAAGATAAAATTGTTTCTAAAAAGTTTAAATTTTCTAATCATCTGTCAATTTTTTAATTTTTAACAAATAACAAGCAAGATTTTAGTAAATCTGAAAGAAATGGACTTTTATTTTTCGTCATTGTAGAAAGTAAAAACACGACAAAAGTAAACATTATTTTATCCCTATTTTTCTGCTTACCCCTTTATGCCTTTCATCCTTTTATAATACCATAGATATACAATACAAGGGTCAGAAATAATTTATCTTTTTTTCAAAGAATTTGTTTTAAACAATAACACTTCTTTGAGAGAAACCTTCAGATAGAAGAATGTATCTCTACGGGATACTTCAAGATTCGTAGAAATTAAAATAGAAGACCTTTGAAAACATATACAACATATACAATTTCAATTTTCTTCGAATTTTTAATGTATTGTGTGTAAATTTTAGAAATAATTCAAACTAGAAAGAAGTTCTAAACTCCAACAGAGTTTCAATAGTCGCATTTTTTACCCGTAGTATAGTGCTATTTTTTAATTCTTTATCTTTTTTGTCGCAAAGACGCATATATATAGAATGGAAATAAAATAGCAGAATTTCTACACTGAAAAAAATTATTAAATTAATAAATATTTGTTTTGATATTGTTTTATAAATCATTTATTTGAAAGAAATATAAATATCTGTTTTCAAAAGGATTTTCTTACATCAAATAAAAATAATTTTTTACCTAAAATCATCAATATTATTAGTTTCAAATAAATTATTTATGAAGAAATTATAAAGAAATTTATAAAGAAGCAAATAATAATCCTTAAGGTTCGCTAGTAATAATTAATAAAAATCTTTCCTCAATGGTAAAAGTCGACCAAACTGGCAATCAATGATTGCCAGTTTGGTCGACTTTTACCATTGAGGAAAGATTTTTATAAAGAAGTATTGAAATATAAATATTTATTTGAAGTTAATAAATTATTTTTCAGTGTAGGTATAAGTTTCGTTAGTCTTTTTTCTCGAGTCTAGGAGAAGGGATGAGAAACCCTAAAACGTAGGATATTTCAGGCAAAGTTTTCAGAATAAAAGTGGTGGATGTGCTGTGTGGAATTTTTAATCTCTGCAGTGTATCCCCTTATGAAAAAAAAAACTATAAGAATACGAAAAAATTACTGGTATACTAATAATATATTATTGAAGAAGTATTATTATATCAATAATTTTTTCATATTCTTGTGGTTTTTTTTTCGTGCGGGTCAAATACATGTGCTTTCTGCAATTTTATTGCGTTTTTAAAAGCAGAAAATGATTAATTATACGCAAATAATTTGTAGTTATAAATTATATTAATTTCTAATGTTTTACCAGAATTTTTCGCATAATGAGTTCGTGTATAATGTGCATGCCTGATGAGCTGATATACATCATTCTCAACTATAGTGAAATCAGCATTGAGGATGTAATTAATTTCCGATGCACGTGCAAACGTTTCCAGTATGCAGCCAATTATAAAACATTTTTAGAAAAAAAGTTCTATCAGAGGTATTTTTTTGTGAATTTTTCGTCAATGTATTTTCATTATATAGTCTATCGCGAACATTACTTCACTTTTGCACGTTTTATTTTATAAAAATAAAAAATACAATACAATAAAATAAATAGATGAAGAAAAGTTTGTTCATCGTATTTATTATTGCATAATTTTAACGTAAAATTTAATTATAATTTAAAATTAAAAATTATATATTTTTTATTTGCTATATTAATACACAAACAATTTATATTTTGACTCATAATTTAAATATGATATTTTAAAAAATGTATTGCTTTGATATATCATTATTGTGGTGCAAATTTTCAGTTTATTAAATATATTTTTTGTTTTAATTGCAGATGGCCTTCTGGCAAGAAATGTTATGACAAGCAATTTAAGAAAATTGCGCAGAAGGATTCTCATCAAGAGAGCAAAAAAAAGAATAAAGAAATCTTGAACTTTATGAAAATAGGCATAAAAAGTGTGAAAGAATTACGGAATTTGGTGTCTCGAATAATTTCTATAAATTATGACAAGAAGCCCCCAATCAACATTTATGACAATAAAACTGTCGATAATTTAATACTATTTGAAGATATATTTCATTTAGATACATATTTAGACATAAATCTGCATAATATAATTGAAAATTCTAAAAATGTCATAAAATATCATGTCTTCCTCGATGAGATGAAAAACTTTCTGAAACAATCTCCACAGTAAGATTCTTTATATATATTATCCCAAGTAGCAAACTGGTGTCATTTTGATGTTTAATGACGTCATTTTGACATTTAATGACGACAGTTTGCTACTTGGGACAGTACTATCCCAGCAAACACCGATATATAATTGTTACATTGCTATAATAATACGGAATATAACAGGTAATATAACGTGTACGTTACATGTAACATCCATGTTAGTTGTAATTTCCCACTCATAGATGTAACATTTTAATATAACATACATTGTAGTTATATTGTAATTATATACCAAATAGCACATTGATGTATTGATAAGTCAGTGCTATCTTGGGATATAATGACAATATAACTACAATGTAATATATGTAATATTAAAAATGTTACATCTATGAGTGGGAAATTACAACTAACATATACGTTACATGTAACATGCTTAAATATATAACATTTATATACTGTGTTTGCTGGGATTAATTTTATAAATCATATACTTATCATATAGCTAATATGTAAATTTTTCAGAAAACCTGATTGCGATCTAACCGTAAGGTATTGCAACATGAAACTCTTTCATTATATGAGGGAACGTTTGATAGAAAATAAATTGCATAGATTTGTAAAACGACCTGACAGAGAACTGCTTTTAGAAAGAGTTGCTACTATTGTTGCAAACTCTGTTCAACCCGAAAATGATATACCTTACTCCAGTGTAGAGGCATCGTTGGATACTATCACATTTGAGGTACTGAATTGTCTCGCAGAAAAATATCCCAATCATCCGATATTCTCGATATTTGGTGAGAAATTTTTTAGTTGGAAAAACAACAATATCGACGATAATCATTGGAACGAAGAGGAAAGTGCGAAAATTATGAGTACACTCGACGAATATATATTTGGTAAATTGAACTTTCGGTCGAGCAATTCGAGAGACACAAATCTGAAGTATATGTGTATAGATTATGTACGTTATTATTAAATATTACAATTATACGAGCGCAATTACATATTGTGAGTATGTATAATATACTCGCATTCCGCACGAAAAACAACTACAAGAATACAAAAAGATTACTGATATAATATAGTTCTTTAATAATATATTATTGATACCAGTCATTTTTTCGTATTCTTGTAGTTTTTTTTTCCGTAAGGGATGTTTGATAAAAATACTCTCAGATTGTGCAACAATAGTAGCTTTAATCAATTTCTAAATTAGAATTTCTGACACAGGTTTTGAAAAACAAATGTGGCCATCAAATAATTTTATTAATAATATATCATAGCGTGGCTAGAAGACTTGGTTTGCGTTACGATGTAATAAGTCTTCAAACTCGATCCCTCGCCACACCAATCTATTGTATATTTTGGAAACCAAAACTGTAAGTATAAATATTAGGAAATATTAATATATTATTATAAAATATAATATTAAAATGTTATAATATAAATATATATTATAAATATTAATATATTATTTAACACACGCACATATATATAATTTTTTATTGTTTACAGTGCTGTGAACAGTTCAGAAAGAATAAAATGTTTTAACATAAATTCTAAAGAATTCCCTGAGTGTTTTGATGATCAACGGATGCAATTTTGGCGAATGCATTATGATGGTGGTAATATCTTAGAAATAACAGCTGCAAAGGTTAGCATATACTTTATATGATTTTTATTAATTAATTTTAGCACTAATTAATAAAAGTTTGTAAGCACTTTGGCAATAATGATATAAATTAATATAAAATCCACTTTATCAGTCACAATGAATTGTACACAATCTCATTTTTTCATTTGTAATAAAAGAAAATAAAGCTAAAAAATTAGTTACAAAATTAATTTAGAAAATATTAATATTAATTAAAATACTCAAATATTATAATTATATTATTATATAGTAAATATTAATATTAATTTATTTATTTAAAGCTCTGTTTATACGTTTAATTCTTGTTAATGTTTCATTCTTTTTTTCAGCTTTGGCAAGAGATGAAAGAAATAATTGTGGATTTGGTAAACCGAGATTATCTTGTCGACATTCAAATTTCACGTGAATCTAGACTCTTTGGCTTGATAAGTCGTAAGGTATGTTAACAATTATACATGTCACATATTAATATATAATATAATATAATTACAAAAAAACCACATATATACAATTATATATGAATTATAATTATAATTAGCTGAAATTTAACTCGCTTGAAAAATTCAAGAACTGACAAAAAGATCAATATTAGAATCCAGATTCTAATTGAGTTCAAATCCCAGAATCTGATCTTAACTGGTCGTTTATATGTTTCGGTCTTTTGAACGATCCGGTCAAAAAACGATCTACATTTTCCAGATCAGACTTTACTTTAAAAAAACAGATCCGTTAAGAAGATCAGAGGAAGTTAAATTTGCAGTAGGAATGGTCGTAACACATAATGCTCAATCCGTAAATAATTGTGCCGGTGTGATAATCGGATGGCACCGACCTACAGATACACATATTACATTCAGTATGTCGGGTCCTTATGTGCTACATTCATCGTACATTTGTAAGCAATGCATAGTGCCGTTGAATCACTTAAGTAATTTACATTTTGTGAAGCAACAAACAAATTACGTAATTCTTACTGAAGACGATAAAATATGTTACGTAGAAGAAGGTACGAATATATATCATCATTTATAGATACATCTTTTTTTATTTTAAATAATTATATTTCTTTATTCTCATCTCTTCTCATACACGATATAAAATAAGTTTATTTTATTTATTATTTTGTTATCATTTTATTATCTTCAATTTTAATTATTATACATTTATGATTTATGTATTTATCCCAGCAAACACAATATATAAATGTTATATACTTAAGCATGTTACATGTAACGTATATGTTAGTTTTAATTTCCCACTCATAGATGTAACATTTTTAATATTACATATATTACATTGTAGTTATATTGTCATTATATCCCAAGATAGCACTGACTTATCAATACATCAATGTGCTATTTGGTATATAATTACAATATAACTACAATGTAATATATGTTATAGTAAAATGCTACATCTATGAGTGGGAAATTACAACTTACAACTAACATGGATGTTACATGTAACGTACACGTTATATTACCTGTTATATTCCGTTTTATTATAGCAATGTAACAATTATATATCGGTGTTTGCTGGGATTATTTGTTAATTTTTATCTTAGACGCTCTAACATTAACACCGAAATGGATCGACAATAGCGAAGTAGGTCGCTATTTTTGTAAGTTCAAAAACACGTATTACGTACCAAATGAACGGTTGAGGAGACTTTACCCGCAAGACGCAACTGTAGCTGCTCGAACAACAATAAACATTTGAAAATTTATACTTACATTATTAAAATTTTAATCCAAATACAAATTTTTTTTAAATTATTGCAACTAGGTGCATGCCCTCGCACCGGATGCAAGATTCAGAGGGAAACACAGTCAAGACGAAATAAAAAATTTGAAAAGGATGAAAAAATTATTAAAAAAATATATTTTTTTATAACAAATAAACGTTCTTTTTAATTCAGAAGTTCAATTTTTTTTATTATATTGGAAGAGGGAGAAAGGACGCAAAATGTTGAACTGCATCGGGTGCGCAGACTAGTTATGGCACTAATTATAATACTAAATATTTCATTATTAACTGATGATATATTTATATATATAATACTTTCCATTTTTCACGTTATAACGTTTTTAGGAGACACAAATAATTATAATATGATAATTGTGAAGTGCAATGACGAATATCCCAGCAAACACAAAGTAACAATAACATATAACATTAATGTTATAATTTCCTATTCAATAATATAACCGCAATTAACATGATTTGAATATGTAACAGCAGTAACAGTTATATATTATTGAGTGGGAAATTACACATTAATATTATGTTATTGTATAATGTAATACTTTGTGTTTGCTGGAAAGTCATGTGTGAACAGAATGACGTATATTTTTTATGTTTACATGCAGATTATGCCGAATTAATGTTTCTTGATCATTATTGCATTCTTTTATCTCTTTTCACTTTTTATTTTTTCGATGAAATTTAAAGAAGATAAATTTTAAATTGATATTAAAAAAAAATATTGTGAAAAAGACATTTATCATTAAGTTTTGACTCTGTCGATGATTATCGTAATTTTTATTTACGACAAATCTTTAATCATAGAAACAAATAAAATAATGAGAATGCAGATATAAAACAAAAATTAATAGAGAGAGAGGCAGATTTATTTTGTTTTAAGACAATGAATATAAAAACCATCTTTTTAAGCAACACGAACTTTTACAAGAATGCAATAATATATTAATTGAATATGCACATTTATTAGTAGAAAATAAATATATTAAAATGAACAAACCCAAAAAAGAGAGCTGCATAACACGTGCATTTAGTTCACAGACACAATCGTGTCAAAATTTTGACAGGAAACCGTCACACAAACATGCATATTTTTATAAAATATTTATATATATATATAATTTATGTTGTGTGCGCGTCTTTCTCTCTTTATATTAATATGAATACTTAAAAATAAATCATATAACTTCCACGTGATGCTTTGGTAATCTGTTTAGGTAATCAAATGCAGAATTTGCATCAGAGGATCAATCAGGATTATTCGTATGACGAAGAATTTTTACTTCATTTAACAAATAAAGAAACGAGGCAAGAATTTTTCCAAGAATTTCCACGATAATCTTCCTTCCCAAAGGAATGACGCCTGTCATTTGCAGAGCCATCATCAACATATACTTTTATCTGTCAGGAGCAGATTTTAACGAAGGGTAGTTTGGTATATAAAAGAACAGCATCTCCGGATTATGGATGCACATCGTGTTTTGTATCGCGATATACATCTAACTTGCACAATCGACAGCTACTACAAATTAGCGATAATTGTAAGTAATTAGTAAATTAATAAATTGTGACAAAAAGTCGAGATATTATTCGAATTTTATGCGTGATAAATTTTCTACTCTTGTTTTGTTCAATCGTACAGAATGTTTCTTTTTTTCTTTACGATTTTTTATGTGTTAATTTATTTTTATCGAATAGACGAATAATTATTAAATTTGTTTATAATGTATTATAAAATTGTATTGCAATTTAATGACAGTGCGTGTTAAAATGTGTTCTAACACTTTATCTTTCTCGAGACAGGATCTATATCAATGGCTAACTACGTCATCGCTATCGCTGTTATTGTTGGAATCATTTGTGGACAAGCGTTGAGCTTAGGCGAAGATGCTGATAGAAATCTTTTATTTAATTTTCCTTACGGCAGAGGATTGGTAAGTGCACTGAAAAAAAATTTATTGAATTCAAATAAGTATATATTTATTTCGATACTGCCAAATAAATCATTTACTTTTGAAACTTTATAATATTGAGTTGATGTGAAAAATATTTATTTGATATAAGAAAATTTTTTTCAAAACAAATAAATATTTATTTCAAATAAATAATTTATTAGGCAGTATTAAAATATTTATTAATTTAATAATTTTTTTCAGTGTGTCTGTTCAAATCAATAAAAAATATATATTATAATATTTATATATAAATATTTCATATTTCAAAATTAAATAAGTATATTAAGCGCTTTGTAGGAACAGAATTGATTTACATCGAACTGAAAAAAATATAAATAAAATATGCAACATGATTTACGAAAAAAATTAAATAAAAGTAGTGGTCATTCAGCGAGTATTCTCATACATTTTGTCTGATATTTTTTTTATTTTAGGACAGCGAACTGCAGCTGGCTAGATTGATGTTGGCAACTCCAAAATTGTGTCATCCTAAACGCAATACCGAGCTTATAAATTCACTATTGGGTCTACCGAAAAATATGAATAATGCCGGGAAATGAAACTAGTCTGATTCTACATATAAATGGTAAAGCGCAAAGGTTATCCGCTCGTAGTTGATAAAATTAGATTAGAAAATACAACAGTTAACTATTCTCAATAATATATAATGTAAAAAAATATGTACCAAATTATGTACAAAAAAATGTAAATCGATATTAATAAACATAAAAACATAATTTTTGTATTTTATTTTCAAGTTTTTCTTGTATAATTATATACTAAAATTTTGTAAGGTGCGCATTAGACACTTTTAATTTATTTTTTACAGTATATATTATTTACAAATAAAACTTTTATTAGAATTGTATAAATGTTTTGTTTTCTCCAGTCTTTAATCTATATAGTTTAAAGCATTCAAAATAAGTCATATCATTTTTACAATAAAAATATATATAATTCTACAAATATTAATCACTTATGAAAAGATGTATCATCTTGATTCTTAAAAGTCATATTATTTCATGTAAAATAATATGCACAAAACTTTATTTTACGAAATGAGATATTACTGTTACTTTATTTATATACCTATATAAAAATGTTTTCCTGTATAGTAGAAATATAAGATATATAAAATCAATATTCACATTAAACATATAAAAAAACGCGATATAATAGCTATGTATATATTTCATATAAATGTGTCTATTTTTACATAGCATGTAAAAAAAAATTGTCTTACAATTAGAATTTTAAATGAAAACCACCACCGACGGGCGGCGCTCTGCCACCCTCTATTAAACCCATGTGGAAACCAGAGTTGCTTAAATCGGCCTCGTCACCGTCGCCTAATTGTTTATATTCTCTGCCACCACTTGGCGGCTTCGGGGACGCGTTCGTAGTTCTGGTTCCCTGTTCCGATTTTGCGGGCCATGTAGGAAACATTTGCGGATCGATGGGTAAAGGTGCTTCAGTGAAATATCCATGATTCACAGCGTCTTCGGCGGTTACACGTTGACGAGGGTCATACGTCAAAAATCTAAAAATAGATTAATTCATGTAATGAGACTTGTTTAAATATTCAACGCTTGTATATATTATTCTTTAACATAAACATCATACTGGTAACTTACTTATTCAGCAACTCAACACCTAAATCAGACAATGATAAACTGAATCTTTGTCTCAGGTTATTTACAGGATAATGCGAGAACGGTATCTTTTGAACCATAGGTAATTTAACATATCCCGGCCAATTTCTTTCAGTCGGTGTACCCAGCTCCTTAAATATCTTATTCAATTGATCTATATCTGATTTTCCGGGAAACAGTGGTTCCATTCTTAGAAGCTCGGCGAAAATACATCTAAGAGGAAAAATGATATTGTGGTCATGTAATTTTATCAATTTTATAATTATATTTATATATATTTAACAATATTATAATTTGATCTAATTTAAAAAAGAATATTTCAAATTAAATGTTTGTACTTACCCTACAGACCACATATCCACAGGCGTACTATATTCCTTATCACTTAGTAATAATTCAGGAGCTCTGTACCAAAGCGTTACAACAATTGGAGTATATTGCCTTAACGGAGAACCGTATTCCCGAGCTAAACCAAAATCCCCAACTTTCAAAATGCCTCTGTGACTCAATAATAAATTGGATGTCTTTAAATCACGATGTAATATCCAATTATCGTGTAGATGGGCAACTGCGCGTAACAACTGCTGCATAAGACATTTAACTTCTCCTGCAATAGATCAAAACATTAATTTTTTAATGTTTCTTTATAAATTATGAATTTAAAAACCCAATAGAAAAACATCAAGTCAAGAAAGTACATTCATTATTACAATCATTATTGCAAATTCTTTGACATTACATTAATTAAATTTATTCTCAATATATTTTTTTATAATTTTTCATTTTTTTACTTGCACTATTGCATGTCGCATGCAATTTTCTCGATTAATTTCTTTTACATAATGAAATATACTTACCAGGTATAAAAACTTGCTTTTTTGCTTCATAGTTTCCATGAGAGATTTTAAATCATGCTCCACATAATCCATAACGATGAAGATCTTATCCATATTGCTACCAACAACAATTTCCCGAACAGTAACAATATTAGGATGTTGCGCCTTCAATAAAGTGTTAATCTCTCTCAGGCTTGTAATTGGGAACCCTTCTTTTTCTTTTTCCATTTTCAATCGTTTCAACGCGACTATTTCCTCTGTGCGCTTATCACGTGCTCTATATACGACTCCGTATGTACCTTCTTCAATTCGATTTAAACATTGAAATTCTTCAACGCTTCTACAACCTGAAAAGAAGAAAATTTGTAATCTACTTGTTCTTGCCTTTACTTATTCTTAAAATTTTTTAATTTATATAGATTTGTAACATCATTTACGTCTCTATCTAATCATCCACATATGTTGTACCTTGAATGGCTGGTAAATAATGCGGTAGCTCTGGTTCCTCTTCTTTCTTTTCCTCTTCTTCCACATTTTTCACAGGAATGTTCGAATCGACGTGACCAGGGGAATCTCCGTCCGAATGATCGGATTTGGCTAATCGCTCAACGGATAGAGGACTCGGATTGTTGTAATCCGAACCATCATTGGAATCATTACCAGAACCTTTATTTGATTCGTTAGATTCATCATCATCATCGCTGCTCGATTCCGAGCTGTCGGACGAATGTCGATCCAAGGATCTATCACGCAAGCTTCTCTCTCCTTCCGATGAGTGTCTAGATTCGGCTGATTTCGAACGCATACCATCAGAATGAGCAGGGCTTGGACTTTCATCTGACAGCTCTACAATAGAAGGATCTGGATTGTTATCTGGACTTAAGGGACGTTTTTCACCTCTCTTCATCCTTCTTGCTTCTAATTCCAATCTAGAAACTTCTTTTCTTCTGGCCATTTCTCTATCAGCTTCCAACAATCTTTCCTTTCTAAGTTCTTGCTCCGTCATCTCTTTTGGATCCTTAATCTGTATCGGAATCTCATTTTGTATTTCCATTTCATTAACTTCATCAGCTACAAGTTCCATAGTTTCTCGCAGCTGCTTTTCTCTATGTTCCTTTTCCCGTTCCATTTTCTCTTGATCTCTTTCGCGAATTCTCTCGTGCTTGTGCGATCTCTTCCGACGCTTTTCACTCCTCTCGGGTCGTTCCATCAGTTCATTTTCAGAAAACTGTTCGTCTACAATCACTCGTATGTGCCTCTGATCTTCCATTCGAATCTCACGACGTTCTCTACCGTCGTCCACGATACGCATGTCCCGACGTTCCCGAATCTCCTCCATTCGTATGTCTCGACGATCGCGCGATTCGCGAATTTCTCGCGTATCCTCTAATCGCATTTCGCGACGAGACGATTCTATTTTGTAGTCTCGAGCATCGCGCGGATCCTCCCGTCTTTCTCTCCTCTTATCTAACAACCTGGAAAACGTTTTCATTTAATTAGTCTTAGAAAAGAGTTTATATAAATCAATATTTTTCAATTAAAAATAAAATAGGCGTGATAGGACCAGATCAATAGATAATCGCATAGATATAAAATATTATTACCTTTCCCTTAAGTCTTCTAAAACACGATCTCCTGTACTTCTATCCTTACGATCATGCCTAGACGATTCTCTATCCCTAGAATGAGTCTCCATCCTGTCTAAACGATCCATTCTCTCGCGATTCCTCTTAGAAGTCTCCATTCGTTCAGATCTCTCCATAGGCTCTCCAACATGCCTACGATGCCTGTGTTTGTCCCTGTGTCTGTCCTCGCGTTCGTGCTGACGCGATTTGCGCTCTTTCTCATCCCTACGACTCCTTCTATCGCTGTGTTTCTCCCTTCGACGAGATGAACTTGATTTGTGATGGCGAACAACTGCCTGCGGTGGCTTAATGTCCAATGAGTCAGCAGTATCACCCCCTTCTTCTTCTGAAAAACTGGAAATATGAAATCAGACGAATCATTAAATAGAATCAATATACCAATTTCAAAATTATTGATAAACTTGTGTACAAATATTAATATGTAAAATAAGGATGACCTTGTAAGGGATAAATTCGACAATTATTAATTTTTTTTTATATGTTATATGTAAATGTATACAAATATTAATATGTAAAATAAGGATGACGTTGTAAGGAATAAATTCGACAATTATTAATTTTTTTTTATATGTTACATGTAAATGTGTACAAATATTAATATGTAAAATAAGGATGACGTTGTAAGGAATAAATTGGACAGTTATTAAATTTTTTTTTATATGTAACGTATAAATGCTGTGTGATGGGTCATTTTACAGAATTCTAAATACCTAAAAATTCTGCGCAGCATCATTCGTCATTCTGATCTCGAGGCGTAACATATTTTTACAGTGTGATAAACAAATTTACTGTTTTTCCGAATACTGTATAAATGAAAATTAATGAAAAACTTCCGACATGGACTCTGCCATTTGCGCTAATGTATATCAGAAATCTGTATTACCGATAAAACCAACTGAAGAGCAAGGATGACCAACTTCTATATATTACTAAAATTCCCTAAATTTTGTAAAGTACCTTCGAGTCGGCAGTCTAGTAAAATATGTAATAAACGTTTATGATCAAATTACGAAACTGAAATTTTAATATTTTTATAAATTCTGTCATTTTTGACGTAAAAAAAATTTTGAAAAAAATTTCAAAAAATACAAATTTTTTTTCTAATTAATCAAATTTTATCATTTTCTTAGCATCGGAGTGCATCCAAAAAGATGCATTACGCAAAGTTGCGCAAACGCGCGAATGGAATATAATTTTAATTTTGCAAACATTTAAAAAAGTTTTACACAGATTAGACTATCGGAGCAACGACAAACACTGTAAATCCTGATTATGCGTTATAAATGCAATCCTTTCCACACAGTTCGAGTTCGCGGTTGAACAATTTTTCGATCCCAACCTCAAATCGCAAGTAACGCTATGTTTATAATAAATACCTGTAATCACCCATATCCTTCGACGGGCTCTTCTTGATTTCTCCGTCCTCGCTTTGGTTATCGATATCCATATCCTCGAACATATATATATTTATATATATATATGTTTCCCGAAAGAAGTTGAACGATTCTAACCTGCACTTTGTAAAACGCTGCAACTCTGGACGCTTGAAATTGTTTTCATTTTTCACGAACCACAACAAATCGACGAATGACCTTATTAATAAAATATCATTCACAAATGTATGCTTGCTTAAAAATATCCAAGATACAAAAAGCGTATTTTCGGCGAGCGTCCACTCGTGTTTCCGACACGTTTCGCTTCTGTCTATCGAGCAAATGCAGGCGCGAGATGCGCAGAAATTGTTACCAGATGGCGCGCATGCGCAATTCGCTTCGTAGGTAGATAAACAAATCGCACCATTAGCGTTTCAAATATGCCCTTAGCGGACTTCTTCTTCTTCACGCTTTTTTGACCCAGTCGCGTTGCAACTTTTGCCCATCAACAGATTATGATTGATATTCAGCAAAATTGATATTCCACTCTTCTTCAGATTTAAAAGTATCTTCGTGTAAAAGTGTAAGGGCCGGTTGTTTCAACTCTTGATAAGTTTTACTCGACAAGTAGCATATCATAGGCCTAGTTTACATCAAGCACTTGATATGCGTATCAATTAGTGTATTTGAACTGGTCAGGCAATAACTGAACCAATTTACTAGTAATTTACTATTTGATACGCGTATCAAGTGCTTGATGTAAACTAGGCCTTTGTTTTTTTTTTTAGAACTTATCTGAAAAGGTAAAACTTACCGAGAAGTTGGAAAATCGGCCCTGAGGGCCGAATATTCCAACTCGGTAAGTTTTACCCAACAGGTAGCATATCTTCGTCTCTTTTTTTTTAATTTATCTGAAAAGAGACGAAAATATGGTACCTGTCGGGTAAAACCTTAGAACATATATTACTGGAAGGGGAATTGCTATTGTTCTCCATGTAAAAATCTGTGTCCAAGTTGGGTGCGAGAGAGAAAGATAGCTTTTAACCTATGCTCGCAATGCGCAAACGTAGATGACGTCACGCTCACCGCGCTATTTGAAACTGGAAATGTAATTGGTGCTTTCGCTAATTCGCGTTTGCGCATTGCAAACGGAGGTAACAATCTACCCTTCTCTTTCCTTAAAAACGTGGTTCTCTCTCGCACCCAACTTGGACACAGGCTCGATCCTTTATTCCCCTTCCAGTAATATATGTTCTAAGGGTAAAACTTATCAGGAAGTTGAAAAAAACGGCCCTAACTTCAAGCATTTGTAGATATAGGACGCTGAGTGGTCCAATCAGAGATTGGCCCGTTTCTACCAACATAGTAGAAATTAATCCTTAGTAATATTGGGTGATTATGGTTCCTCTTCTACTTTTGAACGGTGGTCCGAAGTATCTGGATCGATTACCTGAAATTTGACCTGCACGTGCTTCTTTAGGCCAAAAAGTGCTTGGAGAGAGAATTAATATAACATTCTTTTCTGTAATTATACGTAAAACAATGTATAATTCTGATAGCGATGAAGTTATGCGATGTCCTTATAATAAACATCACAGCATATCCAAATCGAGATTTCAGCGGCATCTTGTAAAATGCGAAAAGGTAGCTGTTTTGCACGAGTTGTATTTCTTATGATATTTAAAAACATTAATTATGTATAACACATTTATGTAATATATATTTATAATTATGTAATAATGTATATTTACATATTTTACAATTATGTAAACACGTTAATTATGTATCATATTTAAAAACAAATATTACTTATGTAAAAATTGTTATAGAATTATCCACCAAATTACATGGTCATTTGCCCATATAATGCAATGCATCGTTCAACCAAAAGCGAGATTGGAGAACATATAAATACATGTCCTATGAGAAGCACTGTGGAAGCAAGTTATATTCAACGTAAGTATAGCTCAAAATTAAAAAAAGAAGGTTTTATAGTAGAATCAATAACATTTGTTTTATTATATAAATTTGTTAAATAAAAGAATGCTGACAACTAATATAATTGAACATTGAATAGCACTGAATATGCGCGATAAGAAGAATCTATCAAAGGAATATAATTCTACAAGTGAAATTGATAGCGATATTTTCTCAGAGGAAGAAGAGATGAGAAATTTACAGAAATTTCCTTTAAGTTCCAAATCAAGATATCAAACCAATGGATTTATTCAGGAAGGAAAGATGGAATCATTCGTTAGCGCAACAAATATTGGACCACGTAGTTTAAATCACTATAATTTTCTTAGTGATGAATCTACTGCAGATCATACACAATCAATTCGACAAGGTAGAATATCTAGTAATCATACCGAATATTATTCAAGAAGATTCAAGTAACGAGAAGAAAAAAGATAAATTATGTTTCTTAAGCTAACATAATAAAGAAGAATAATATATAATCTGTTGACAAAAAAGTAAAATTATAACAGAAAATACTTTGTTTTGTTTACTTTTATATTTAACATAGAAATAAAAGCACTTCAGTTATCTTTATTAATTGTTTTGTATGAATATAGCTTTCTCCTACAAAGTAAATAAGTCTTTTTTTGTGTTATCAAAATGCTTTTGTTTTTTCGCATAAATTTTGTTTATTCTTATACTTTACATCAATCCTAGTATTTACATATGTATTATATTTCAAGTAAATTTCCCATGAACAAATTAGATATATATTACACATTAGTATACATATAGAAAACATAATATCAAATGTCAATCAGAGTGGACAATTTATTTTTGAATCTATATATACAAATATGTATATATTTTAATTTGATACCTTATGAAACATTTCCAACTGCCCCATTTTTTGTTTTTTAATTTAATTATATATATATATTTCACAAAATATACCAAAAGGATTACTATCTGATATAATTCTGATGAGAATATATCATCCTTCTAAATTTCGTATTTAGTCTTTCATCTTCCTATGTAGAAAGATATACATTGCACAAAAGTATAACAAATAATATTTAATACTTATTGAACAATGCAGAATTAAAATTCTCTTTAAATACAATCATTCAGAAATTTATAACATTAAAATATTATTGAATTTTGATGCTGAAAAAAATCAGATACAATTATGAATTTTTAAATATATTAATATTTAATATGGGGATGGCATCATTAATTATCGCAATGTACATTATGAAATGTGAGATACATATGATTTATATTTACAATCAATAACCAAACATGTTTAAGTGTGTGGCGCTATATTAAATCAAAAACTTTTATTATCATCAAAATAAATGACTGGATAAATGCAACTATTACTTCTAAAAAATAAAAAAAAAAAACTGTACAAGTCATAAGCCAACATACATATCAAAATCTTCTCAATCAGTTCGTAGGTCTATAGTTTTAGAATTTTATGCAGAGCACAATTTTAAAATATATTTTTTTAAATATTGTAATTTCTTTGGAATGTTATACACATTCATATCTGTACAAGATACGCAAAATAATGATTAATGAGAGAATGATATGTACAAAGACAATTATGAAACGTAAAGAGAATTTTAAAATTTCAACTATATAATAAAGAACACATACATACTTACATATATATATATATATATATATGTATATATATATATATATATATATATGCGTATAATATATATATATATATATATATATATATATATATATATATATATATATATGCATATAATATATATATATGCATTTATAAGTGTATACACATATATGAATAACTTGATAGATAAAAATTAATTGATAGTGAGTGAAATAAAAAATACATGTGTATGATATATGTGTATGTGTCTAATAAAACAGCTAGGCCACAGAAATACATAATGAAAATGCTTGTGTCTTATTATATATTCGAAATAAGATAATATATTCACTGTATATTAGAAGTAATGAGTTAAACTTAAAATGTGTTTATTCTAATTCGCTATATGTAACATTTATCTGTAAGACGTTACATAGCTTCTTTATGATGTAGAGTCAAAAGAAATTGATAACATCTGTACTATTGTTTGACTGTAGGTCCAGATGTAATTTCTTTCTTCACACATCTTTAGTGAAAGAATATAAAATAAGCTATAATTTTTTAAATTGTCAACTGTTTGTTAAATGGTTGGACTCTTATTTTCTTTTTGTTTCCAAGATTATTCAATGATATACTACAATTTGATGTGTGTGATATTTTCAAGTAGCAGTACTGTTGAAATAATTGAATTACAAAACTTATATATACATAGAGATTTTACGTCAATGTCGTTTTATTTTTAAATATCGAGTTTGTGGAAGTATATAGTTATTTATAGTTATTAGTTTATACTATTTTATTAATATTAATAATTATTTTCGCGCGGAATATTCTCTCGAAACATCTTACCCGTCGCTGCATACATCGAAAAACGTAAAAAGTAAAGGAGCTTATCTATGAGTAATGTAATTTTGGATACTGACACATGGCCAGTAGTACTATTTACAAGTTTCTAAAGTATGTTTTGGAGCAATATTGGCAGTTCGCTTAGCTGCAGTCTGTTAATGATTTTTTTATTGTATAAAAACTTGTAAATTTATTGAGCGCAATTGTTGCACAAAATAGCGAGATCATTGCACTATATTCGTCAACTGCACTGGATCGATACATTCGTCGGGCAATCGATACATTTATATACAATAAAGTGTATCGTGCAATGTATTGACAATTATATTGGATTGTAATGCTTATCTCTCTCATTCTCTCTTTTTATAATATTCTTGTTTCGACGTGCATAATCCTTGTCACATTAGCACCGTTTATATATTTGTCGACTTTTTCTTTTGCTGTTTCCACACAGATATCCTTTCTTTCAAGTCGAGCACTGCAATTTGGAAAATAATCATTCATTTGAGACGCTTTTCTACATAGAAAAAATTTTTTAGTAATTTATACATTTTTAAATCAGCATAAAATATTTAAAACATTTCATTGCAATAGATTTTAAAGAACAGTTGAAAATTTTTAAATTACCTGTAATATGCCAAACATTTTTCTAATTTATGTCGTGTATATAAAAATGCAGTTTTACGAAATGTTACCAGTATATAGATTATAAAACTTAATTTTAAAGAAAAGAATAAGAAAAAAATAAGAACAATACTTACTTGGCGTGAGCATGTCTTCGCTGAGTGGCTGTCGACTGAAAGGATCCGTGGCACTGTTGAGTAAATGTCTAATGATAACTGCCTTGTCCATAACAATACCGGATGGTAGCTTAACTGGATCCTCCATAAGAGTATCCATCAATGGATCCCGAAATTCCTCAGGAGCGTCACCGTAGTCCGCATCACGCGCGCGATTGTCTCTCGCGATTATCGCTGCACGTTCAGCGAGAGCTATGAACCTCTCGATTTCCGTCGTAGTTTTGATGGCGGATCTCTCTAGTCTGCTCGCAGCATCAGTGAATAGCTCCTTACAGAACGAACGCTGCAAATATACATTTTTGATGAGATACTTGTATAAGTGTAATAAGTATGTTTAATACGTAATATACAGTAATGTATATGTAATATATTATTACATATTACATGTAATATATATACATATATACTCGTGTTACATTAATTACATGTAACATATTACATATTACATGTAATATGTTTATACATATAATATATATATATCTGATGTTATAAAAGACACACTCACTTCGTCACTGGCTAAAGCAGCCGCGAAATTATCACAGTCAAGATGCAAATATATGTCAACCAATTGGCTGAGTAACGTCCTCGGTTGCCAGCCGTACTTTTGTGGCTTTCTCACTCTCAAGTTTTTACACTTAGGTCCGCACAATTGTTGCAAATTGAAATTCAGCATGGCACACAAGCGTCCGACTAATTCCGGTCGTAGAAACGGCTCCTTAATGTCGACGGTCAAGTAATGAAACATGGCAACTGTTTCCTTGGCTAGTGTAAGATAGGATCTGGCTTGTCTCTCGTCCGCCGCCAGCTGCCTTGTTCTCGATTGCTGTTGCTCCTGCGAAAGTGCGCTCCACGCGCTAGTGTCGGACATAAGTTCCTGCACCTCGTGTATGCGCTTCAGAGATTCCAGGCTCTCGTCGAGCAGGAAGGTGGTATCGTTCATCAGCATATTGACAAACTTAACGAATTGCTTGCCGTTATTGCTCTCATTGACGATAGACGCTCGATGTATCGGACTATCCCACATTGACTTCAAGATCAGACTTATGTGATAGCGTATTGAAAATTTGTCGTAAAATTCAGAACTAGAGCCAGTGGTCTCAACGTCAGTATAAAACTTCATGAGATACGACGCCAAAAATGTCTTGGATATAGGATGTGCCATGACTTTATCGTGAAGAGTCTCCGTTCTTCCCTATTACAGATTGAATCGAAGAATGTTAATAAAATATGAGGATACAGGAGAGTTTATTTTACATATATGTAAAATGTAAAAGTTTACCTGAACACTAGGATTTATCACAAAGAGGACCTCGATGATTTTTGCAATCAGATACGGATTTCGTATACAATGTGGCGTACACACGACGACGAGCAACCAAGTGACAAGCGAGTTATCCATATTACCTGCCACTACTCCAGGGCAGAATCTACAAATAAAGATGAGAATTATAATAATGAATAAGTTGCAAATAAATAAATGTGAAACTTTGTAATTTAATTAAAAAACTTACTGGAGTGTGAACAACAAGAATTCCGCTATGTCCTCCACGTACCACTCCGGTAGTGCGGTGAATCTGCACGTAACTTCTTGAGGCAAAGGAAGTTCAGGAAGAGGATTACCCGGTTCAGTCTGGGTCAGAAGACTCAGCAAAATCTCGGCGACCGATATATAAAAGTGTAAGCATCTTCTCAAAAAGACGGGATCTATCAGACCCGCGTCTGCACACGATTTAGATTTAACCAGTCGCTTCAATTGTTGCTTCCATTGTTTGATCAAATCTTTGTTGTGCTCCGCAAAAGGACTATCCTTCCATTGGGGTTCTGTGGCTTGCAGCTCGTCGAGCATCTTTTGTAAATCCCGTAAGGCCCGCAATTTTCTCTGATACTTTTGCAGCGCCGGTAACAGCGCGATGTGATGACAGTGCAATGTGAGGAACCAGCATTGCGTCGGAAATTTCGGTTCCGTCCATTTGTGTGTGTTCTCCAAGTGTTTCTGCCATTCCGCGACCTCGTGCGAAGTGAGTTTCAGTCTTGTGTCGTTCTTTATCTCGACAAAACTGGAGGGATGAAATGGATACAGCGGGTCTATAGTGTCCAGCTTGATCTTCACAGAGAGCATTTGCAGAACCGACAGTAGATTCAACATAAATCCGTCCCCGGCCAAGGAGAACTCCTCCGTCTGTATTTGCGCCCGTTTCTCGTTGTGACGCAGTAACGCCGCCAAGTACGTCAGTGTGGCGTCGCGGCAGTTGCTATTCGCGAGTATCGCGTGGAACATTTTGTGCAACGAGGTTCTCGTGCTCTCCAACTCTTGCTGTAGCGTGAGATTCACCGATTTGTCCGTCAAGGGATTCCCGCTGAAGAATTTCTCCGCCACCTTCGGTTGCTCCTCGGCGAATACCGAGACCGAGAGGAACGGTCCCAGAAACGAGGTCCTCGTGAGCTCTCTACCGGCTGCCGGTGTCATGACTTCAGGCAAGAATTGAACTTGATTCGTGATTAGACGGCAAATTGGACGTATGTTGCCGCTTGGTCCGCAACGAATCTCTATCAGCTCGTCCAACGCCTCGATCGGTCTTCTATGCGTGTTGCCGACCAAGCTGGCCTGCTGCATCGCGAGATACAGGCCTTGCAAGACTGGAGTGAATATCTTATTGAATGTGCTTGGATTCGTGTGTGTCCTAGCCACGAGCTCATGAAGATAGCCCCGAGGCAGGCTCTGCGATAATATCGGATAGAGAAGATGAGTGGTGGACATAGGTATAACGGTAGCTTGACAAATGCCGACCAACCCTTGTAGAATGAGACTGGAATACTGAACACATTGCGCTCTCAAAATCGTCAGTACGTCGGAAAGAGGAGGTACGCTGGATCGCTACAAGATATGAATATAAATAAGAATTATGCTTGGTTTCGTAGAATCCTGTCTAATCTTTAAGATATATATGTACGTACCTTTGGATGATTTCTTTCTTCGATAGCAATTCTTGAATAACAGTCTAATAAATAAGTTAAGCTTTTCGGTTGCGATGATTTGTCGCCTATGGGTAATGGTATGGTTGGTAATTGGTAAGACGGAAGAGTCACTACAGGACTTAACAGAGGACTCGCTTGGCTATTCGGACTGTCTTCACGGTCGGATGACATGTCTATCGTAATGTCTTTCAAAGGATCTTCCCCTCTCGAGAACATGCACAAAACCTCCATCAAGGCCTGATTGATAATATCACTAAAGTCCAGTTGCTGCTGCGTTTGCGCGTACGCTGCTGTTTGCGACAGAAATATACTTCCCTCTACAGGACTCTTCCACGATATGCACAAGACACGTGATATGACAGCATGTATGTGATCCGTTGTGACTTCTATGCTAGAGCTTGTCGTCTAAAAAAATACAACAAAAATAGAAATAGAAATAAGTCATAATCAGAAAAAATTTCTTAGCCCTTTTTTCTCTCTGATATTAAAAATACTTACACGTGATCTCGGTATTGAATCTTTTCTATCGGACTCCTCAACCTCCATAGTTTCGATTCCAGAATCAACATCCAATCCAGAAGTATTACATTGCTTCTCACTACTTTCTTCCACCTCCATTGGAATTTCGACGCGCTGTAATTGTTGTTGAATAGACGGAGATATCATTGGTTCTGCAAATGCTTTCGATGGACCTGGAGTACTTGGAGAAATTGGAGCAGCAGCATTAGATGAACTGGCAGCTGCATTACTAGTGTTTAAGCTCGCTAAACGAGCCAACCGCCTTCTCCTCATCTAGAACAAAGTAAAATAAAGAACTGAGGATTCTAGATTTAGAACTCTGCCAGAAGATGCTTGACACATTGAAAAAGCACAGTCACCAATTGAAATGTGTCTTTGTTAGCGAGTTATTTTTAACCATCAGCATGCAGCGGCATATGACAAAGCAAAAAAACAAAACAAAATATAGACATTAGCTTTTAAATATAACAATTTGAAACTCATTGTTTTCTTAATTGCATATCATTGTGTTCAGAGACATAAATCTCTAAGTAAAAAGTTGTAATATACTTGCAAATAAAAATTGTAATTTTTATTACTTTTATAAATATATGTGATTGTATCATTTTTCAACAAAGAAACACAAAAACTAAATAAGAACAAAAAATGGCAAAGAAAGCAAAGTAATCGCAAAGAAAATTTTGCTATTGTGAAATCATATGATCTTGAAATAAATGTATCGTTCTCTGGGCTTGTTGTGCACACAAGGTTTTCTTTATTAAAATATAAGAGCTGATATATATCGAGTGTCCATTACATAATTAGTTTCTTATGCACGTAAGCTATTTAATTTATGACTGACGCGACATAAACAACTTTTTTGACAAGAAAAAAAAACGATTTCGAGGAAAAAAATAAGCCTGTACTTTTCTATGTTACTCTCTCCACAAAATAGAAAAAAAAATTATATATTTGGGATTTCGAAGAAGAGAGACAAAAAGAACATGTGTGTGAGTGAGAGAGAGAAGACAAAGAAAAATTGCAGAGGCACGTACAGAGTCGTGAAAAGGCTGTATCTCTCTCTCACGATGATGACAACAAATCGAAGGTCTGTAACACACACAAGTGTTACACTCTGCACTCTCGGGAACGGGACGAATATATATTCGACTATTGGAGGGAAAAGGAGAGAACGAAGGACACAAACTCCGCAAGGCAACGAGGGATATAATCGAACGCGCCAGCTGTAAAAAGCATATAGATTTCATCCGAGTGAGGGAAGCGAGACGAGAAATGAGGCGATTAATTTTTTCTTTTTTTTTTCACCTCCCTCATTTTTTTGATACTCACCTCTTCCTGGCTCAGCTCGCTCATGGCGATCGCTTTATCCCGTTCTGTCAAAGCGACGACTCTTGGATTCAAGTCAAGACTCGAAGATGGACTCGAGGAGAGACTCGTCCAAAAACTTGTCGCGTGCAAAAAAAATCCCACCGCACTTCCGGTCGCGCGACACAATACTCGCGGCCGAGATGTGTCAGAAATTTGGACAGTCACTCCACATCTGTTTGCGTTTGGACGTGAATGCAGTGGTCTCGCGCCGAGTCACGTCACGGCCAGTCGTTCGCTGCCTGCGTCGTCGACTCTTCAAAACAGCTGAGCAACCAACGAGCGCGTCGCCACGCGCTCTCTATTTCCCTCCGTCTCTCTCCCACCTTTTTTCTCCCTCCCTCTCGCGCCGTCGTATCGATGGAAGCGAGTTCAACCCATTTCGAACGATCTATAATTTGGGTTTGCAGGCATATCATTTCATATCCTATAATTAATGATGCGTGACAAATTTATTTTTGATGATGATCCAATATATCTTTGCTATATATATATATGGATTTTGCAGCTTCATTCTGTGTAATTTTATATATACGATATTTTAGAAATCGATTTCAGAGATTTCAAGAATTTATGTAATAAAATTCGAGGCCAAAAATTCTACTATAAATATATGAAATAAATTTGAAATGTATACAAACAAGAAACAAAAATTGCAAGAAATAAGAATGATTTTTATATTAAAATTTTTACTTATTCACGTATTATTTCATCGACTAATTGCTCACAAGTTATTCAAATATTTATAAATGCTTATTAGCTTCTTTTCCTCGATTATGCTTAATTGAATTTTCCCGCGCAATATATCGATCAATTATTTTCGATTGCCGCTTGATCGATACTAATCGATATGCGATACTTTTTAAAATACAATTATTTTGACATTTCTACAAAGTTGAACAAATTTTGCATTATATCTTTATAAATATCTTCTATTCATTAACTCAATTCTAATAAATCACATTAATTATTTTGTCTAATAAATCACATTAATTATTTCGTCTAATAAATCACATTCATTATTTTGCCTATCTAATAAACTACATTAATTATTTTGCCTTCAAATATATATGACACATATAAAAACTAATCCAATAAATAAACATATATATTTTTTTTTTAAAGAATATGTTGATATTTTCTCTTTGTAAATTTTGCCTCGTGTTGATAGAGTTTTAAATTTAAAACTTTTGATCCAACCACCTGCAGGTTAGATTTAAGGTTAGGTTAGGTTAGGTTAGGTTCGACGGAACAAGCTAGCAGCTGAAACTGATGACTCAGTAATCAGTACACGCCGGAGGCCGGCGGCTCTGAGAACGTGTTGTTCGACGACGTCATCGGGCGCGCTCGACCTGTCATTCACCTGTCAGCTACCGATCGGACTTGACGATTCCTGACGGGATGAGTCGCATCGGGGAAGTGGTCGATTTCTCGACACTTGGTAAACGCTCGCTTCTGTATCCGTCAAAGTGCGCTTTTGCTTCTTTCTTCGTCGTTGTACTTTTATTTTTTCTCTTATTTATTGTCGACGTATTCGTTTCAGTTCGATTTATTTATTATATTATTAAGCATGCAATATTAAATTAGGTTTCTGAATAATTACCAAAAATTAAGGATACTGAACATATTAAGATAACAAAACAATATAGGATTTAAAAATGTAAAAATTGATGCTAATTTTCTTCAATCACTTCATTCGTTAGGATGACAATATTGCCACAAAACAATATAGGATTTAAAAATGTAAAAATTGATGCTAATTTTCTTCAATCACTTCATTCGTTAGGATGACAATATTGCCACAAATGAAGTGATTGAAGAAAATTAGCATCAATTTTTACATTTTTAAATCCTATATTGTTTTGTTATCTTAATATGTTCAGTATCCTTAATTTTTGGTAATTATTCAGAAACCTAATTTAATATTGCATGCTTAATAATATAATAAATAATTGTTTAAATGACTCTATTGTGTGACATGTATATGTAATTTGTTTATATCATCATTGCGTCATACAAATTATGTCAATTATTGAAAGAGAGAAACATGTCATTGTGAAATTTAACATTATAATAGTAATAATAATCAAATCAATTGATGCAGAAATTACTGTTTATATAAAACTTGGAAGCTTTGAAACTTAAAATATTGAAGAGTTTTACATAATTTAGAAATATTTTTTTTTAATTATACTCCTTTGCATTCTGCATATCTTATCACAAAAGTTATTATGTCGCCATGATAAAAATCTACAGAAATAAAATCACTGTTTTCTGAAGTATGTAATATGTACATCACAGCAGTATATACATCAAGTTTATTACTTAGCAAAGTATCGCACTTAATTGTATCAGCTAAGTGATAAGAAGGATTTACTCCAATTGCACACACACATCACAATTTTATTTAATTTTCATTTAAATGATGATTTTATCAGTTCTTATCAGCACATTTTTATGACATAAATGCATCTGATTGGATCGCAAACATATATGTATTTGACAAACATCAAATATAGAGCCAATATTATCAGTTGTCTAATATCTATGAATATTATTGTGTACATACACATATTTTATATACATTATATATAACATTGTATTATCTTTTCATTTTGGTGTTTGTCAAATACATGTTTGTGGTCCAATTAGATAATAATGCTGTGAAATAATCCATATTTTTGTTCTGCATTATTAAATCATATTGATAATAAAATCTCAACTTTTTTTAGCGAGAAGAAAAACCATCCAGAAGTCTTTTGCATTAAAGAAAAACAAAACTTTAATCTCCATCTTTAAAGAAATTTAAGAGATGATAGAATTGAGATTATTGAAAATATATTACTTTTGAACCTTCTCTTCTTATCCTTAAAAATTAGATTTAAAATTATATATACTATATATATTTATATAACGACTCATATACTAATTATTCATTAACTAATCAGGAATCTCTGGATTCTCGTGACTAGTCCAGAGTGGTTTCACTAACAAACATATGAATTTTTTCAGACGCGGACATTCAAGAGCTGATAAGAGAGAGCGCGGCGGTGCGCGAGAAGTCCTACTCGCCGTACAGCAACTTCAAGGTCGGGGCCGCGTTGCGATGCGTTGACGGCAGCATTTCGCGGGGCTGCAATGTGGAGAACGCGTCGTTTCCGGCGGGCGTGTGCGCCGAAACCACGGCGATCGTGAACGCCGTGACGGAGGGAAAGACAAAATTCACGACGCTGGCTGTGGTCGCCGACCAGGAGAACGCCCCGTTTACCACTCCGTGCGGGATATGCAGACAGGTCATCTCCGAGTTCAGCGGTGACATACCCATCTACTTGACGAAAAGCGAGATGAAGCGAGTCCTGCGGACTAGGACGAGCGAGCTGTTTCCGCTCTCGCCGTTTTCCACAAGCAACTCGGAGTCTTCGTAATTTATCAAGCGATTCCAAGGCTGACGATTTACGATCACTGTAAATGAAGCTATAAATTTCGTTAAGTTTTTCTATTTCTCTTATAATTCGGATATTTTTATCCAGTTGATACATTCGCAGAACTTTTTATATAATTATATGATTAAATGTTTTATTTCAATGAAATGTTTATCGATGCAGAAGCGATTATTTACAATGACGCATTCATATCATATTTGTATATTGTTTAAAATATATTATTGTACAACGTGTAACATTGAAACAAATCATTGTTGTAAAGTTAAAAAAAAAGTTTTTTAATAGTACCATTAATTGTTAACTAAACAACGTTTGTACACGATGCACTAATATATATATTTGCATGTATATACTATATCCCGATTGTTACTCTTTATTACATATAAATCATATAATAATATATATATATGTACACCAGATATGATTATCATCAAATTAAACTTAACTAATAACTTTGTAAAGTTATAAATACAAAAGCGAGTAATTGCTTACGTAATGAGACTTCATCTTGAAAGCTTTTGTCTCACTTTTACCAAAATGGACACCTGTAACAATATATAGTATTAAAATTTTTATGCTGCATTTTTATATATATACATTAAAAAAAAAAAAAAATGCATATGTTGTGAATAACAAAAAATATCTATAATAAATATATATGACTAAACACAGATATATGTATATTTCTTTTATAATATATAGCTATAAAATAATTACGCACCATCCAATGTAACATTGACAAAGGTTTTCATTATTTGTAGCCTGTTGAATTAATAGATCGACTTGTCGTCGAACGCTCAGACTTTCCTCATGTGAAAAATCACGTCCTGTCAATTTATCCCTGACTCTAGTTATAATTGCTAGAGCTTTCTTATTCAATGCTTCTGGTTGATTGTTATCGGCTGCAAACATTAAAAGCAGAGCTCACATATCATGCTTGGGAAAAATTGATGACGTATAATAATTCTATTACAATTAATTTGCAACAACATTTAATTTTTTAAATCAATTATAAATAAAAAGCTTTGGAGAAATCAACTTTAACCAAATATCTTTATATTTAATTATTACTATATATTATATTATATATAATAATCTATAATATTTAATATAATATACTTTAGATATTATTGCAAAAGTATATCAATACATCCTAATAAGTCCTTGTATAGAAGTTTAAAAACGATCAATTGAACTATCATCTGGCGCAATGCCAAGTTAACAGGAGCTAAAATATGCATTTACCTTTACCTCCATTTTCAATGCTACACGGTACACCCTTCTTTGGCAACGTGGCAGTAAGAGAATCGAGCATATCGCCGTGTTCCTGGCTGCTGCTGGCACTCATACTCTGGGCGTCCGATCGTTTACCCTTGGGTGCCGCGTTGTCCATCAACCTCCAGTTGAGAAGAGGATCGTATACGAACGCCTCCAGGACTGCCATTAGACTGTCCTTGTTCCGATGTAGTACGGACATGACGGATTCGCAGGTTCTTCTGTAGGTTCCCTCGATACCGGTCACCTCCATCGCGTTGATCAGCATTCGCGTCAGACGGAACGGGATCTTCTCCGGGAACTTTTCGCGCGTCATCGCCACCTCGAAGCAATCCCCGAAGTCGATGTGTAGTATTTTACCGCTGAGACGATCCAGCATCAGATTGGAAGGATGACGGTCGCCGAGACCAAGTATGTATCCCACCATAGACATCACAGCTAAGGAACGCGTATAATTTGTCCTGCGATCGAACCATATCTCACTCGATGGAGACTTTAGCCACAAGAGTCGCGCCAAGTCGTCCCCGTGTGTATGTTCGAGCGCGTGTTCAAATACCTCGACTTTCTGCATCAGCATGAGATGATCGTAATCAGGTGCCATCTAAAAACATATAAAAAATTATAGTAATACATAAATGTAAAATATATATTTATCTATATAATAAATAAATATATATAATATTTAATTTATATATTTAATATATATAATATTTATAATATATATATATAAATACATAAATATTTATAAATGTAATATAAAGAATGTAAAATATATATGTATATATATTACATGATTAAAATGTAAAATAATTAAATTTAGAAAATTAATTACACTTACTCGTAACATTATCCTGTGTTCGATATTGAGTAATATCTTCTTCTTTTCTCGATAATCTCTAATAAGAGTGTGAAGCGTATCACAATAAGGTACCCAACCGATCAATCCACTGTTTGTGGATAATGGAATCACAGCATATCTCTAAATATACAATCCGATTATAATTTTGTACAATACATCTACATTTATGCTAATTGCAAATGAAACTTACCTGAATAGTGAGATTTCTTCGGAATGTATCTGGATCGTGCAACAAAAGAGTATTGACTAGACCAAATAATTGCATCACTCTCTCATCTTGCCTCAGATCCTCATGACCTTTTAATAAAAACATGTAATCCTTACCATTGCTACCTAGAAAATATACATCAAAGAAGATTAGAGATATTATCCATATCTATATCTTTTCTTTACAATTTTTAATTTACCGACCTTTAATGCACAGTTTCCTTGGTCTCTGTTTACTGGTTATCACTTGCATAGAGCTATGAATACTAGCTATTCTCACTATAGGTTGGCCAGGACTGTAACTTCCCGGTACAGCCAATTCCAGGTCTCGACAGAGAAGCAACTTCGGGCTGACGTATTGCAATTCTAAACTGGTCAATTGCGGCAGTTGTCGGGATATCCTTCGAAATACGTGGTAATACAAATCCCAGGCTTGATTCAAATCCCGAACGTTTCGCGACGCTTTGTATCTATGGCACCATTCTTGCGCCTCCATCAAGTCCCTTCCGTAAGCTTGATTGAAGGAAGTCTCCTTCAAGGTTTGCGGTCCCCTTTCTAGCATACCGTGCAGAGGCTCCAGCGTGTCGAACATGCCTCTAACATTTCTCTCACCAAAGTACAATCGACTGGCCTCCTCCAGGCCTTCATGCCACAACTCATGCCACAAAATCGCGACCCTGATGAGCTCGTCGCTCGCCATCATGGCTTGTTGGACCAACGTTGGGCTGTGCTCACACATGCTTTTCAAAATTTTGTTGGCTGCAGTCTTCCTCGCGTGACTGGCGCTCTTCGAAGCTACCGTCAGTGGATAAACCAGTGCTTGAGGATGCGTTTTTCCTATATCTATAAGAAGATGATGTATACAACGGCCGACCAACGCTCTGGGCGTGTCGATCCTGGCTATGAGTTGCGGGATCACTTGCAGCCAAGTATTTATCTCTATCAATCTTATACCCTCGACGACGGCGTCGTACACTTCCGGCCATTGTCCGTAATCGAACCAGAGTGTCAGCAAACGAAGAGTGTCCTGCAGAGAATTGCCATCCGACAGGTTGATGGATCTGAAAAATCCTTCCACAGCTGGAACAGTAAATTGAGATATATATTGCGAACTGGAAAGATTATTGCGCGTTCCGTTGTTTCCGGGTACGGTTTCCGCGGGGGTGGAATCGTTGCCCTGCTGATGCTTGTAGAATAACACGGTTTCGTAATTGGTGTAGGCGAAAGCGTGCCACGCTTTGTACCACGTGGGATCGTGTTCCGTTGCCGCGGCGTAGTAAGACAATACCGCGGGAATGGAACGCTCGTTTATACCCTGCAACGCTTCCAGCCACTCGCCGAGCTTGAGATAACACTTGGCGAGCAACCTCTTCTTGCTCTCGTGCTGCTTCTCGTCGTCCTGATTCGTCGTCACCACCGCCGTCGTCGGTTGCAAATAAGTCTGCACGAAGCGCTGCAGCTGGCCGTAAGCTTCCTCGCGTTTATTCCCGACCCATAAGTGCTTGCAGTAAGCAAAAGTCACTTGGGGATGAGTGGTCGGTAACGGTTGATCCGGAGTCAAGGACGGATCTGTGCCCATCAGCATCACCAATGTTTTGTGACACAGCATCAAGCTGCCGCTCTTCCGACAAAGGCTAGCGTACTTGAGCCAGGTGTACATGTCATCCTGGGGCGAGACCACTAATGTGTGCACCTGTATGATTTTCTGCCAGTCCTCCACTATCCTCTGTCCACCTTGAAGTCTCTCCCACCACATCGCCTTGATAGCCGTTCTGCGTTCTGGTACCAGTTTGAACTGTATCACCTCCTCCAACTCCGCCAACTTTTGCACCTCCACCATAGCGTTGTACGCCCGTTGGTAGCTCTCGCCAGCCATCGCGGTCAGCTCGGTGTCCAACAGATCTCTCGCGCTGTCGATGAGCTGATGCGCGACGTTGTACTGTTCGTCGTGGATCGCCAGTACCGCCCTGTAAAATGCTCCGTCTTGACTGTCCTTCGGTATCAACGAGACGTACTTCTGCATACTCTCCCATTGGCCTAAACCCCAGGCCGCGGCGGCCGCCATCCTCGACATCCTTTGCTTGACGTCGTCGTACTGATTCGACGACCATTGCTTCGTAGCGACCTCGTGCAGCTGGCCCCACTCACCGAGGGCCTCCAGACAACGCATCTCGCCCAGAATAGACTCCACGTCCGCGGAATCGCTCTCCAGACGTTCCTGATAGAGTTGCAGCGCCTTGTCCCAGTTGTGAAGCTTCTCGTACCAACGTATCTGCACTTTGAGATCCTGTTGATTGTGTTGATTCATTACGTACTCCAACAGACCCTCGGCGGCCTCCTTCTGCTGAAGCTTGTTGTTGATGGAGATCAGGGACTCGAATATGTTGCTACTTCTGCTCTTGTGAAACTCGTCTTCCTTGTAGTGCAACGCCTTGGCGTACGCGCGACAGTGCATCGCCGTGTCCCCGAGGATCTTATTGTCCAACGGCAACGGACCCTTGTCGCAGTGTTCCATGAACTCGGCCAGGTTCAAGATGGTCTGCGTCACCTCGGTAGGTAGATCGGGAACCATCAATGCTTGGTGCAGAGTCTGTATCAGTTCCGTTCGGTAATTCTCGTTCAATTCGGTCCAGCAGGAGACGAAGGCCGCGTTGAAGAGATCCCGCGGCAGCACAGCGTACGTCTGCGCCAACGCCCAGCAGGATCGCAGAGCTGGGGACGGAGATTCTTTGAGTAGACCGATGGAAAAGCACCGTAGCCACTCGAGCCAATCGTCCTTGGATACTCGCCGCGTCGCCGTCCATGCCTTCTGCAAGTTAGAGGCCGACACGTGCAACTTCTTGATCGTCGTCGTCTCTGAAGGCGTCAGGGAGAGTTCGCGATTCTTGTTGCGCGAGTGTCGCAGCCTCATCAACAGGAAATCCTCACCGTCCGCCGTGGTCGTGTCGGTGAGGATCTTGTCTACCAGAACGTCATATCGGGAATTGACGATCTTGTGCTTCGTCATGACCTTCTGCACCAAGACTATAAAGATCTGATACTTCTTGCCCAGTTGCATCACAACGGCGCAGAGCGTGTCCATGGCTGTGTTCCTCAATTCTGGACATTGGTCTAACGTGCGTACTAAGGTGTGAACGATTCGTGAAGCGAAGTCCGTGAAATCTAGGGTATCCGCTAAAAGATCGACTGTCTCGAGAGCGACCTTATTCACGGCTATTGGGCAATCATTCGCGTAGAAGAGTTTGACAATCGGCGGTAGAACGAGATGTAGATAATTGTCCAAGTTGTTCCCAAATGTCTGTAGCGCCAAGAGCAACTTCACCGTCACTGCGCGATCCTTGCTGGTGTCGTGTGTCAGGACTCTCAGAATCGGCGGCATCAGCTGCGGCAGGTAGATCTTGAACTCCGCGCCCAGGGCCACCGCGATCTGCTCGACCAAAAGTATCAGCGTGGTTTGCAACGGGCTGTTTACGGTCCAGAATTCTTTGATCAGGGTGAAGATGTCGTCCAAGTAATTTCGTATATGTTGCTTCACGATCGCGATGAGCACAGCCAGTTGTTGGAACAGGAACTCACGAAAATTGATATCCGCCGTGTGCACGACGTTCAGGAAGCTCGGCATCACCTGCGAGATATATGGCACGCATTTTATCCCGAGACTCTTGAATATGAAGGTCACCGCTTGTACCACCATGGTGTGATGCTGAGACAAGGTCGGCTCGCGAATGATTCGCATGAGCGTCGTGATGGCGATCGCCGGATAAAATTCCTCCAACGTGGACGGCGACATATTCACCAGCATCTCGCTGGTGGTCAGGTCCTGAGTACTCTCCACGTCGCTCTTGGTGTCCGCCATCGAGCTGAGCGTGTCCAGCTGGCAGTCGATCTGTCCGAGATTCATCTTGTGTTTGTACGGATCCAACGCACCCAACAGTCCGAGTACCCGAATGGTCTCTCTTCTGATGATCGGTTGTTGCTCGGTCTTGAGAAAGTTGATGAGAACATCCAGCAAGGTCGGATACTGCATGTACGGTTTTACCACGTGACCCGTGCTACCGACCAGCTGACCGAAGACCCACAACGCCACGCCTCTCTTCTCGGGCGAGCTGGCGTCCACCAACATTTCCAGCAATATCGACGAGAGCTCGGGCATCCATTGCTGCATTTCGGCGCCGTTCACCTCCGCCAGATCGCCGATCGCGCGCAAAACGGCGAGTATTACTCCGGGATTCGGATCGGATTCCTTTAACTTCGGGACGAGAACCTTCAGGACCGGTTCCATGTACGGGCGAACGAGTCTCGGCGCGGTGACGACTAGATGATCCAGCATTCGGGCGGCTTGCTCCTTGTTGCGGCCCATCCCCGAGTGTTCTAACTCCGTGAGAAATTGCACCAGGGTCTTTCTCAACGACGGCATAACGTAAGCGGGATTCAACGTGCTGAGTCGCCCGACGGTGCGAACCGCCAGCTCTCGTATCTCGAACATCTCGTCGTTCATAGCGATGAACAGCGCGGACAAATTCTCCGCTTGCGCCAGCTGAACGTCGAAGGAGTCGTCCAACGATGCCAATACCCAAAGTCGAACGTCGGGATCCGTGTCGGTTATTCCCACCACCAACAGTTTACCAAGAACAGTCGAGACGGTGGTGATTACTGTAGGACCGGACTGATTCAGGGTTAATCTCAATAATCTGGAACAGGTTTTCACAGCCTCCAATCGGACCTCCGCCTGTTCCGACGTTAAAAAGTGATCGGCGCACCTCTTGACGAATTGCAAAAGCGGATTATTATCAAAGTTGAAGGTGCCTAGAGTCTTCAGGGCAAGCACCGTCGACGTGACGTCATCCGCCGTGGAGTTGGGACTGGTCACCGTCCACGGTGCTCCGGGATGTCTCAGCGGCTTCTGCATCAAGACCTGAGATAACATACGTAAGAGACCTTGAGATATATCTACTTGTAGAGACGGAATGCTGTGCGCCAGCTCTCTGAGCGCGGTGGTCAAAATCGGACTCAATCCAGTTTGGAACATCGGCTCCAACAGATCTCTAACGTCAGAAGCTATGACCTGTTTAACTGCGTGGCCAAGCAGAGTGATACAAACGAATACGGCGGGTTCCAGGGAGGTACGTTTCTTGCTCGGTGTTTCCTTAGACGGTAACAGATTTTTGATCACTTCCATAATCTTCGGTAGGTACGGATTTATCGCGTCCTCCACCGCTACAGCTATAAAACCAATTGACGTGAAAGCGGCGTAGCGATCCTTCTCGCGACTCCTCAAGATCAGTAGAAGATACGACAAAGACTCTTTCAGATGATCCCTTATAAATTTCTCCTTGTTGAATGCGGCAAGTCTCGGCAGCAACATCATAAGAGCGTGTTGAATGTGTGGATTTCGAAATATCTTCTGATTCATAATGTCGTTATACATATCGTCCAATCTCTCTTGCATCAAACATCTGCAAACAGCTGACTCGTGCGCTGGATATAATGTGTGCTGGGACGTAGAGGCATTTTGAGTGGACCTGCTCCACTTGGACACTATCGTAGTCTTCAAGCGTGGCATCAAAGCAAGGATATCGTTTTCATTCTGCGTAGAACCGTTAAGTCTCTCCATTAAAGCCTCGTAGTTCCTTTCCCATTGAACGTTGCTACATCTCAGCAGCTCGTTCAACACCAACAACGAGCCATGTATCCTGTCGTCTCGATTGATGCCTCTCTCCTTTGTATGAACCTCCTCGAATCCATCCACCACTTCGTCGAAGCACTGCTTGTACCACTGAGACTTGTGCATCTGTTTCGCAGTTTCCCTCTGAGCAGTGACTACCAGAGCTGCTCTCAAAGCTTCCACAGCGCCCTCCCTAATAGCAGGTTTAGGATCATGTATAGCGTTAAATATCAAATCGAAAAACGGTGTAACTTGTTGAAAAAAGTACGTTGGCACAGAGACAGCGAGTTCTCTCAGAACAAGCACAGCTGCGTGTCTTCTGCCCTCGTGTCTGTCTGCGCCAAGCCATTCAAAGGCACGTTTCACTTCAAACTCCACATACTCGGCTGTATAAGTGCCCGAAACCAGGGCCAACTTTCCGACAGTCTTCGCGGCCAATTGCATAACGCCCACATCGTTAGAAGGTATCAAGTTTCTAAGATAATTGGCAAATCGTGCTGTTCTTGTATTAAAATTCCCTACATCTGCGCCTATAAGGCAAACTATGGCTAATATACCGCCCTTCTTCTCGTTTACGTCAGAGGCGGATACCATTTCAAATATGTGGTGATTAAATTCATCCATGAAAGCCGTGATCTCCTCCTGCGACGCCTCTCGCAGCTCTCTCTTAACATAGAGGCACAAGTCACGCGCAGCCTTGTTACGTGCCTCCTCATTCCTAGACTTCAGTCGTTGGACAAATTGTTGCATCACCGTACTCGACATTGTTTTAGTATTAGATGTATAAATCAAGGTGTAAAACATAACACTTGCGCAATTTCATCAGACCTCTCTCTCATCTAGTATCCTGAAAGGTGAAGTTTTCATTAGGCGATATAACCTAGTTTTGCGGCAAGATAAGAAAATTAAATAAATTATAAATTACCAATTATTTCCTCGGCTACCTGCTTGACATTACGCAAATCTCCGACGCAGTATTGTCACCAGCGATGTAAAGTCTTCATTTTCTCCGGATAAAAAAAGTTTCATACTCCTATCCACAAAAACATGTATCCAATTATATTATTCCATTGACAGCTCGTGTCTCTTACTTTTCATGTCGTGTCTCTTAACTTTCATTCCTATAACAAACAAAGCGGTGTACATTTGCACGAAATTTGACATTATTTCTGTTTTATTCGATTTTTCTCACTACTACGGAATGCAATTTGTGCGATATATAATCGTCATCAGTTGTGGAATGCGGAAGCTAAAGTCCCTAGGGCAAAAGAAACATTTTCTAGGGACTTTTGACGAACAATTCTAGGGACTTTTTCGTTAGATATATTTCAACGTCGTCGATCAGAAATATAAAAATGGCATTATTTTTCGATCAAGTCGCGCGAAAGAAACATTTTCTAGGAACTTTTGACAAAAAATTCTAGGGACTTTTTCGTTAGAATATTTCAACGTCGTCGATCAGAGATATAAAAATGGCATTATTTTTCGATCAAGTCGCGCGGAAGAAACATTTTCTAGGGACTTTTGACGAAAAATTCTAGGGACTTTTTTGTTAGGATATTTCAACGTCGAGATATAAAAATGGCATTATTTTTCGATCGAGTCGCGCCTCTATAAATTTCTTTGTCACAGGATGTTTACACCTTGGAAACGCTCGCGATTACTCGCGAACGCGAGACACAACCGACACGAATGACGTATGATGACGGCAGTTTTGCGTAAAATATGATCAATCGTACAGTGATTGTCGCGACAAACTCGGTGCTGGCGACGATCCGGTAAATAAAATCGGAACTGTCAACTCTCCGCTCGAAACTGTCAAAAATCACGACGACGCGACTATTCCAGCTGTCATTTTTCATCGAATGTCGCACTTGATTCTTTGATTGTATACGCATATATATATATATAATCGTAAATAAATTATGAGCGTGGACAGCGAAAACAAATCGAACGAGGCGATCACGTCCTACACCTCGTCGACGGTCGAGTCGAAGAACGCCGTCTCTGACGGAGATGTCGACGGTGGCCCGGTTACTCCAGAAATGGTGCTACGATTACCTACTATTACAGATAGTACGACAGATTTGTTTCCGTTTAATTAATTATCAAATCACTTGCACCTCCACGAATCTCTTCTATGCGAATGAATTATTTTTCACATATGGATATAATTGTTTTCAGAGTACCTCTGCTCACCGGAGGCCAACATTTACGATATAGACTTCACGAGGTTTCAGATTAGAGATTTAGAAACTGGTGCTGTACTTTTTGAGATAACAAAGCCTCCTGCTAGTGGTATGTAATAGTTTAGATTTAGAAACTTATCATTGATTTTTATATTTACTGTCTAGTGTAATAATAATATACAGTTAAAGCTTTAAACTCATCATATTTCTTTCCATAATACTTTTAAATATTATTAAATGACTAAAAATAATATAATGTATTTGTAACTATTTATTGAACGTATAGGTATTCAAAAATTTTGTATGTAACAATGAACTGAAAAATATAAAAAAATATCAAATAATACTTATATTCGCTCGTATATTGTTAACAACAAGAAACTTATTTTAAAGACCAACGTAACGAGCACTTATTAAGGTGATATAAAATAAACGATTTATTCAATCTATATTACAAATAATATAGTTTGTTTGTAATATAGATTGAATAAATCGTTTATTTTATATCACCTTAATAAGTGCTCGTTACATTGGTCTTTAAAATAAGTTTCTTATTGAAAAATATAATATCCAGAAAATTATAATTTTTTAAATCTTTTATCAGAATGTGATACACATCAAGAGCCAGAGCCAGATTGCGAAGAGCTCGGATCCGAGGATACAAACACAGGACGCTTTGTGCGATATCAATTCACGCCGCAGTTTCTCAAATTAAAAACAGTCGGAGCAACAATTGAGTTTCTCGTAGGGCCTAAGCCGATCAATAACTTCAGGATGATAGAACGGCACTTTTTCCGCGACAGGCTACTGAAGACCTTTGATTTTCAATTTGGGTTTTGCATACCGAACAGCAAAAATACATGCGAACACATTTACGAATTTCCAACATTGCCTACGGATCTAGGTGAGTCGTTGAAAAAGATTTGTTTCTAATGAACCAACAATGATGTACTCAAAATTGTACGAGCAAAATATGTTGCTTGTACAATTTACTATTTGTACAAACATAAACGATGTATATGTATCTTTCCAGTTTCGGAAATGATTGCGAATCCTTTTGAAACGCGATCCGACTCGTTTTATTTCGTCGACAATCAGCTTGTGATGCACAATAAGGCCGATTATGCATACAACGGTGGACATACGCACGATGTATTGTAGTGTGCGATTTGTTGATTAATATTATTGCAAGTGGTATATATATAGGATATCACAGTTTTATATATATATACATACATATGTATATATATGTTACAGCGAACAATGACGATCAAGACTGCACGTTTGGCTAGTGTTTGACATTTCGTCACTTTCGGCACGAAAACGAGCTTAGAATTTCGCGGATTGCAATGAAGTCTGAACACGCGAAACGTTGTTGCAATAGAAACGCTTTAAAGCTACGTTTGATTTCTTGGGAATATTATAGTTCCTATTTTTTTTAGTAAAATATTTTATTATAAATTATTATTCGGATAAAGTACTTAGTTTTTTTAGAAGGTTTTACTAGTATTTCTTCTTATTCGATTAGTACCGAGTATCATTATTCAAGTATACGTAACACATTGATACACATGGCCTTTGAATGGAACTATTCAATTCCATTAAAACTCTGCTCTCTAATTTTTTAAATAAAGTCTATACAATTTTCGCATGTAATACATGCGTTGAGAGAAAAACTAAAAGAGATTATTGAAAACGGCGCTTTTCGACGCTTAATGGCGCTTTTTATCACAATCGCATAACGTGCAGTTACTTTCACTTTTACACTATATATTGTTTGAATATTTTACACATTGTTCTGCAACGTTGTGGAATTCACCTGAAATACATGTATATATTTACAAAGGACAATTATGTCTTTTTATATATTTTACGAGCATCACAAGACTGGGTAATTTATAAAATTCGTTAGAAGCTCGACGAATTCGGTAGGCTTGTCCGCGTGAACCCAATGATCCGCTCCATCTATGTAATGAAATTGTGCCAAAGGAATAGCTTCTTGATCGCGTCGTGATCATCCATTCTAATATAGTCGCTGTTAGCACCGCCTATGAATAACGTTGGATTGGGAAAGATCTTTGAATCTACCTTAGGAAACACAGCTATCTGAGTCGAGAACGCTTGCTCCAATACTGGTAAATTCACTCTCCATTTGTACTTTCCCGAATCCACTTCTACCAAATTTGATATTAGGAACTGCGGATAAATATTACATAATACAGAGATATTTTTCTTGTTCCAAAGTATAAAATAAGAGACTGAGGAATATTACCTGACGCAATACACTAGATTTAATAGACTTTTCAAGCTGTTGGTCCACTACTTTGCGTGCTTTTGATAAGGTAGGACTTCCATCCGCTGTTACTAAACTCATTGCTTCAAAGATCTTCTTTATTTGCAAGAGACTAGGGCTGGTTCTCACAGGAGACATATCAACAACTGCTAGTTTCTCGACGTATTGTGGAAAATTTAAAGCAGTATACATCATGGCTGAGCCACCCATACTATGGCCAACTAGAATGGCTCTCTCGAATCCTAGATCATTCAAAAGTTGAATCACATCCTCTGCCATATCCTTGTACGACATGTTTGACGTATGTGGAGAATCACCATGATTTCTGGCGTCTACTACTATGACCTGTCGTGCATAACTTTCTTAAGTACAAAGCTCTACCTTTCGCAGATATAATAATGTGAAAAAATTATATTCTTTAGGAGAATGTCATAAGACTTTAAAATTGATTTTAATTTAGAAGCGTTAATTCACATGTTATTAGAGTGAACTACCTTGCGCTTGGTTTTTTGATGAATTGCTTTTGACAGTGTATTCCAGTTGCTCTTCGAACCAAAGAGACCATGCATTATCAAAATAGGTTGCTCCGCACTTCTAGTCTGCTCATCCTTTATCGATTCGTACGAAGCATAAGCAAGTTTTACTGGAGCCGTCCTGAAAAAAAAAGGTTAAGAAAAAGCATTTAAAAAAGTTAAATTATGTACACTTAATGAATATACCTACGATAAGGGATTATTACGCAAGCATTGGCGACAGGAAGAATGTAAATTTTTAGCTAACAAGTTGGGGTGAGTTTTCTTCGCATAAGAAACGCCGATAAATTTCGGCCCATCATTATTAAAAGTCGATTGTTCCACTTTGAATATATAATTTGTCCAATATTTTATCTAACAATTATAGAGACCTCTATAATTGGTCGCATAGTTACTATTTATAGAATTTTGTTAGCCATAAAAATCGTTCTTCGCACGAGAGAGTAGGTTATAAAAAAAAAAACATTAAGCTCGCAATTTTTCTCAGCTGTCAATTTTTGACATTAGGGTCGATTCACACGTCCAACTTTTCGCGCTGTCCAAATATTTCTTTATAATTTATTTGGCCAATCCGGGTCGAGGGAAAAATTTAAAAATTTTTAAATTCCCCGATGACGTAAGCACGATATCGCTCTGCGATAACCCCTCTGGGTTCATCGTACAATCATAGGGCGTCTGCATACGTGGCGCTGTGGTAGCAACATGCCGCTGTGAAGTGGCAAGTGACCGAGAAACGGAGAGCAGCATATGTCACTTTTATGATATAATAAAATATATGTAAAAATACTTGATAAAAAACATGAGGTGGCTCATTCTATACGTATTCTTGGTCGTCTTTATCGCCTACGCGCGGTCTTACTTTATTACTGTGGACGCGCACGCCGAGGAATGTTTCTTCGATAAGGTGGAATTCGGCACCAAGATGGGTTAGTTCGCTACTGCGTTTCTCTCTCTACTTCCTTTTATTAACATAAATTTAAAGGAGCATTTTGATGACGTACATCATTTAAGTCAATCTTGTCGTTTGCCTTATTAAACACTGATTGTCTTTGCTGATATTTATATAAATAAAATTTCCTGCATGTACATATCTATTATGTGTACTGTGCATACATTTTTATATATTAATTACAGATTGATTCTTTGATAATTTTTAATATATGACAAAATTCTCATCAATAAGTTTATATACATATATTTTGTTCTACTTTCTTATTCTCTTAATTTTTTTATACGCCAAAATATGATTAAAAGTTTAGACTGTAATTGGTATTTTGTAGATTTAAGAGTTTATGAATTTTTAATTATTTTTTCACAATTTATTAATGATATACGGATGGATATTTTATATGTAATATTTGCAGGCCTCACGTTTGAGATAGCAGAGGGTGGATTTTTAGATATAGATGTAAAGATAGTCGGTCCCGATGGTAGAATGATTTATCAAGGTGAACGAGAGAGCAGCGGAAAGTACACATTTGCTGCGCACACTACAGGTGTTTACACTTACTGCTTCAGCAATCAGAAAAGCACAATGACACCAAAAGTAGTGATGTTCAATATGGATATCGATGAAAATCGGAAGCAGAATGATGAAAATGCTGTCGGAGAAGGTCAGGATGGAGACAGTAATCATGGGAAATTGGATGACATGATTAAAGATTTGAGTACTAGTTTATGGGGTGTAAAAAATGAACAAGAATACATGCAGGTACTTGAACAAATAAGAAAACAGCATGATTTTCATCAATAACTTTATCTTCATTGATTTTACTAATTTAGATATGTTTGTAAGGATTTTTACGAGATGTGTCATTATTTCAGGTTCGTGATCGCAATCACAGAGCGATCAATGAAAGTACGAACTTCCGAGTTGTAGTGTGGGCGTTTTTCGAAGCCATGGTTTTGGTATGCGTGACAATAGGGCAAATCTTTTATTTGAAGCGCTTTTTCGAGGTACGAAGAATTGTGTAATTTAGGATACTTAATGATCACTTCGTGAATCGATTGTACATTTTTCTATGTAATTAAATTATATCTCATAAGTCATCCTTGCAATGAACAAGTTCTTCGCTCTGTCAAAGTTAAATCCCTAAACTTGTACATCATTAGTATATTAAATAATAATATTTCTTATAAGATTTATATTAAAGCATTTATAACGGAACAAGATATTTACTCGAGGAGACGATGCGCGATTGTAAACATTCTGTATTGACGAATAACGAAAAAGAAATGTCTATAATAAAAGAAAGAATATGCATTCACATCTTTTTGCTAGTTAGACTTATATTTAATCGACGATTGCGAGTCTTCTGTTTAATTTTACAATAACGATACAAGATTGTTGGTTTAGTTTATTAGTTGCTTTATATATTTAATTAACAAAAGTATCGAACATGCGATTGATAGTAAGAGACTCTCGAGAAAGACGTCTTGTTCTGGGAAGAAAAATGTACAAGGAAAGCGATAACGATCGGACCGAGTCTAACATTTTTCTTGGTCGCAACGTTTCGACGCGTAAAAAAGCCTTCGATTAATGTTACCCGTTAAGCGATGGTCGAGAAAAGGGAACAGATCTACCGCAATTAAGGTGATCGATCGCGCGCGTGTCCTTCGATTGGGGACGGATGGAAGCGAAGGGATAGATTAATCGCTGGTGATTATCGCGGGGAGATAAGCGCGCTTAATGAGTATGTTGACAAAATATAGCACAATAGCGATAAACGCATTTGTGGCATTTTCTGTTAACAAAAAGACGCATACATTATTATCATCCTATGCAATTATAATATAATATTTCTTTATTTTTCTTTAATATTTATATTATTTTTAATTGTAAATTAAAATGAATAAAAATTTATAGTTATATACATATATATTTATATAAAATTTTATAAATTCAAATTTAAAAAAATATATATATATATGTATATATACATATATAACATTTAAAAAAATTATTATTTTATTGATGATGTAATTACACATAATTACATTTCCTGTGCTTCTTTATTTTTTCAACAAATTATCCCCAAGTATCCGTACAAAAATAATTCCCGCAAAAAATGATAAACGATCGATTATCAATGATCGATTACATCGAAATCGAAAATGATTCGAGATCGATGGGAGAGAATTGTCGGAAGGTAGCGCGCATGCGCGCAGCCTGCGAGAGGAGCAAACTTCACGCGGTTCCGATACAAGTTGGTGGAAGCTGCGCGGCCGCTGTTAATTAACGAGGACGATTGGCACGTAACGGTATAATTAAAGGGAAGGAAGGAAATCAAAGAGCGCCGATGTGAATAGAACCGTATCTCCTCATCGTGGCGGACTCTAACGAGCGAGGGATTTCACAAATGCTGGATGTTTATCGCGCAAAATGCGCGCGATCACAAAGGCCCCCGGGACGCCGCTATTTAGCGACAGACCGTTTTCCGGTCCCTCGATTTCTATCGTGCATAAACGTCGACGGCGATCCCCGGACGATAGAACGAGACCGGCTGCATTTAGCGACGAGAGATGTCAAGGGTTCGTATTTTTGCTGCACGTTTTTTCATACGATCTATTTTTATATTGAATTATCTCAATAAAACTTGAAATGATCTAACCTTTTCTTTTAATTATATGCAAAATAGAAAAATATATATATATATATATATATATATATATATATGTATATTTCTTATTTATAATAACAATTTTTTTATATTAGTTTTATATATGCGTGTGTGAGAAGAAAAATCAAATTCTTTACGAATTTTTAATCTCATAAAATTGATTAAGTTCATTTGATTTAACTTTAGAAGATAAAAATAAAATTTCTTTTATCAACACATTACCCTCTTCTTGTAAGCGTATAATTTTTTATTTTTTATATATGTAGGTACATACACACGTTGTAAAAATTTGTTAATTATAATAATTTTTATATACAATATATTAACTACAATTTCTCTTTTATAACACGTTTTATTTATTTCTTATGCATTTATTTTTTATTTTTAATATATGTATATATATGAAAAACGAAAATTAAAAAATTATACACTTACAAGAAAGAGGATATAATGTATTCATAAACGAAATTTTATTTAATTTATAATATAATATATAAATACAATAATATATAATAATTTCATTAATAATATAATAAACATAGTATATACATATATAATTTGTCTTAAAATGTATATTATTTGTATTAGATAATTATATAATGAATATACTTTACATATTAATCTCTCGCAATATTTGCCCTTTATTAATTCCAATTGATCTTTGCAGGAACTAGGATTTTTCGAGGTATCACTTCTCGAGTGGATTAGTAGTCTTGTTACACGAGCGGCGGACTCGAAGGATACGAAGGATTAATTGGCGGGTCCGATCGCACCCCTTCGCTCTGCCTCCCCCTTTTTCTTCTCGCAGCGATCCCTTCGAAGGGGTTGCACGCCACGCCGGATACTGGCGCGGGCACGGCGAGTGGCAGGAGAAGAAAAAAAAGGAAACGCAGAGGAGGAATGAAAGAAAGGAGTTGCTAATTGACACGGACGATTGCACGTAACGGTATAATTAGAGAAAAGAATACGAAGAGCCCGGACCGATGCACCGATGGAACCAATGAACCAGCCACCGCGCGGCTAGAAGAAAAGGAACGAGAAAAAGAAAGAGAGAGAAGAAAAAAGCGCGAGCAAAAGAGGGAGAGACAGAGAGAGACGAACGGAAAGGCAGAAAAGCAGCAGGGGAGAGAAGCAGCAGCCGGCGGCTTTCGTGCACAAGCATCAGAAGGGTTCCCTCTCCAGAGAATGAGCCACAGGTAAGAGAGAGAGAGAGAGCCAGAGAAGAGAGGGTTGAGGCATCGCTTGGAGAGACAGAGAGGGAGAGTAGGGGTACGTAAACAGTAGAGGGAGAGAGAGAGAGAGCACGAGGAGAGAGGGAGATAAAAGAGAGAGGGACCATGGGCTCGTGGACCCTGGCGCGTTCATTCTGTACCAACACGTCGCGCCGATCGGTTTCGCAGCGTTCCCGGTAACCCCCGGTGATAGCACGAGGTGAACAAGACGTTCTCCAACGCGGATCGCTTCCGGAATTCAAAGAAAGAGAGCCCACCTGCCAGCCCGTAGTGTCATCAGACTCCCAATCCTTGCCGCAACATCTCCCTCGAGATCTCTCCTCTTCTTCTCCCGCTGCGTGAGATCACGAGTACAGGATGCCGCAGGACGAGGCACGGAAAGTGCCCCGGTGAAAGGTGCAGCGAGACTTTCGTCGGCTTCTTTTTTCCTTCCGAGAGCTCCGATCTCGTCGGGACCAGGCTTCCTCCATTCGAATGCCTAGCGAAGAACCGGGACTACCAACAGCTACTATTCCCAATCGGCTATTCCCAATTAAGCATCATCGATTCTCTTCAAACGGACCGCGAAGATCATTCGGAGAAGGTGACAAATTGCTCTTGGATTTAACTCGTCGAGGAACATCTTATCTTCCTGCCAAAGACGATCGGTCTTGCCATTTGAGATTTAAATGAAACTCGGTGTTTAATATTCAAAGTATATTTATTATATAATTCTTTATATAATACAAATAATATAAATTTCAAGACCAATTATATCTATATATACTATGTTTATTATATTATGGTGAAACTGATTGGATGCTGAGGATCTTTAACTCCACGAGTGCTCCAGGAGAAGACTAACGAAGGATGTACGTCGATGGCTCGCTTTTATCTCGGACGTTTGATCGGGAGACAGGTTCCCGAACGAAACAAGAACAGTCTTAGAAGAAAAAACCGTTTGCGACCCCAATCAATGCACTTACAAATCCAGCATCGGGAAAGCTGTAATTAACACTGAAGATTCGAAAGAGGAACGCGTGATTGACTGGATGATTGGAACGAGTCTGGAGCCTTCGAGATTGAAGGGATTTAAAACAGCGGGATTTCGGGCTGATCGCGATTTCTTTCAACGAAACCTCCTCGGCAGCGGAAATTATTCCGTCAAGATCGCAATCGCGAGCGCGAGCAGCTCCTGCGATCAGGTTTCGCTCCGCGAAAGAAATCTCGCTCTCCTCTCGATCTCTCTTCATCTCTTTCTCTCCGGATCTGAGAGATAGGGCCAACTAATTATGCGAGCCGGTGAGTGTTATGGGCCGCAAAATGAGACGTGAACCGCGTCGGGTCACGCGAGGAAGAGGAAGAGGAACGTCTTCGTCGATGGAAATTTCACTCGCGGAAAGGACAAGAACTTGTCGCGGGGATTTTCGATAAAAGTCGAAAGAAGAAGATAGGAAAAAAAGGAAGAGGATCGATTAATCGGGAGGATAAGCGAGCGCATATTTATCCGGAGGATCATCTCGCCGAGCCGAACCGAACCGAGACGCAATTATCTTCTGATACTTAACGACCACGGCTTCGTTCCGTTCCGGTGAGTAATTATTCAATTAAACGGCAACTCGTGCCGAGGGTCACCACGACATTTAGAATAATTGACCATTCGTCGTGACGAGCGAACCGCTTTCTCGGTCTCCGATTTATCTCTCTTTCCATTCCGAAAATTATCCTCCTTGGCTTTGCACGATTACTTCATCAAATTGCGTCTTATAAATCCTCTGAACAGCACTTGAAAACAATTTACAATTTAATTATGTTTTAATTATTCAATTTATTATTTCTTCATTTATTTTCATTAGTTATTTTATAATTTCATAATCGGGTATGCAACATATGTGAACAAGATATTTTCAATAATAATAGGAACAATTTATTTTATTACTCAATCAGTTTTTTTATTTAATCATTTAATTATTTAATTTAAATCATTAATTATTAACGAGTGTACGATATTCTCAATATAATAATAGGAATAGTTTATTTTATTATTTATGTAATCAGTTATTTTATTATTTAATCATTTATATAATTTATTATTTTATTTAATTCATTAACTATTTTATTATTATTATCATCTTACAATCGCGTGCATGCAACAACGTGAGTACAATATTCTCAAGAATAATAGGAACAGCAACACGCGATAAACCTATTTGGAGAAACAAAAACTCCATAGAATCATTAGTAGAATTATAATTAATATTAAGTAATTAAAATGATTCTACATTAGAATACCTATACTTTCTATAATCAGTTTCTATTTTATCGCAAGTTTAGCACGCGATAAGACGATTTCTTCGCAAATGCGTAGTTGAAAAATTTGTGTTAAATTTAAGAGATATCACATGTCCCAAATAATCCACAGAAATTTTTGTGTTAATTTAACATAATATAGATATGTTAAATGTAGATACAAATAATGTATTAATATTTTAACACAAAATAAATGCAAATATCAAATAATTTAAAATAAATTTTGTGTAAAATTAACATAGTTTTAATGTGAAAATGTTAATTTTAGATTTTATCATCCCCGCACTTATATATTATATAAAATAAAAAATCAACATTTTTTCCCGTAAATTTTAACAAGTAAATCTTGTCGCTAATAAAACAGAACATATTTATTGTGTAAAATTAAAAATAGATGCACATTGTGTTATTTTTACATCTTTTTTCAGTTGCTTTAATAATTTAACATTTAAGTTCAATTATAACACAACAACAGTATGTTAAATTAACACATGAATGTAAATATTTAACACAAACATTTTAACAAGAAAACACAAATTTTCCTACTGCGCTCAGATCGTAACGAGGTCTCCTTCGTCGAAGAAATCGACGATGAATTGAAATAACGCGCGTACAACACACAGACGTCTGTCAAGCATATTGTAACAGGATCTCGTTAGCAGAGGAGGCAAGCATCGATATATAGAATACATATATACGCGCGATGATGGTGTACAGTGGCGGTCTGGTGTTCGATATAAAAGCGCGACCGATCGAGATAAGGCTTTCGTCGGCTTTCGAGCGATTCGCGATCGGTGACCCTGGATGACCCCCGACTTTAAGGGTAATCCATCCTTTCACTTTCCGCCTTTGTCCGGGAATTTAAAGGTTTTCTAAATTATTTGTAAAGTCGCATTATATTGTATATAGAAAATAATTCCTTTAGATATGTATCGTTTCTCTCCTTTTGTGCACCTCCTCGAGTGTTACAAAATCCCATCCCCGTCTGACCCTCACGCTCGAAAAGATGAAGACGAGTGCGTCACTCGCTGATGACACACGCACGTGACAGTGAACGAGTTGGCCCTCGAGTGTCTACTTTTGTGACACATTATAGAGTATCATTTATATCTGCTGAAAAGGATATTTACTAAGGCAACGTATAGCTGCCCAAAATTTTTCCATTCTCTTAGAATCTGTTCAATTATATATATCAAGTTAAATGTTCTTCTATTTAATTATCCAATATATATATATATATATACAGGTTGTTTCTTACACAATTATATAAGATAGTAATAAAATAATGAATTAAATTAATTAATTGAATTATTAAAATAACTGATTAAATAATTGATAAAATAAACTGTTCCTATTATTATTGAGAATATCGTACTCAGGTGGTTACATGCACGATTATGAGACGATAATAAAATAATTAATAAATTAAATTAAATAAGTGATAAAATAAATGATACAATAAACTGGTCCTATTGTTATTGAGAATTATATCGTGTTTATATACATTGTTGCATACCCGATTATCAAATAATAATGTAAAGAAAATAATTAAAACAATTAAATAATAATAATATATATATATATATATATATATATATATTAGTGACATACTTAATGTAAATTTATTTCTGAAAACAAATAATATGTTATAATACTTTATCCGCGATTATATATTTTTTGACAGAAATCAGCTGATAACTGTCAAAAAATATTAATCGAACGGTGACATATATTAAAGCCCTGTATAAGTTTAAAAATACTTATTATATATATATATATATATGTATATTTATATCGTCATCGCACGTCGTAAGAGTTCAAGATGCCGAACCGTGGCAAGCCGAGAATTTCCGCCTGATAGTCGCTGAACCGGCAATGATTTACCGATGTCTCGGCAGATTAATAGGCAGCAGCCCCCTTTTAACGGACTCGCGCCGCGACTCGCCTCTCGTATAGCTCATCTCGCAAATGACCATTCCGTTATGCCTCGACTTTGCTCCACTTCGTCGACCGTCGTGAACAATAGGCCCTCTCTGGGAAGCGTCATTGATGTAGAAACTTGGAAATTACTTCTCACGGGATACATTTAATTTTTCACGCAAGGGAAGCTCTCGGGAATAATTTACGAATATTGCCGGAGGAATACATTTCTCTCGGCGCAGTTTTAGAATAACAATATGAGTAAACGCTAAAATTTCTAGTACCTTGAGAAAGCCACATTCGACTACTGGGTTGTTCTTTCAAATAAGAATTGGGGCACGTGACTGTAAAAACTGTCATAAAACTGTCACAAATAAAGTACAGTTTCCTGTCAATTTATCATGGCTACCTTAATTACATCGGCACAAATAATTCTTGTTACTGTTGAATTTTTTAATAAAATAATTAAAGTTTCCATTTTTGGAATTGCTTCTGAAGGAAGATCTTTCCTTTTCTTTTATTTTCTATTTGATAATTTATTAAAGTATTTCTAAGAAATATATGTATATGTATCAACAAGACCATTAATATTAAAAATAGCAGTAAAAACATTGATGCAAATAATAAATTATATAAAATCAACATTATTCAATGATTTGGCTTCTTAGAAAAATATAAATCACACTTTTTTAATAATATTATGTACGTCTTTATAAATATTCTTAAACTTATACAGGGCTTTAATATATGTCACCGTTCGATTAATATTTTTGACAGAAATCAGCTGATTTCTGTCAAAAATATATAATCGCGGATAAGGTATTATAATATATTATTTGTTTTCAGAAATAAATTTACATTAAGTGCGTCACTAATGAAACATTATGTGATCCAAAAAAGAAACATTTTTAATTACATTAACATCCTCTAATAATATCGACACAATTAATGAAAATGAGAAAACGGTGGTCGTAATAAATTGACGAGAAGCTAATTTGATATTTGTCCAGTTTGTCGGAAAATTAAGACGATTCAGCGACGATTCGAGGCCGGAAATTCAAGAGAGGAGCTCAATCTCGTCGTCTCCGAGATTGTTGTGTGTTTAATGACGCGGTCCGGTCGTTATCGGGTGAATAATATCGCAAGGTTTCTCCTCTCGCCTTTTAAACGAAGTGAAAAAGAGTGCGGTTTTAAAACCGTCGTTTTACGATCCGCGAGCGATTTTTATTCAGGCCGCGGAAATATTCGCCGAGTGAGATATTTTACGCGATGCATCATCGACGATTTACTTTTGCATGGGAAATCCCCTTTCTCCTACCCCATATACGAGGCACATTGAACTGGGCTCTTTTCGAAAAAAAAGAGAGAAAGAGAGGTGTAATCATTGATAATGAGGATCATTTCTTCGCGTTTAGGGATGCGCGCGTGGGATAATGATGGTACACACAATTTTAATGGACTTGGTCACAATACGAGACCGGGTGTTCCATTATCTTAAATCGGAGCAGTTGTTCCATTATCCTCTAAACGATCGCCATTCGATCGCATGACAAAAAAAGGCCTCGACTGAGAGAGACGGTTCTGATTTTTTATTTCCGCGGAGTATTTCTGAATTTCATCTAGTTGTCAACATTCTTTTTTTTCATTATTTTCTTGATTGTTGTCGAGCATTAATATCTATCAAATATGAATCTGATTTGCATAAAAAATATATATTTCTATAGTGTTTGTAAAACAAGTAAAATTGCTTATAAGTAAATTTTTTTAACAAAAAAATTATTTTTGCACTGTAAAAAGTATATGCTACAAACATGTAAAAATAATTTAAAATTATACAACAATTATCATTCCATTGCTGTATTTAAATTTTGATAATTTTTTACATGCTTGTAGCATAAACTTCCTAGAGTACAAAATCATTTTTTTTTATTAAAACATTTTTTAATATGCATATACTCATAAAAAAACAAGTTACGAAAAATTTAAATACTTTTGCTCAATATCCCACTTTTGGAATTTTAATAAATAAGGATCAATATTGAATGTTTGGACTTCGATATGCGCCGAAATGATAAAATTACAGATAAAATAACGTTTAAGCTCATAAGACGCGTCAGCGAGCGCTGTTATATTTGTAATAACAATCCCCTCGAGAAGGTAAGACGTCGTTTCTCTGATACTTCCCAATTAAAAGTCAAGTTCTCCCGTGGATAAATTAGCGCGGTTGTATGTTAATGAGGTATCTTTACGAAAGCGTCATAAAAGTTATGAGTTACGATTGGATGGAGATGGTATATCTACGCACGTGTGTATAGTGAGTATAATCAACGATTACAATGTCCGACGAAGCGGCTTTTGTGT